GAACTCGCAGGTTTGGACAAGACAGAGTCCAATCCAAAAATGATGTGCACCACACATATGAAAACCAATGCCCGAGTGGCACCCATGTCTTTCTGCTTTGTCAAGTTTTCCACAGAAATGCAAATTTTGAACAAAGTTCTCGAGCCTTAATTAATTATAGTTTCACTGCTTTCTGGCAAATCTTGCTAACCCCATGCGTGCGCACTAATTGTAGGTCTGGTCACTTTCATTCCCTTCAAATGTAAGTGGACGTCGGAACACAACTAACGACAACACCGCATACACACCGATCTGCGTCAACGTTAGCCCAAAACTGAAAGCACCCTTTGTAAATTTATTCCCCTTTATAACTTCGATGAAAGAAATTTTCCGCAATTGAACGTGGTAAGTGTGCGATGCAGATTTTAGATATATATGTACAACGTAACCCAGTACATATAACGGGTGCTGAAGATTTTCTCAAGATGTGGTGCAAGTAAGGTAGCAGTGGATGTATGTATATGTGCTTATGTACACTTGGTGGACTGCTACATGGGAGAAAAAAAAACTAGATAACTTTGAGTCGTCTTTTAGTGGGTAAACAAACTGCTGTATCGTGTTCCAATATTACAACTATTTCTGGGACACCTTTAGTGCAATCAAACTACGTTATTGTTATATTTGAGGATTGGATTGAAACTACCGGATTGGATGGGATTTGAATTTATAAGCCACCACGACTGCATATATATTATGCTGTAAGATGCCGGTGCCTGAGCGTATGCAGAAATGCTTACCCGAGGGAGGGCGAGATAAGGCATTTTACATTTTATACGGATCCCTTCAGACCAACAGGAGTGACAGACAACATGAGATTGAGAGAACGTGGCTGAGATTCGTCGTCGTATCCTCCTTGTCCTAGAGAGGGATCGATGCTATTCTCGGCGTCGTCACATCTGTTGATGGATGATCTTCTCGCAGTGGTGGATAGTTCTTAACCTACTGAGGAGAAAAGTAATCAAATTCACGAAAATGGAGGATGGGCAAGTAAAAAAAATCCGCATCGTGCTCCCATCAACATTGACTTTGAAGAAACTCGACTCTTTTGTTGGCCACCTCAATGAGTGGAATGAAAGGAACTTTTTTTGGACGGCTGCTAACGGGATACGGGCATTGTGCGTTGATAATTACTTTGAATACTGATGCATCGGTTCACCAAAGACTTTATTGTAGGTTCTCCCATTCTATAATAATACACCATTTCTTATCTCTCTGTGGTCACTGCAGTGGCAGTGCAAGTGAAGATAATGGATGCTTTTGGGCATTTTTATGGCAAACTGTATGCAATAATAACACCAAACTTTCAACGCTTCCTTTCCTCCTCCCAAGTAAGTTAGGTACATACTACGCTACCATTCCTACACCTTGGACGAAATAACTTTTAGTCCGAACCAGGGTTTATGTAGCCGAATACGGTCTGTCTGCCTATACTCTCGTTAGACTCATCGAATTGACGAATTGTCCAGCATTTAGACCAAAGCCAAATAAGGAATGGAGTCCGAAGATGATCCAAATGCCAAATCCAAGGTTTTTGCACCGGGGTAGCTTGGGGGATTAACTTTACTGTTAAACTGACACAAAATGTAGTAATACATATGCAGAAAAACTTTGTGCGAAATCAATCCATATGAAAATTAATATGCAGAATTTAGCAATTACAAAAATTTTGCATATGAATGTCTCTGAAAAATGGCCATCACACACTAACAATTGTTCCGAATTGACCGACATCGATACGTCACCACATCAACTTCTATATTGGATTAGAGTATTCAGCGAATACCGACTCGGGCCACGCCAAGGCTATAAATGTTTCAACTATAAAGTTAGTGAATGATTTAATATAACACTTCTGGTTTGAGTAGACAAGGTTGGATGGCTACCCACTGTTGCAAACTGCCCATAAATTGCACTGTACGGGTGGATCTAAATACGACGAGCATCATCCTTCTGTTGTACTGCCTTTAAATCTATTAGGGTTTCTACACTTCAAACAAATCATCGTTTCAGATTTTATTGTGGTTATGAAGGGTGCTGAATAATGCAATGAACTTCTCACCATCATCATCGCATTGTTATCCTCGCTTCTTCCCTCAATCCTTTCACTTGGTGCATTTTTTGTTCTACATTAAATTGTATCATCGGTGTATTTTCCTTTCGACACGAAAAATAGCAACGTCGAATAAATAAGAAGCCATCATGTCATTAATAAAATTATTTACTTCCATTCAAACCATTGCGATGATGCTCAATTTCACCAAAATCATAATGGGTGACAATTGCTGAAATGTGGGAGAGATATAAATAATAACGCGCTTGTTTTTCAAAAGTAACGTCGGATTTTGACGGAGACATTTTTCATCATCATGTTAATGTGATAATGCGCACGTTCACGCACCAATACATACAGATGCCGTCTGTGTTGGTGGTTGGACACGGAGACCCAAACTAAAATATCTTCATTTCTGTATGTGCTGGTAATACACCACAATTTTAATTCCCAATTAGTGTGCAGATGAGAAAGGAATAATATTTTTGGTATCTCTTCCTGGTGATTACAATTCTGCATGAATGAAGGTTTGAGGACAAAGCCAGTTGGCTAATAAATATGTCCGCATAACAAAACCTGCTCATAGAAAGAATCTAAGAAATTGATTTCTCTCACTTCATGCGTACCGTAGTCAAGTCAAGGCAAGATCTGTAAATACTTATTTGTGCCAACAGCCATGAAATTTCCCCCCGGGTAAAAGATTTTAAATACTAATCGATAAGAATTTGCTTAAACATTTGGTGCTTGTGATACATAGTTCGAAATATTTTCGACTTCGTAAAAATATGCGAGATTAATAGAACGAAGAGTTTTTTTCAACTACACATCATCACTCTTTTAGCTTTCGGATCGTTCACGTTCTTCTAGAAAAGGATTAAATTCAGACATACATTTAATACATGTATGCATGCGTTCATTGTTGATCGACCATTGTGTTCTAGAACACAGCATGACTTCGTCCTCTGTGTCAAAATATTTATGACAGTTGAATCGGTTCAGTCGAATCAGTTTTGCGAAATTAATGCTGGCAAGTTGAATATATTTAAATATTTCTCTCCCAGTCATTTTTAGATCATTTCACGCTCCCCATTTTTCACGGCTCCCCAGATTCTTCTTTGCCAGAGGAGAAAAGAGTCTTTATTCAGAGTGGCACAAATAAATGCAAATCTAAACTAAATTCTATATGATGCTCATCAATTTAGTTTGAATGGTTAAATTTTCAACGGAATTTCAGCCACATAAAATATGAGAATGCAAACCTAGCAAATTATATGGCAATATTAATTACAAGCATTTTTGATAATTTCAAGTATTATTCATTTTCAAATGAGAGGTAATCAGCTCATCCATTGTTTGTCATAAGTGACAACTAAGAATAGTGAAGTCTGCGTCGTTTGAAGCAATGCTAATGAGAAAACGACAGTTAGTGAGTGTTTAAAATTATACAACATAAACAACTTATTAATATAACAAAGGGGCTTTGGTAGACGTGTCAAATTACAATGGGATGCAAATACATGGGACAGTGTGAAAAATTGGTTAATTCTGTAATTTTCTTTCATGGCGAGTCAACAAGTGCGCGTCTAATTTATTGGCAGAGTTTTCACTTTTATGTATGTACATAGTGCTTATAAATAGTTTTTAAGGGAATTCATTTTCTACCGATTTTTCAATAATTAGTGCCGTTTTCACCTCGTTTTGATAAAGCAGCCCCCTTATTTGCTGCTTTCGTTTTTACTTGTCCAAATTCGTTCATGTGGTTGCGTCTGTCAGAAAAAGAATTGTGCTTTGTACCCAACAAATTACAAAAGAATTGACCATTTGTGTAAGTTTTCAACACGTTTATTTGCAGTACCACGAGCGAAGTGTCTTTATTCCATTATTCGTTCAATTCGTATATTTCAAATTATTTACACTCAAACTTGGAAATATTTTCATATTTTTGTATCCAATTTTACACTTGACCTAGAAAACTGAAAGCCATTTTTATATACACATTAACTATTTACAAACGATTCAGTACTATTATAATTGTAAGATTTTGCAAATTGTTGGTAAATTGTGAATAAAAAGCTGCCCATTAAAGTTTGAGTTGAATTAAATTGAATGGAGGGTTCTCTATTCAATTATGCCTGTCTGGCATATAAATACAGAGACTCACTTAATTGGAAATTGAATATGAGATTAACTTGTCTTCCCAGTTAAACTCCTCAGTTTTGTTAAGAGAGGAACTTTTATTAACGTCGTGAAAAATTCAGTATTAAAAATATTTGGCACTTGCCATGTTATTCATGTTTTTGTCCTTTGGGAGTATGTAAATATTTAATCTGTTGCAGAGCAGAATTGGTTTTGTCTCCTGGAGTGGACATGTCGTGCCTTATTATTACATGTTTTTTTAGTACCTACTTGTAGTAAAACTCAATAACTATTCATGCAAGAGATGAAACAGTAAACTCTGTTTCTTTGCATTATTGTTCAGATCAAGAGGTCATTCTAAGCGACGATTCCGCATTCGAGTCAGGAATTATGATGACTCTATTCCAACCAACCTTCCATTGAGATATCAATTGCTTTCATAAAAGTGTGTCATTCGAGGTCCAATTTCGTGTGAGTAATTTTCTAGAAGGATCAACGTCCGAAGAAAGTGGTTGGCTGATGACCAAAATAATTACGTATCACAACGCTAGATTGAAGAGTGGACCAGTAGTTTAGTTGTTGTCATCATTTTAATCAACGCGTAATTAATTTGAGTAGCAAGATAAAAATTCAGGAGAAATGCTGATTTGTATCACGGAGTTTAATTTAGACGATATCCAAATGATCCTGTTTTTTACCTCCGATTGGACAGCAATAGTACATTTTATCAGTCGTGTCTTAAGCACTAATTATTGGAAAGTGTGTAATGCCAAAATAAATATTTGTATTGTTTTATTTTCATTAAATTATTTTTAAGGAACAATAAAGTCCAAAAAATTAATCACTTACAGGCGCTTCTGCAGAGTCAAAAGCAGGCAAGCATGATTTCGTCTATAAATACAAATACTGATTCAGGTTTATGGTTAATTTGTGTAACCTATAAAATAGCACGTTAAATTATATATTTTTTTGGAAACACTCGTAAAATTAAGAAAGGAATACATGAAGAGAACTTTGGACTTGTCCAAGTTACTTTTTTTTACATACGGAGAACGGGCGTTATAAAAAATGCCCAGTTATTATCTAATTAGGAACCATTTAATATACAGGAAACATTTATCGTCCAATAGTGCATGGTCGGAATGGCCGTTCCCAAAAATTCGGATTCATATTATTTCTTGTGAAACAATAAATAGATACATTACATAGTTTTTAGAGCTCGCGATATTCAGCAATATTTACAAATTGTGTCGTATTTACTATTTGTCTTACAAAACAATAAGTTATCTGTAAAGTTTAAAATAAATCTTTGAGTATAAACTAAATAAATAAATATACATACATTATTTTCGTTCAGCCCATCATTAATCTTAAATAGTGCGAATTTGGATGATTTTCTGTGGAAAATGAATTAGGAGATATTGAAAATAATGGATAGTCCAAACTTCTCCTTCTTCTTGGTAATGGGACTCCTGATCTTAAGTGATTGTCCTTTTGAAAATACAGGAAATCTTTAAGAATTCTTTCTTCCGACATCCCTTCTTTGCTTTGATCTACATAATCGCCGAATGGTGCTTTAATAAGAAAACGAACGTCACGTCGTCGTCGTCCCAAAGCAATCGGAAGAATGGCAGCCATTGTAGCTAAACAAAAAAGTTATAAAACGATTTAAGTCAAATCAATGTACGTGCAGTATTTGTGTTTAGGTGAAAATCATTAAAATTGATTAATGCTACCTGGGATCATGCCAGCGCCAACAGCCGCATAGACGGGGTTAATGCTCAATCCTTTGCGGACAACGTTCCCCGACGCCACCGTAGTCGTCGTGCTTGGTACGAGTACCGTCGTGCTTGGTACGAGTACCGTCGTGCTTGATGGTTCCTTATTTCCTCTTCCATCTCCAAAATACTGCTTCATGAAACCTGGCTTTTTTGGGGGCGATGATGAACTTGTTGTTGAAGGTGCTGCAGAGGAAGTTTTCTTGGAGTCAGAGATGGTTCCTCGATACACACGTTTTCTGTTGAGTACAGGGGTCAAACTCGCCAAAGTTGCATTAATTTTACTAAATGCGGCATCTTGGTCGAGGTAGTTGCTGCTGGGCTTGGTCACTGTAATGTTAGTAACCGTCACAAGGTCCTTGTAATTTTTGCCTCTTCTATTTTTGTACGGAGGTTGCTCATAAAACGGGAAATCTGAAAATTTATCAAAATCTGGCCGATATTTAATTCCGCTGCTTTCAGGATACGATGGGTGGTGTCGATTGGAGTCCGATGAAGCGCTAACTGTCACTTTTTTACTGTTCGAGACGAGGACCCATCGCGGATCGTCTTCTGTGGTGTGTCGATCAGGATAAGTGGCCGAACCCTGGCGTCTATTTCCCCCATACGACGATCCGTACGAGTCCCTGTCTGATGACCAAGACCCCGTGGCAGAGGAAGAAGGTCGGCGGATATCAGACTGCCAAGGGGAGCTTGAAGTCGAAGGGGGAAAGGAGGATGGGTATTTGGACATGTCCTTATCTTGCTGCCAACTTACGGTTGCAGAAGCCGGACCATTTGGATAGATGACGTCGCCCCAAGAATTTTGTGGACTTCGGTCTCTTTCCCATGAGGACAGAGAAGAAGAAGACGAGCTAGCTTTATTTGGACCCGTCCATCCTCTTGGTGGCGAATCGTAAGAATTCGATACGGAAGGATTAGGACCGTACTGTGGGGGACGATTGTCATATTGAGGAGGACGGTTTTGGTTTCGTCGATTAATATTGTCAATGATTTCCCACCACTTGGTATTTGTTGGTGGTTGTTGACCAATCCCGTTGGAGGAGCTTACTCTGTCACGAGTAGGCCAATTTGTTGATGGTAGGTCAGAGTTTGGAGTCCCTTTTGGTACCCATTTGGATATCGTAACCTGAAATAGAGGTGTGTATTACGTACTCGCTCCATGTGGGTTTTCATGGCAAAGAATGCCACTGACTGACAATCTATGTATAGCATCACATATGAATAATATCATCCCACCCCATGGTGTCAACCCCGGACAAGTAAGAAAGTATTCGTTTACTTTCATCAGTCAGCCGGTTTGTCTTTCTCCCCTTGCAAAAAGTATTATATTTTTAATTAAAAACTTTACAAAATGGATAAGTCTGAGGAGGTAAGGTTGATACTCTAATGTAGTTGTTATTAGTGAGTAATAAAATGTTTCATTTTATAGGAGAATCAAGTCCCGGTCAAGCGGGTCAGGATTTTGGTGGATATACCCGTATCAAAAGCCCCTTTTAATTTAATGACCTACAATTCTCAAGGAGAACAGGTTGAATTGAACGGTGAGTGTACTGCTTGTAGAAATTGTTTTTCAATGACATGATAATAATAATGTATTTTTTTGTAGTTATACAAATTGAAGACGAACCTCCGTCAACCTCGACCACAGTGAAAGCGGATTCAATCCTGAAAGCTGTGCTACAGGGAATGATTGGCAATAGTGGATATAAGGGGACAATGGAGTCTTTCTGGGGATCGGATAAGAGGAAGAAGTTGACTGATAAGTGGGCTAATCACGTCAAGAAATCTAAGACTGACACGGAAAAGTACACCCCCATCGATGTATTTTATAATAAGGACAAGATTGCCATGCAATTGGTGGATGGGTTGCTACAAGTGGTGAAAATGCAAACAGTTGGAAATGAGTGGAAATTCAATAAATGGGGGGGTCGTCAGCAGAAGTGTAGCGTTTCTGCATGTACTTCAAACTGTCACGTAAATGAAATCATGATCGTTAATAATTATGTTTGCAATTGTAATTATCATGAGATAATACACATGTGTATTACTTTGTAGGGTGGAAAGTTCTATTCGACTCATGCCCCCAGACAAGTTTTATTACTTCAAGATCTGCGAGCTACTTCCCCTGTGCTGGCCTTGTTAAGCCCTGAACCCACCACTCACCCCTACACTGAGAGCGAGATGCGAACAAAACTGGCTGAATGTGGGGTTAAAAAATTGTGGGGAGGGGAAGAAATTGAGGGGGGTCGGAAATACGGAATCAAAACATGCAGCTCTTTGAATATGTTGTAAGGAAAAGGGCCAGTAAAGAGGAGACTTTTTTCGGATTATAGGACGGTGGCCTTTTCAGGATGACAACAACAAAGTCCGTGGTTCTGTATATGTAAGTGTTTACACATATATATAATGACTGTCACCCTTAATTAAAATCTATATTTCGGTAATTGTAGTTGGCTGTGTCATTGATGGTGATGATCAAAGGAGGTGCTACTCTGATGAATTCGAAAATTATCTTCGTTGGGTTTGACGTGACCTGGGTGAAGTCTTTTTTGAATCAAAACGGGGTGCTCTTCGAAAAGGGAGAACAACTTCAAGAGTCTGTTAACTCTACTCCACCAGGCGTGTCGGGAGAAGTCAATCGTTCTCTGCCGTATGTCTACTTCGGAAGAAATGATAAAGGTCAATTCTACACGGGGGTTCAGTGCGAAATCCGTTTACGAGTATCTAGTGCGAAAGCTAGCTACCACGATAAAATCAAAGCTGAAACGGGGATGGATTCGTTCAAAGAGGATGAAGACCAGGTCATTTTCCAAAGCCCTATCCCGAAGTTGTTGCAACATGTAACGTCCATTACTAAACGTAGCAAGTTCAGCCCAGCAGAAGAAGCGGAATTTTGTAAAATGGAGGAGGCTGCCAATAAATATGAAACCCTTGCTCACTCAGTTTTGAAGATTGGAGAGATGGTCGGTCAGACCTACAAAGGGGCGCTAGTGAAGGGAACTCCAAAGCAGTTGAATAATTTTAATGGTGCTATTAATGTTGTTGATCTCATGTCTACGTACTCTTTCTTGTTTGAATCAAATCTGGTCATGAAGGAAGTTAGTCAATTAGAGAAAGGTTGTGATGGAAAGGTTGTTATCAATTTTGTTGTGTAGTTATTCTTACGTGTCATGTATTTGTTTCAAATGAATTAAACAAATAAACTTACAGCAGCCACCGGTATCGGCTCAAGTTTCACCCAGTCTCGATCCCGATCGGATCCTCCTGCTCCATTATTATTGTTGTTGTTGTTATCGACTCCTTGGAGCCATGCTGGATACCTGGATCCTCCTCCATTGTTATCATTATTTTGATCACCCCAACCCCATCGCTAAAAGTAGAAAATTTCCAGGATTAGATAAGATTTTTGCTTAAATGGCATCCAACGCTCAGACAAGGAAAATAAACAAATCTCTTGGCTTTGTCAGACAAGAAAGATAAGCATCCCTTACACCTTACACCAATTCATATTTTGATTTGATTATTGTATGTGAACTTTTGGTCTGATTAATTAAATAAAACCTACAGTGTGCAGCATTTATTTAGCCCTATAGGCTACTTTAAAATCTTTGTCAGATAACCCGTACCAACTACAATTCATAATCGTGTCAAAAATGTTCCCATAATCCAGCATGCAAAATTTCTGCATTTTCTCTTATCTGACAAAACCAAGCTATTTTAATTTCTTACCTCTGCAAAGCTATCTGGATCAAGCTCAACGCCTCGTCGATTTGCAAATTGAGACGCTGGGTTGACCTTGTTGGATTCTTGATGAGATTTATTTTTCAACTTGTTTTTGTTGCTCTTAAGAGTAAACGGGTCATACTGGTCTGGGAGGATGGGCTGGAGTTTGACCCAACCTGGTGTCGTGGTGGACATGGACGACGACGAAGAAGGCGTCGTGGTCCGCAGAACTCTTCTGGCAAATTTGTGCGGATAAGAAGTGTCATATTTGGATATTGTGGGATCCACCCTGAAAGGAACGCTTAGCGACATTTCATGCATCAACCCTGAATAAGAGTCCGCCTCGTTATTTCTCCTCGATGGGCGATCTCCACTGTTGTACATTTTTCTCTGCTTATTATTATTGTGCTTAACTCCCTTATTCAAAACATAGTGATAACTTTTCCATTCATCGTCATCCCCAGATTGGTGGCGGTCAGCGTTGCTATTCTCTGGAGGACATCGATGTCCGAAACAGTTGTTCTTGACAAACACGGTGCTTTTGTTACTGTTCTTTGGCAGGTACGGGAAGTACTTTTCTCCGTCAGTTTTGACAGTGTAGCTGCTCCCAGTTGTGACCATTGGGACGGGTTTTGCATTGACTGTGAAGGTCGACCCACCACTGTTCGAACTGCTTCCTGGACGAATGGAGTAAGAGTTTGTAGACACGATGGTCCTTGGTGGGAGCGGTGATGAGCTCCTCCCAGTTCTCCAAATCGTCTCCGTAGTGGCATCATCTTGACCCACAAAATTGTATTTGTCATCCGCAGGCAGTAAAATTCCTGGTTCCTCCTCCGACGTGAGAAATCTGCTCTGTGGCGTTTGACCTGATTTTGTACTTTCCCCCGGCGCATCCCTCGTCTGCACCCTCTTCCACCCTTTGTGTCCTTGAGAAGAGTCGCAGATGTGGATGAGGAAGCAAATTGCACCAATGAGGATATGGGCACTTGGCCCTTTTTTAGATGACAGCATAATATGGAAGGAATGTGAGGATATAATGACGAGTGGTGTCCTCCTCTCCTTCAATATGTCGGTTTGTTGTTTTTTTCAAAATACTGAAAAAGTATTTCAAAATGTTACATACAGTCCAATTGAGGTTTGTTGTTGAAGTGGCAAAATAGTTGACGATGATAATGACGATGACGAGGTAAGGTAGGCAGTTGTTCAGGCAGGCTGTTGCTTTTAAGACATTATCCCAATTCTCTCCTTTTAGGAATCCATTGAGTTGAGAGTTTGCTCTATTTGCAAACAAATTGTGCCTCAGTCAGATCATCAATGCAGCCACGCCACACTTTTTCTGCAACTATTTTAGCAAGTCGTCCACCGTGGTGGTGGCGTCCGTGTCCCCTGCGCAGTATATTGACACACAGATTTCGTAGTAGTAGCTTGATGGCTGTGACACCGTGTTGATGACGCTTAATTGTTGGGTTCCCCTTAGCTTCCCCTCTCCTCTGTCTAACCTGGAAATAAAACGAAAACGGTTGGAGATCTCCACTTCGAGGAAAACCATTGTCTCCCGATTAAGAACCACCATTTAACTCCGCTTTCTGCACCGTCATCTCTCATTTCTCACAGATTTGTACAGCAGCAACAACAACTCTCAAAAAAGCCTTGACACTGAGATTAATAATGAGAACGCAATTATTTGGATCTCGGCTTTTCTCTCCAAATATTAGCTAGACTTGCAAACTGGGTATCTCGGCTAGTGCAAAGGGCGAATTTGAGTGAAGGTGCAACACATCTCTCAACACATAATATGTGTGTATGTAGCTACATGTGCCTCAATGTACGTACATAGCTATGCCTGCAGATAAGTAGATACATAAATGTGCATTTTTCCTTGGATTGCCACTATTTAACACAGTTTATCTTCGCCCGAGCCAACCTGTTGCCTTTGTTTCCGACACCAATGCCTTCCCTCATCATCTCATTAATTTAAATGCATCGAGATGGCCAACTATTGCAGGAGGAGGATGCGAAAAAGATAAGTATGCGAGTGCATTTGGTCCGTTGGAGGAAGGGGGGAGCTAAATTAAATGCGAGATCTCATCTCATCCTCGTCGCAGCAAAGGAGCAGCCGTTTACCTTGCCTTGCATTTGATGCACACAATTGTTGATCTCAATTAACAAAAGTCAACCTACTTTCAAAGAAAAAGAAAAGTTAATCCAAATTATAAACGTTTAATGACACACACTAATCTCGCGCTTGAGAATAAACCTCATTTGCATAATTTCCAAAAATTCAAGTTTAATGTCAAATTCTGAAAGTTGTTATTGAATAAATGCTAAATTATACATGGATCATTGACTTTTTTTTACGGATTTATTGCTCTTGAAAATTTTGTTATAGAGTACGCACTAAAATATTTAGTGCTGGGAAACTCGTTGGCACACGTTCTAATTGAGTTGTAGAAGAAGAAAAATCACATAATTAAACCGCATGCCGTGCAGATCCATCATCATCTGCTTTGTTGGGATCTGTATTTACAAACTGTTTCCTAATTATCAATTGTTCACACGTTTAACCGTCTTTCAATGTGATTTATTACGCATGATCCCTTCACGCCTCATTTGTTCTGCCTCCTCTGTGTTTCAATATTGAGAAAATTTCGCAAATTTCGTGATGAGCAACGGCTTGTGAGATTACATGAGACCAAATGCGTCAGATTTGGTTGACAGCCTATCGTGTTTATAGATGCCCATGTTTAAGAGATTATTATTGCTGCCCATTTATGACCACTTACAAGTACGACCAGTAACTATTTATACTCGTTTAAATATAAGCATTTCTAATTGGTAATACTACGTGGTCAATTCCTCGATGAAAAATAATAGTTTACTCCGTTAACGATTTTAAGATAGTTGCATAAATTAAATAAGTAAATATCTGAAACACGAATGAGTACATTACCTCATCTACGCTTCATGAATATTAGAAACATGTCCGAATACTTTCCTTGTTGCGAGTTTGGGCTGATTTCTTTCGGGGAATTTTTGTGGAGTTGAATAATCTTCAGGTAAATTAGGTATCATTGAACAGGTTATTTTATTTCCGTTTTTTGCAGTTCAACGTGTGAGAAAAAAACTGTCGAAACAAATTAAGCTTGCATGAAAATTATGAAAAGCGGGATACATAAATCAATTAGGAATAAATTACGAAAGATCAAGGAATGTATTTACGTAATCCAGGACCAAGTTGTTGTAAACTGAATTCCGAGGAAATCCAAGTTTGATAGAGAGAGAAAAATCCGACTCTGAATTCAGAGCAACTCGTTATTGAAACAAACAAGTCACAACATTTGCATAATTGAGGTGAGTCCTTCTGAAAGTGCTAAAGTAGACCTAACAAATATGCAACGTTAAAGTTGGATGATTTAACACTATGTTGCCTATTTGTTTGTATTTGATACGGTTGTTGTTAGCGTTTACTTCTTCTCAAAACACCAAACTAAATCAAATCACCTTTGTGTGTAAAGATGTTGATTCAGACTTTTCAGTCCAGCTTGTGTTCCTCATTCACGAATTTCGTACAAGTAACAGTTACTTAAACTTTGTTTGGTTTTGGCCTGCTGCTGTTTAGGTTTTCTTGATTGAAGAAACTCTATTATCGGGTGGAAATTGTGTGCATGTGAATCTTGGCGAATATATATTCGACACTGGTGAGAGCCAACTTTGGTTCGTGGTTGTCAGCGTGTTGGCAAAAAGGCAATGAGGAAGGAATCGGCCTGCTCCCGTAATCTTAATGCAGAAGAGTGCAGAGATAATTGTCGATTAAAACTTTTAAGAGGAAGAGGATTCGAAAAAAGTTTCAAAAGAGGATATGACATGACTCGTACCACCACGCCGTCGTTTGCTATATTGGTTCGCCATAATATGCCCCATGCGATTCGAAGGCTTGCATGTTGGCACGAGTTTACTACTTTACATGATACTAGCTCTCGAGTCCACTATTATTAACGTGCTAGAGGACGGAGGACCTAGCACACGGCAGGTAAAGAAAGTTTTTAAAGTTTAAGTGAATGTCAAAGTCAAAGTCACAGCGAGTATGATGTGATGCAAGCTGAAGCACGATGATGATGAGGAGGAGAAGAAGAAGGAGAGATGATCATGAGATGTTGATTCTTTTTGGATATTAGGGATACATATTCGAAAGAAAGATATCAAGCAGGTAAATGGTTGGTTGGCAATCCTCGTGACGAAGCAAAAGTGTGTACAAGAATCTCATTCACTCAACAACTAAAAATTTCTAGTTAACTGCAGGATCTCACAAAGCTGTAGAAAATCGTCTATTTGCATCACAGCAGAGTTACAACAGACGAGAATGGCAGCCGTACCACAATTTTTTCACGGCAAAGATGATTTTGAACAATTTATTGCTCTTAGAACAAGTTGAAGGAATAAGGAGCAGGTGCCCTGGTTCTGCTGGTGATTTGCTTAAACCGTATCAACTGATCCCTGTCGCATTCCGTCACACCTGGAGAATTATGGTAAACGAAAATAAAAACGCTTTTGCATGCACTCTCTCAAACCAAACTTTTGCTGTTTTTTTGCATTAATTCTATTAGTTAAATCGTATTATCTTAATTCAAGATTGTTTTAGTGATTATGCTAATCCTAAGTATTTGGACCCTTTGACTCCACATGCACATACATAATCATCATCGGCATGCATCCACTTTTCCTTCACGTCCCTACAGCCATGACGTTCTGGCATGAAAACATTGCTCCCAAGGTGCACTCGGTCCTATTTACAAACAAGTGGCGTAAAATGTATCTCGTGTAAGACGCAAAAATAACTCTTACTTTAGAGATCGGCTTGTGACACCAAAAACGACGAGTCGGTAGAGTAAACACAGAGCGACACTTCCGATTCGAGAATTTGCATACTTCGAGTGAAATTCTCATCTTGCACATGAACTTTATATAGCTCAGCCGCTGTAATTTTCGACCCCATTAAACGCTACGCATTGCTTGAGCCACGCACTTGACATTGGAGGCCAAGCTAAATAGACGGCACGACAATAAAGAGAAACGTAAATACGTAGTACGTCCATATTATAAGGCATAAAGAGCTATTCAATCTATTTTCAATTTTTACAATTTTCCGACTGCAGAGTTGTTGAGGTGGCGTGTGAAGGGGAAGAAGATGACGACGAGGCGGCAAAGCAGGTGCCTTTAACAATTGACTTTATTGACATTTCAGTCAACGGATTTCAAGTCAAGTGTATCATCATTATTATAAGTTTTTCTCTTTCCTTTTCGTTTCCACTTGTCTGCGTTTCTTGGGAGTACAAATACATGCATAATGGTCGTGGCAGACAAAGCGCATTTCTCTGCTCTCATGCGCTTGCTTGACTCTTAAAATCTTGACATCGTTAATCTAAATGTGGAATGATTAAGTGAAATCAAGATGGGATTCCGGTTAACAAGAAAAATTCTGGGAGGACAATGCTCCCCTCCTTGCAACGAGTGGTGTTGGGATCAACATTGTTGAGGCTGTTTGTTTGTACCCACTTATTCAAGTATCGTGACTTATGCAGATTAAAGTAATAATTCAATCTTTCATCTTCCCTTCAATTTGGTCGAGATTTGACATTATGGCGTGGCAAAGGAAAGTTGTTATTAGTTTGAACTGATGAACGACAGCCAAATGTTGGTCCCACACAAAACAACTGTCACACGGCCACGATAAATATGAAAATATACATCTAAGGCACATGCATATCCATTTAGTAAATAAAGTCGTGGACAAACTGTCAAAAATCAGTACAAACTATTCTCATCCGGGTTGAGAATAAGTAGTTGACATTGGTGTCCATCTTTAGAAAAATGACAAAAAAAATCTTGGGAGTAGTTCAGGTTCAGTCGGTCATTTTCTATGAAGCGAGACATTAAGCAACGCAACGGTAGCATATAAAATCTCGGCTTGGTCAGTTGCGTCCATTTTTACCTCGAGCTGATTGCTGACGTGCACGCCTTTCAAGGAAACGGAGATGCACTTCTTTTACTCGGATTTGACTATACGGGAGCAGGAAGAATGACTTGTGATTAAAGATAACTGAACTCAAGCCGATAATCATTTTATTTAAGGCGGCGCATGTCGACGACGGCAGTTTTTTTGGCAGGTGTTATCAGTTGAGTGCAAAAGTTGACCTGGCCTGGCCGACTGCAGGCAGCAGGCGACATGAGAGTTGGCTAATGAGTATTTCGCTTAATAATACAAGTTGTAAAATAATTAATCATCCCGTTGTTGAGGCAGACAAATGATGATGATGCGTAGACTATGTCGAGTGTCATGTCTTTGTCAGCAGTCTAATGATGTGTCTTAAATTGAATCATTTTTTTAGTAATTATTTTTAACTCGGTCAGATATGCCTAGAATAGTGTGAAATTTATTACTTGGTGAAATTAGAACCGAGTTAAAACCTAATTGTTAAATTTGACGACTCAATTCTCAATTTTTGGGGAGATGATTAAATTTATATTTAATTTAGTTTTCTAAGATATTTAATAATTCTTGATTTTGCACGTGCCGTTTACTTCATACACATCTTCTCCATTGAAATTCGTACTTTTATGGTTATGCTTGACTCATTCCCCTGCTGTCGAAGGTAACCTCACCTAATTTGAGTTTGAAAATAACATTTTTTTGGTTTCCCTTTGTTCTGGTTATTTCAGGTGATTAAATATGTAAAGCAGTTCATGGCAGGGCAAAATATTTATACAATAATTATTCATAATTTTAAGAACACGAGCACGACGTTTCAAAGGTTTTTATATAGAATTTAAGTTTTAGTCCAAATCCATAATATTGTGAGACTGCGCTGTTTGCATGTTTTGAGAATTGTGAACTGAAATGTCTTAATAACACTTCAATAATAGTTTAACAACCACGATAATATTCACAATGCAAAAAATAGAGCATGCAAGGATTATGCTGATTCTAATACGTCTGTTGCATGAAGTGGGATATTAGCACCATCAATCTTACTCCCATTATTCGGAGACCAAGATTTTATCAAGTTCACGCCTCTTATCAAGAAGTATAAGCCCTTTATATTTCCAGACCTCCGTCATTCTTTAAGAATTTAATTGTTGTCAGTGTGCAGAGTGCACTTTGCGATAGAATATTGTATAAATAAATATTCAAGTTTTTCTTTGTACGCAAATGCTCGCTGTTTGCCGTAAAAAGTTTAATGTTTTTTCTCCCTCTTCTAAACTACTTTATATATGCAAGTTTTACGATTCAGTACCGTTTAAGATCATCATTAGTCGCATATTTAGTCACGAATTGAGAGAATAAAGCCAAAGTTTTTCTGAAAAGTTTGGTTGGGGAAATGCTGCATGTGCTATTTTTTGCAATACATGACAAAATTGTAGCCAACTCATCAGCCCTCCGTGATTTGCATGGGTCTAATTCCCTCTTTTTCCTTAGTTTTTCGCACATGTACATATTTAACTTACTCAGCGTTATAAATATGCATACCAAAAACCACCAAATAACAAAAGGTGTAATAAAACGACCATATTATGCATGATAAGTTGAAGGCGACGAGAAGACCATTTGGTCTCAGTTTGCATTGTTGCTGTCGTGTAGATAATACAGGAGCAATTAATTATCCTCAACCCGTGAAAAGTACAGAAGCTGGTCAGTGGGGATAAAATGTCATCCTTATTTTAGTATTATTGTCTCCTCCTCGCATTTTCACTATGCATCTGGCTATCATTCACCCACACGGACACAATGGGCTGGCTTATTCTTTATCTGCTTTGGGTCTGTGTTACTGGGAATTTTAAATACATAAAAATTAGTAGAATTTATTGTTATGCAACCGCTAAGTAGCAGCCATTAAATGGCGGACACAGCATGGAATCACCCACCGATGATACTAAATACATGCAAGAATGCAAGATACCGTTGGCCGTAAACACCTTACATCGGCTTCTTCATCTTGACATTTAACTAAATGACATAACTGCTTTTGATTACAGTCCAAACATACGAAAAATGAGATGACAAACTTTGGCAATTAATTAAATGTTGTGCATAACCACGGCGAGTGTCCAAATTCTATTCTTGGACATTTGGCATGACATACATGTACGTATTTAATGCGTGCCGCATCAACAGGAGCAGTAAGTAGATTGATTCATGACAAAGAAATAAAGCTCCTTGATAAATTTGATGTGAAACAGTTCATGAAGCGAGTGAGGTTAAGATGAACTTTAATAATTGATGTCGCAGCGGACGAGATTTCTGTTGTTGTTCTATTCGGTTTGGCAGATTGGTATATTTTATTCAACAAGACAACATATTACGATCATTACTAATAGCCCATTAGTAGAATAAAGGACGCATATACATAGTAAGGCCCTTTCGGCATTTCGAATATCGATGTCACTGGATTTGTATGACACATTTTCTTGAATCATAAACATATGTAAATACGTATCTTAAAAACTTTGCTATTTATCTAGTTTTAAATTCTCAACCATGCAAATCGGAATGCTCATTTATTTAGAAACTTTGGATGCCCAAAGTTGTCCGTCAATATAAAATTCCATTTTTACTCGAAAAAAGTGATGACGATTGTACAAATTGATGACAAATTTTACGCGTGCAGAAACAGAAAGTGGTGATCAGCAGTAGTGATAAAGATATCGTAATGATGATGTGATACTCAAACTCTAATTATTGCATTGTTTATCATTTCATTCGTGACAGGGTCCTGGCCGAAAAGGAAGATTGAGACATGGGTAGGATCGCATGTCGATTTGCTCAACTTTCTTTGTAACCTTTGTTGTCATATTCTATTGTTCAAGTGGAGAGATGAACCCTTAAATTGAAGGAAGAAGGAGAAAAGTTGTAATTAAACACGACTGACTGACTCATTCCAATTAAATATATGTACAAACTCGTTCAGTTTCTCTCCGTTCTGCATTGACAACTGAATAATAATTTGTCAGTTCTTATTTTGCATTGCTCCCTGCCTTGCGCCGCCGTATGGGCACATTCAACATTATTTATTTAGTAGAAAAGCTACAAATATTTTACTTTTCAAGATTAAGTTCCGTGATTTTATGGGCTTTGCGATACGTGTCACGCGATACTTATTCTGCTTACAGCTGAACACATGTACATACATACGTTCATACAATGCCAACGCACAAGAAATGATATATAGACAAAGCCAACTCTTCAGCTCAATTAGAGTAGAGATTTCGAATTTATCCCATTGTGAGGCGCACAATTGACAAAGCAGGCATCAAATGAAACTGCCTACCTGCTGCCTACTGTGCATATGTCATGTAAAAAAGAAATGCTATACATGGCTGCACTCCTCCTGTGAAGATTATATCCTCAAGGATTGATTATTAACAGAATAGTGTTGGTTTACAATATTTAATTAACTGTCGAATTATAAATAATATTTTGCTCAATAATTCTTATGCTGCACATCATCTCTCGCATCGGGTTTGGTTTTTTACATATATGAATGATGATTTGCCAAATGCAATTGCATATTTGTGGAGCATTATGGTCGAGCAAAAAGTCGGAAAATTATCCGAAAATTTCTAAGCTACAGAAATCTCATACTTACACGACGAAAGATAAGATATGGATTGAGCTGAAGAAAAGTGAACCGTCGGCAAAATCAATGGTTCACAATCAACGAAGAAATAATACCATGTTCAACCTCGGCTGCCATTTAGCTGTCATTCTAAATGCATACACGTTATGTATGTACATCAAATATGTACCGATGAATTCTGAAATTCTAAAGACTCATGGACAGCATCATCAACTTTTCGCAATAATTAAGCAATACTTTTGGGCACACTTTAAAATTGCTTAATTTTAACTGACGGTTCTTCAACTTGCACAAAAATGCACCAGAGGGGATGCATCTTCTATATAATTGATTTGGTCAGTTTGGCCATTTGTGTATTTATTCCATGCGATAGATAAATTCCATACGCATAACTCGGATGTTGAAATTTGGAAATTGTATTGCTCCCCCCGCTTCTCGAAACACTTCTCGAAACAATCAACGATAATGAAACAAAGTCACCTTAAAAGTTTTAATCATTTCCACGCCCACAAATGCTAAGAAATGTTAATCACAGAACCATAATAAACAAAATTATCTTTAAAACTATATCATTTTCATGAGTAGGTATACATTGTTTAAGTTCATACGCAGGCAGGCAGGCGGAGAGTCCAAGACCTCCTCGTTGGTGTTTTATTAGTAGATACATTGCATACTTTGTACATAAGTATGTTCATGCTATATATTATTCTAAACAGAGATTTCTTGAACTTATCTCAAATTGCAACGCCTGTAATTACACGAATCGTTTTAAGTAATTGCTCCCTAACTTGCATCTACGGCGGTTGGGTGCATTATGAGCTTAAAAAGAATTGTTATGATTGTTATGAGTAAGCACATATTTTAGGGCAAGGATTATAAACACACATTCTCTTTGTTTGTGTATGGCTACTGTTGCATAAACGATATAAAAAGAAAATGAACGCGGTGAAATTTTCGCTAATGCGAAGAGTTGCTATTTAGTTAAATGGTACAGGTACAAAGGTAACCACTCTTAATTTTGGTTACTTGGAGTCTTGACATGGGTGCACTTTGATCTCGAGTTTTATTGTTATTAGTTTATGTACACTGCTTCGTGGTTGTGTGATTAATTAAAAGTGCAAAAATTAGTAAAGTTTGAGATCATACGGAAATTTCCACTGATTAACTGATTAGGTGTTAGATAATCGATCGTGTTCATGTACTTTTATCAGATCTAACACTAATTATATCGATATAGTGAGACAGGAAAACTTGAGGTGCACGTACGCAAAGGTAAATATTTGTATTCGATTTATCATTCCATTTTGCTCTTTTAGTGATCATTTTACGAGACATTTTTAGAAATATCTAGCTTCAACTATTTTATGGAGTGAGTAACAGAGTACATTAAACGGTTGACTTCTTCTTTGATCAATTCAGCGTTTCACTCAATCCAGATATGTAAATGCGTGTTACTTGTTATGTCGTCGAATCAAACTTTCTCCATTTTGGTCGTCAACAGAAAGTGACACTTGCTGTTCAGAAATTGTTCTCTCAAATGGAAAAATGAAGACCACCGTCAAGGGAATTGTGGTGATACATAGGATCTGATGACATTATTTTGCTAGGAAAACAACAGGAAAGGGCGTAAAATCTCTTGAAATGTCACGCTCAGATGCGACACAAAATAGCACTTTTTATTTTTATTAAAGCAATACGTTACACTTTTGATTTTGACTTGCTCTACATTTGCAATTCTTTCTCCCACAACTTCAAACACTTACATTAAACGAAACCAGTGTTAAAGCATCATTAATGGAAACAACACTAAAAACTAGCATTAAAAGCTTACGACGTTTGTTTATGAGATGTGCATTTTCGGTTATTAAGATGTCCAAAATGTCTGCACATGCACTTACATGTTTTTGTTTTAATCGTGCCAAAGTATGTATTAATTGCCGGAATGATATTTAAATATTCAAATTCCGTTTTGGCGTATCAAATTTAATGATCTCAAATGATTACGAGGATAAAGAAAGTGACAACATGTAACATTTCATACGTGCATAATTACACGAGCAATGATCATGCAATTTCCTCAATTTTTTAATGGACATATGCATTTAATGACACTTAAAAACCTTAAGTATTCTAACTTGTTGTTCAGACTTGGACCATTTTTTGTAAATGCTTTTTGGTTTTAGTATTAAATGCTGCAACTGTTTATAATTTTATAGAGCAGGCACAAAAAATGAGACGTGTTTGGACTGTTGGGTTGGCTCTGGTCACGCTCGCCGTTGTTACATCTACGTTTGCAATTTCTACAGGGAAAAACGTTACAAAATTAGAAAATGCAGAGTTGCCCAGACCCACGCCTTCTGCATCCCCCGCAACAACTACGGCTGATCCAGAATTCTCCTCGAGGCGAGGAACCGCAGCTACGAGCAAAAAAGAAAATCTAGAAGACGGGTTTAATCCATCTCCTACGATCAAGAAGAAGCTTAGCACAAAAAATAGTAAAAATAATTCGTCAGCTGCTGCTGCATCAACCAAATCATCTCACGTAACTTATCCCGAGGATACTTCGGCGAGAAAATCTCCATCGCAAGAGGAAACTGGTGGTGGTGACAGGGAGCAAGGTGACGATCCCGTCGTTTTGGAACTTCTGGACGAGAAAGAGAGGAGGGAGGCGTCGGGTGAGGTTGGAGATTCTGAGGGGGAAGGGAGGGGAAAATATCCACGAATTTATTACGGCGACGCTCTCCCACCCACCCATTACACTTCTGCTGCCGACGAAGATGAGGGTGCCCATCTTAGGAAGCATCAGCAGGAACTTCCGCCTGGGGACCACAGTCCAAAATATTTTTACCCCAAAAGCTACGTCCAGAACAAGCGTGCTCACAAAGGAGGCGTCAAGAATAAGAAAAAGTTTGAGTACAAGTATGAACAGGACACGAGGCACTTGGAGGAAAGGCCGTCTTACACTCATGGCGAGGCTGACCATACCGCTCAACAAACTCCAGATTTACACTATCACGGACCCGATCACAAGGAGAACGCTGACGGATTTGAGGAAGGTGGTGCACAAGAAGACTATGGTTTTGGACGGGGACATTATGGAGGAGGAGGAGGTCCGTTCCATAGGTATGCATCTGAATTTTAATCATTCTTACACGACTGGTGGGTAATAATATGAAATATTTACTAATTGACAGACGCGACGCTGCTGAGATCATAAGCAAAGCACTCCATGTTTTAATCCCATCGGCATTATTACTCACTGGATTGTCTGCAGTCTTCCCGACTAGAATTCATGTCCCAACCAATGATTAGTATGACCTCCATTAAACAAGAAAAATAGGTTAATGTGTAGAAATGCATGCGAGATTTGTATATTAAGCGAGTGTGTTTTTCTTTCTGTAGTGGTTATTACAACAACCAGAACAATAACAATATTCGTGGCAAGCGATCCATCGAGGACCACACTGGGCGTCAAATAAACGAAATTCTTCAACCCGAACACCGTTCTTTGGACGACGAAGCTTATCCGGCCTACCGGAGTTACAACTTTGAAATTGGTGCTCCTCGAGAAAGATTCGTGGGTCAGGCACATCCACAACACCTGGTTAACGAATTTTCTGCAATGCCTACCTTTGACCAGGATTCGACGTACAAGAGGGCTGCCAACCAGGATGAAGGACATGGGCACAAAACATCTGGATTTATTAGTAACGACATGAATCAAGGCCCACAAAGTCCTGTTGAGTATGATTTGTACCATCACCACGGCCATCGAATGAGGTCTTATCAGAATTTTGCGAGCCCTGATTCCGTATTGGCTCCGTCGTCAATTGCAACTCCAACAGTTGTAGCAGCTCCAGAGAGTTTGAACTCCATAGATTATTCATTTCCACAAAAACCAAAACGGAAAATGCGAACTAGAACAAGGGTGAAAGTCAGACCAGGAAACAAGAGAAAGTCCAGACCACTCCCAACTGAACCAGCATTGCCTTCACTCGCATCAATTCCTGACATTAATAAATTCCAATCCCATTTAATCCGGTCTGAACAATCTCCCAGCGGCGTCGGGCACATTGGAAGAAGTAGAAGTGCTTTTATTAGGAAACACGAGAACATCGTTCAAGACTCTAAAGATAAAGCACACGCACCACCTGCACTTGCTTTGGCTCGAAACCTCCGACTTGGTGACGAGTACGTGAAGAGCATGGTCGAAAATCACGAAACAGCAAAGGCATCAGCTAAGCAAGTGGATTTGTCCCCCGATGGTGCCGTCATGGGTTTGATAACCAGTTATGCTCAACACGACAAAGATAGTCCGGCTTGTCAGAAGAGAGCTTTATGCGAGTTGGCCATAAAAGGCAAAAGCCCCACTGCCACCAAGTTCGAGACATTCCTGTATTCGCTAGCTTCACTGTGAGTGGACACATCATTGCCATATAAATGTTTTCTGAAGAAATGTAGAAAATATACAATCACAAATATTTAAATTGAGAAAAGCACTTACTTTTGTTTTTTATTTGACATTTCAGAGTTCCAGAACAGTTCAGTAGGTTGTATGAATTGGATGATATTTTCCAAGCTGTTCAGAAGGGAAGTTGTGATGTTTTCCACTGTTCTAGCCCAAATTTAGATCTCCAAGTGTAAGATTAGCTGGTGTATTGTTCAAAATTGTTATTCAAGAGTGATTCTAAATTTGTCTTGTATTATTAACCATATGAATAATTTGTTAATATTGTCTTTTACTTTTGTCCTTTTAAACATATACATAAAATGGAGATTTCCCACTTATTGTCCTAAATATGATAGTACATGTGTATACTCATTACTCCTGATTAAACCAGTAGTCATTCGTACAAACTAATCAAAAAGGCAATCCTGATTGAGCTCAATAAAACACAATTTTGTGCAAAGACTATGAGATGAAGAGAATACATAGTCATACAAAATCGACAAATTCCTCGGATACTTGAATTCCAAAAAATTAAATTGCTCCACAATGAATATTTTTTAAATCATCAAGCTTGTTTTTTATTTGTATTTATAATTTAACCAATATGGACGGCCGCATTCCTTGAAAATAATAGCACTCGACTGACTTCAAGACTTGACAAATACTTAATCTGGCTATTAATATGCTGCACCAATCGCCACCTTGTCCAACCACACAAGTTTTGATCTCGATTTAATTCAAATTCATTGTATTAAGTAACTCAAGTGAGCTAAAAGCATTTCCTTCTTCTTGGATGTGCCCGATATCGATTGAGCTACAAATTGGATGCCACCGTTCAGTCCAACTTTACGGCATATCATACATATAATATTATTACCTGTGCACGTATTTACGTATGCACGTAAATTAAGATAAAGGTAATTACTCCAATGAAGCTTGTTTCTCATTTTCATTTTAAACCGTATAAAATCTTCATTTCATTTTTCTCAGGTTTTACTACTTTTTTGCAAGTACAGCTTTTTCCGCAATTTTACGGGCATTTACTCAACATTTTGCAATAACCACATTCATCTTCGTTTGAAAGAGTGACACTGGTCAATCCCAGTCACTTGACTACTTATGTATCAGCCACTATTTTGATACTGGTAGCACCGACTACACCGCATAATACGTACATGTATCCACACACCACCAACTCCTGACTTTTTTTTACCTGATTCTTTCATGCAAAGGTGCCAAAGAAGATGCAAGTTTTGGTTTGGTGCTCCGCTGACACAGAATTGAAATCAAGTTTTCTTCATCCGGTCTCCTCATAATAATGTGTTAGTCCAATTTGGCATCACTAGACTGACATTGAACAAGGTTGTGCTCAGATAGCTCAGATAGCTGCCTTTCGACGATGATAACTACTTATGGCGGACTGCACCCTACAAACAAATCATCTTCACCTCTTCTTCGATGCAAGCCACTGTTTTAGTTCCAAATGACTTATGTATGTACTAAATATCTTACAAATTCAATGGTAATGTTGCTACACATTTGTTGTGGTGGGTTCGACCCAAGGAAGATGAAATGGCAACTTCGTTTTCAGTTTGCAATCAAACGCCAATTGCGAATGTGCTACCTGCGAGAAAAACTCTCTCTTTAAGAAGATTCACTTGGAGAGAGTTACGTGTGTGTGGCTGCTGCAGCGTTAAAGGAACTTTTATCTGCAGGTAAATTAACTTAATGGCACATAAAAATTTACTTAAAATATCTACGCAGGTGGTGGAAAGAGGAATTTTATCTCAATTAATATAATACCTGTGTAAATATTTACGATTCGTTCACTTTCGCTTGTTGTTGCATGGAACCGGTGCAACAAATCGCAACAAATCGTGTAGAGTGGATACAACTCTCAAGTGTCTCGGTAGTGAGCGCAATAGGTGATTGTACTCCGTGTGTTAATCAAGTGGGGTAGAACAAAACGGTTCCAGGAAGCTTTGCCTCGACTTGCCTCGTCCACTTGATTAACACACGAAGTACAATCAGCTATTGCGCTCACTACCGAGACACTTGAGAGTTGTATCCACTCTATCTGCCCGTTGTTTGTGTGTTATATTTATGCAAATGGGTAGGAAGACGGGGCGGAGGTACGCACACTATCCCGTTCAGTACCGTAGTTAGTTGATTGCGTATTTCTGTGCGTTTGTTATGCACACAATTTTATAGGCATGAGTCATGTACTCGTCATCTGCCTGTCTGTACGATCTGCGAGATTCATAAAATAATCCATTGAAATGATTTTACGAATCCCGTTAAATCTAGTTTCTTTTGTCTCTAATGGCGTTCTAAGCACTATGCATGTACATGTATAATTAATGAATAATGAGAATGTGTGCTATAATTTGGCCTTCTTTTTGTTCATGTTGTGCAGGTCATAGTTCCACAAAGGAATCACAATGCGGCGGAGTCCAAGTTTAATTGGAGTTTTGTGTGTGTTAAGTACAGTCGCCTATGGGTTAGAGACTCAAGTTAGATTTGAGGAACGTGCACCAAATTCTGACACAATAATCCACCATCCTGCCGCGTCTTTGTCGATTGCAGGGGATCTGAAGGATCTTAAATTAAAGTCGTCCATTGCACAACTAGTCCGAGCGTTGCAAACTCCATCTGCTCAAGCCGATCCCAGAATACAAGCGCCCAAACCTGATCTCGTAACCAAACAAAATTCCAATGTCCATTCTTCGCAAGCTCGGAAGCTCATCTATGGGCTCGAGGTTCCAGAGCCCGTCGTCATCTCCTCCCAGTCGATTCGCATCAACTCGAATAAAACTGGGGGCAAGAGGTCTCGAGGAATAAGCAGTTCTAGCGAAGTGGATGATGCCGACGGAGTAAGAACGATCGAAGGTGTCCGAGTCCCGGACGATGAGCATGATAAGCACCATACTTGGAGAAATGCCCGAGTGATTAAAAACTTCCTAGTTCCCAACAACAGGGCCCCCAATCCCCACAGGAAGCGACAAGTTGTGGTCCACACTGATCCTCAATCTTACATGGCGGCAGCAGCGGCTGCAGCTGCCCAAGGTGCAACTACCATCGTGGACACTGCAGTACAACAACATGGTCGACCAGTGGCTTACACCCAATCCGATCTAGCAAACGCTGCCGCATATTTGGCCCAAAATCAGCCTTACCACCAGCAATATCAGCCTCAACCTCAACAACAACCTGTTCAACCACCCCATCAATACCAACAGTATCAATTGCCCTCAGCTGCACAGCGATCGCCACAAAGTGGTCAGACGACGGCTTTTACCTACGCACAGCAACCGGGTCAACAAATGTATGTGTTGCAAGATGATGGTGGCAATACTTACGTGCAATACAGCAGTCCAGTTCAAACGGGCCAGACCCAGGCACAACCTGTAAGTCAACTATTTCATTCACAAAGCCAATTCAGTTCTCGAAGTGGTGAACCAGCAGCACCAACGATCGCTCAGTCATCTCAGCAAACCGTTGCTTCGCCCTCACAAGTTCAAAAGAACAGTGGGACCAGTAATTCCCCGCAACAACTGCAGCAGCAAATTTCGCAAGCTCAAGCTGCAGTCCAGGCTATCCAGCAACTGAGACAAGCCCCGTCGCAAGTGCAACAACCCAGTGCTCAAGTGTCAGAGGTCAGTGGTGGTCAAGCTGCTCATCAGAAAAGTGTTCAGGACATTTTGACCGCTGCAGCAAGTAGTGGCAGCAATCAGTACATACTCCAAGCTGCAGGACAAAGTCGTAGTAGTGGTGGTAGCAGCAATACCTTTTCAGGAGCAGGAGCAGTTCAAGCAGCATCGCAGAACAGTTTTGTTATCCAACCCCAGACTTACGTAACTGGTCCGGGAGGTCAAACCTTTACCATCCCCGTTCCAGTACCAGCAGACCAAGCCAGTGGACAACCACAGCAACAACCAGGTCGGCAGGACTGGCATCAGCAACACCACCCACACCATAACCAACCACAAAATTATAGACAAAACCCGCATGCAAAAAGTCGCAACAACTTTGCAGACAGAATAATGGAAGCGTTACACGTAAGCAAAAAGGGGTTTGAACGGATGGACACGACCACCGCGGTCGTCCCTGCTCTTGCATCCACTGGAATTTTCCTGGGTCTCAGTGCCTTAGCTGCGGGATGGTATCTTTCACAAAAGAATCGAGAAGTTGGAATTGTGCGACGAACGGGAAAACCAGCGAGCCACAGATTCCGCAGAGACGCCGCCGCTGCTGCCTCATCTGTTAACAATTACCCCCAGGAAGTCGACCAAGCAACATTTTTCCAATCTATAATACAGCAGTCTCTCGAAAAGACACAGCAACAGTATGAGAACCAGGAACCAGCCTACAACAACCTCCAACAACAAGACCCAGTTTACAGTCGAGAACCTGAAGCTGAACGACATCGCCCCAACAAGAATTCTCGCATCAGTCGACCACAAAATAGGGATGATAATGATTCGTATTATGACAACCACAAGTCTCCAAAAACGCCATATGCACAAGAAAAATCCGGAGCTGTCACGATTGGATCCTCCAAAAACTTTGCGAAAGTCTTCATCCCTGCTTTGATTTTGGGCTTGTCGGTTATCAGCATTACGGCACTTATCTTCTTTTGGTATTTGACAGGAAATAATCGAGGCGAGTGATGTTTTACTTATGTTTTGGGGCAATTATTGCTTCTTAGAAATGTTAAAATTCGGGGTCTCATCTCCATTCTCGCTTTCTCATTTTGATACTTTCAATTGCAGAAATCGCATTCCTCGAGCCTTCCTCCCACTCTCGCAAGAAGCGTTCCCTCATGGGTTCCACCGCCTTGTCTGATGGCTGGCTCCAAAAGGCAATCACTGCCATTCACCACAACCCTTACGACCGAATGCCTGCCCCAACCTCCAAAAGTCTCTTGCCACACCCGTTCATGAATAAAGAGACAAGTAAAACATCGGATCTTGAATTTAAAATCTCGAATGCCGGACTCACAGGAGTTCTTGCAGGCGGGGCGCTGATTGCGATTGTTGCTCTAGGTCTGGCTAACTCTCTTTCAGAAACCTCTTCCACTCGGCAGCTAAAGAATGGACGTGCTAACCAAATTCCTTCTTCTTTTGCTCTCAATAACTCGCACCTTAAACATCTCAGGGCACCAAGATCCCTCACCGATGGATACAATGACTTGGATGAGCCAGACACAAACAATCCTGGATTCCTGTCCTCAATCATGACTTCGATTGAAGACGCGCAACAAAGCATCGTCAGCAGTTTGCATGATGTCGGACTCTTTGACTCCAAGTCTGGATGTTCCAAGCGACTTGTGTGCGAAATTCTCCTCTCGGAAGACGACACCACCTTGAGGACGACGGAGAAGAAGGTCACAACATTCTTTGACATGTAAGTACCTTAACTAAATATTATTACACGTTGGTTTGCAACCAAAATCCTGTGACCAGCATCGATTAGAGAAATATTGTATAGCAATGCAGCATTAGAAATATTTTGCATGAGGGAAATTTAGGACGAGATTGTTCCTTTAAAAATCTTTATTGATATTTGATTTCACTTTCTCTGTGGTGATTCGCTTTCGTTTACACACTTTTCGTCTCGTCTCCACCCGAAATGGATCACAAATGATTTATTTACTTACTTTCGATATCTATTCTCGCACAAACCACCGCTCATTCTTTTGCAAGCAGGGAACCTTGCATTTAAGAAATGTGGCGAGCGAGAAATTAATTATGGACATCGTCATTGGCATTGCACATTCTAAGTAAATACGTACGTTACGTTGCAAAGTTTTGTTACGTTAACATTTATGAACGTACAAACCACCGACTCAGCAAAACTTTCTAATCTCGGGAAACGCAGCTTGTATGCGTATACTTTTAATGGAGTAATTAGGAAGCGGAGACGTAAAGCACGTTCAACGTTGAGTACAAATTATACTGCAACCCAATTGCTATCCTCTTCGCCGAAATGAATTTTGGTGGATGCGGTTCCTTTTTTGCAAAAATCATCATCATCATCGTTAAGCCTTGCTTTGGTAAGGATGGCAGTGGTATTGGCATTCAATTAAAATAATTTTATGTGCTCTTCGTTCGTGAGAAGAAAAGCAGTAAATTAGTGGTCATGATTTGTTGCATGGGTTTAAAATTGGTTGGTTTTAGTAACTCGGAATTTTCTCAAATAATTTTAAGATCAGAAATTTAGAACTATCAGGAAAACGAATTTACTCGGCATGACACAACGTGCAGTGCTCCTTTCTGACTCCAAGGCTTCATACAAATTTTCAGTAAAATTAATCCACAGAAATTACACGGGAGTAAAAATTGCATTTTCTCAAAGCTAACTATCATTAAAAAAACGAGTTTTAACCTGTAACCAAAAACAGTGAGTAATAAGAAATGTCTGTTATTTAACCTTAGAATAGATACATAATTGCAATATTACTCATATTTGTCAAATAGTATGCTTGCAACACACGTTACAGTCACCCCTTCGAAAAATGTTATCAAAATTATCCTTTCAAAACTTGTTTGATCTCAGGTTTAGCCGTGATGATACGAGATATGAGTCTCGTCATTGTATTAGTTTTAGTCTCATCTTCTTCCCACCCATCCGATTACATGCAGCATTATTGGTAGCAAAACAATTTAACAAACGTGTATGCAAATGCCGAGAGTGACCGAATTACGTGAAATTTAAGCAAATTTCTTGTTGAGATGTGCAAGTTCAAAAAGTTAGCAGCATTTGGTTTGGTGATCACCAATCGTCATTGATCTCAAAACCTTTCCTTCTTTTTTCCCGAAACCAGTTTCCCTGATTTACCGTTTGTTTCCAAATTTACATAATGCAAATTGCTCCCTAAATCTAACGTAACAATTACAATGGTGCAGAGTCATATCCAACAATTTTTTATGAATGCGTATACAAATGATTTTTCCTTACTGAATTTTTGCACTACCGCACTGTTCTGTTTTTTTGACCGATTGTACATTTGGATACCGAAATGCACCAAATTTGTAATTAGGTTTGATTAGCAAATTAATTGTAATGAACCCAAAAATGTTTAGCTATTATGTTTAGAACTTTAATTCTGTTGGTGGACATTGGCGAAATGTATTACACGGTCCAATTCATCTGTGTAGAATGTAGGACATAAAAAAACTGAGAACATGGCACAACCGGTTTCAAAATTATGTACTGGCTGGCGTTGACTTATGTACATGAATGGTACGCAGTGGTCAACAATTGGCTTGACACGCCATCCAATGCTGACATACAAAAATCGGTTTCGTTGACTAACGGTTTCCTGCTAGAATCGCAGTCAACTTTTCATATTGGTTAAGAAAGTAAAATCATGTCAATGGAATACCAATTTACCCAATAATTTTTGCAAGTGAAATATTTTGCTAATGATGTTTATGTTTTTTTTATAGGCTGCCAAATTCAGTGTCCAAGTCGTGGAGAGAAAGCTTTGACGAAATCGTATCAGCAGTGGAGAAGAGGGATTGTTCCGCTTTCTCCTGTGGGGTTGGTTCAGTGGAATATTCTTCAGCCTCAAATTCAAGATAAAAAACGGGTGATTTTTTTATTTTCAAATCGGAAAAAATATTTTTTACAAAAAAATATTTAGTGAACTTTCCTTGAATACTCTTGAAATTGTGTGTTTGAAAAAACTACCAATTGTTAGCTTGCCGAGTTACTTGCTTCCTTTCTTCCACATTTCGTTTTGTGCTCTACAGTAAAAAAAGTAGCTCGATTGTAGCAAGAAGAGCATAAATCTGAACTGTGGTTGAAATCAAGTGAAAAATGTATGCTTAATATTTAAAAGCGTTTTACTATACATAAGTTTATACATATTACGATATTTGTTAGCATTTCGACTGAGTTTACTCTCGTTTGGAGATTTTAATTATGCATAGGAAACAGAACAGGTTAGCACAAAATTGTATTGCCAACAACAAATTTACTTTCATAAGTATTTTTATGTAATTTGCTCAGGTATGTTATCACTTATACGTGTAGTTTTAATTTTTAGCCATTGTGAGGTTGTCTCTAGATTTACTTGGTGCTTGGTATTTATTCTTAGTTTGTAGTATATATTGTGTCACATTGACGAGTGACGAGTGAAAGTGCAATAATACTCTGATGAAAGTTGGGACAAACGGTAAATTTAAGGGACAATTTTCCAGAGAAAAATGTCAATCTAATACTTGCATGAAATTAACGTATGCGTTTTGTGAAGGTTGGATTTTTATACATTTTAAAAACGAATAATAGTTACGCCTTGTGTTCGGTAAAGCCATTATGATTATTATTTTTTTGAGTTATTGGAACAGACAAATGACACGAGAACGAATGATGATGACGAGTAAATAAATAAATAAATGAAATGTTATATAATAAAAATCGTAACGTAAATCCGAATTTCTTTGTGCACTATCTGATTCGCCTAATTAATTGGGTCATGTTGACTGAATCGCTCATCGTCTTCGACCACAACCTCCTGACCCAGAACTCGCGTGATGTGATCACAACTGCATACAATAAATAATATGATTCATGAAAATCATCATCTGAGGAAGAAGTTGCACAGCTTTGCATCGCGATTTATTGCATCTTTAAAAACCTACGTCCCTTTTGCTTTGACTTACATAGATTGTCTCACAAACGGGTATTATTGAGGACGTGATACTTATAATCGTGGCAATCGCAAGACTCGAAGAAGAACCAAGTTCAGTAATATTAAAACAATAGCGAACATCCCTTCAAAGGTCTCATTTGATGTTTGGTTTGGTCTTGGTGACAGCAAAAATATTACTGCTCAACATATGCTAAACGCAAAAAAATCATAGTAGATTTGTACTAACGACATCAACTTCATGACAATTATTTATTGACGTATGCATAATATATGATATTGTGACATTTCAGCAGGTTCAATTGCCCAGTTTATCCGCAGAATGTCCAATATTTCTAAACGAATTATGGTTGCATAGAACAAGATAAGTTGGTATATTATTGGTGAACATTATTAAATTACCAGATTGGAGGTTATATTACGATTATTATTCTATTGTACTGACTCTGATTGCAAATAGAAATATGAATATTCTATTTTGCAATAATTTGTTAGTGATCCAGTTCTTTTTTGACGAGTAAATATATCTAGTTACAATTTAGTAGTGGAGCATGGAGATAAATTTTCAGTCGTCCGAGTCGTACTAAATATGTATACAGGATTATTACTTGACAAACAACATTGACATTATTGACATGAACATTTGTATGAATTATGTTATTACTGTCGAACGACTGTCACTAATGACTGGCACTGTGGATTACACAATTTGTGGTGATAAGAACCTGAAAATTGAAATTCGCAGAGGTTTTGATTCAGTCATTAGTACTTATCATATCATATTATGATTTCTTTTGCTTATCAATTTAAAAATAATTCTGAGAAACCAATCTTGTCGAATGATCATTAGCGATGAGTGGTTACAATATTTTGTGGAGCAAAGCTTTGAGGCGTGTGCATACCTCTGAACTTGGTGTAGTTAACAAATTAAGAAAAAGGGAAATTACAGTTAGTCGCGTATTTGCGTATGTTTGAGGTATTGACTATGGACAAAATGTGCACGATAAAATGAGAGACCTGGGAGATGAGATAATAATAACATGACACGACAGAGACAATATAATAATAATAATAATGATAAATAATAATAACACATCTCAACATACCAGCTAAAAAACTATACGAGCAAAAATATCACAAAATCACAAGTCATAAGAAAACCCAATTCCTTAACCTTCTATGTTTTCCTTTAATCCCCGTAATAACTGGATAATATCCCAACAAAATCGTGACTTCTTAATGCAGCTTATGTACACATGCAAATTTATGTGTAAAGAATGTCAAATTTTAAAATACGAATAACCAAAGAACTCGTAAAAGTCTCGTCTGTCTCATTAATACAAAGAATACAATAAGTGAATGATTATCTTGAACTTAAAGTTTCGATTAAAATTAAAGCCAACAACCACACATGTACACAGAGAGAGTACAAGTCTCCTCCAAAATATTATTATCAAGTAATAAAAAACACTAATTGTAGTATTATGAAAAAGTTATCATTCATTCGACATGTTTGTGTGTATGTATAAATAATACTCAAGTCACTTCAGTGTACTATACGCATGTTTCTTTTGTCAAATTTGCAGTGCGATTACCTAAATTTGAAATGGGACGCAGCAGCGGAGCGGGGTATCGATTCTATACATGTAGGCATAGACTACTAAAAGTACAAGTCGAATGATCATTACATATATAAATAATTTCTAATTAAACACCTACTATCAGGCAACATCTAGTTTCTCAATGAGCATTGACATAGAATCAATTTCATGCTTGATGCTAGCCTCTCCCTTCAAGACATTAAAAAAGCTAGTTCTCGGAGATACAGACAAGGGAGACTCCAAACTGTTGCTGCCATTACTGGACGCTGTCCCATTGCTGTTGTCATCATAACAGACCAGCTTAAATCGAACTTGCTTGCTCCCCGACTTGTTTGGAGACTGTCTGAGATCTTCCAGGGATTTTGAACGAGACATTAAAATTGGAACAGGAAACTTGTCAGTCTTGCTGTTGTACATAAGTCCATCACGAAAGGGAAGATCGTGATACTCGTCGACAAACAAAAGAGGCATCGTTGGATCCCTTCCACTACTACTCTCCGAGTACGAATCAGAACTCCTGACCCTTGCCGCAGTTCCTCCATGTGCCAACCCTAACCTTCCCATGGGATTTAAAAGACTATTGAGTGGTTTCCTCTTGTTGATATCATAGGGCGATGGACGGTGTTTTTGCCTCCGGAAATGCATCTTATTTGACCCGGCAGCGCAGTATAACATTGCTTTTCCAACACCATGCTGATTCAAGGTATTCTCCTTTGTGGGTATGAAACATGTCGACGGATAATCACATCTGTTAAACAAATCATACAGTCAGTTATTTTTAGTACATTTTAAATGGTACATACATACATTCTAAATATAACATAGTTATATAATTTCCCATACCTTCGCGAACTTGCTCCACAACTGACTGACCTAGCCCCTCGTAACCTCATATCCGGTGAGGAGTACTGGTTCCTCGCGTTCAAGTCCGAATTATTGAGCATGCCGTCTAAAGACTCGAGACCATCATCTTCTAAACTAACTTGTTCCATAATATTTTTTTGCAAAGATACGATAATAATTACACGTCCAGGCCAGCGTTATTGACTGCTATTTGTTGTATGTACTTATCCTAGACTACGACGAAGAATCTTTCTTTTTATACGAAAACTATTCCATTATTGATTCCTAATTTTAAACTAATTTTGAATGTCTTCGCTGTCTTTGGTTTATCCTTTTGTCCCTGCTACGACCAATCCATGATCTGCTTTGCATGTAACGCGACAAATTTTCTGCAAAAATCCAGAAACACAGTTAATATTGTCGTAATAGCTGCTGCTCCCATCCGTTTAAACAAGATGCTGCTCGTCACATATTGTGCTTGTTTTTTTTTATAAAAGCCTGTATAACCAAAATGTTTACAAACCTTGGGACGTCACTTGTTTATATGAAGTACGCCAACCAAATGTAGTGGTCCTTGAGGAGGGTGGTCGTTATTCTAAATACGAATAATAATCTGTCTGGACCATCATTAGCTACCTAATTGTACGGGATGTTTTAAAGCAGTTCTTGTTTACAGTGATTATTATTTATGAGTGGATGGATGTATTATTTCTGAAGTAGCAGTAGTGCAGCAGTATGTTTACAATTAGACTTTTATTTACCATCATCATCGGATGGATCTCAAAAAGTGGACTCGTCATTTTCTTCCAGCTCCATTTGTTTGGAACGGACAACGTAAATAAATGAACTTGTCTCACAGGCCGTCCACACATCCCGTCAAATGGCGGTCCCCACCAACGACGGCACTCATGCAAAAGAGCTGCAATCAATTTTTATGAGTCGTATGGATTTATTGACAGGTTCCGACATTGTGAATTGTTTGTGATATTTGTGCTTGCTGAGCTTGTACTTTTTACTAAAATAGACTGAAGTCGTACTAGCAGTTAGCACTATAAATAAAAATATGGTTTGCTATTGTCTTTCTACATAGTCCGTTTACATTGCATTGCATTTTTGCAAAATAATCATGCTTAAACATATTAGACATTGTCTGTTTTTCCTGAAATTTCCAAATCTTAGCATTATATATTAAATCTTCTGGCTGATACAAAGTCATGATTCCAAACTGGTGCATGAAGAACTGTGTGAAATCGTTCGAGATAGTCACATATTCTCATAACTTTCTCCAATGTAAGATTGCATATTGTCTCAGTCAGTGTCAGTATCACGTAACTATTTAGGTATGATTGCATTTCCTTTAATTGCCTCTCTCTCAGTACACTTTCATGAAAGTTTTTCCAAATTCATCGTCGTTGTTGTACGTTCCGAGCAATGTTTAAAAGGCTGCAGGTTTGGTGGTGATGCATCCTTCCAGAATGTGGAGGCTGTACATGGCGTTAGGTTCCATGTGAAGAAATCTCACTCGGCGTGGCTCTCGTTGTTTGGGAGAGTTTATTAGTTGCAGACACCGATGAGATGTGAGACTCGCTCTGTTTTGGTTCCACTTGGACTGCCCTCGTCGCAAATATAATGCTAAAACAGGATTCAAGTTCATCATTTTTTACAATGTGCAGACAATCATCGTCATCACGTAATATGCACTGCTGTTGAAATAGCAACGCGACGATCGCAATTACAAAAGTCACACCTCCAGCCCTAATCCAGTTATATCGCAATGTTCGTTATGCCATTTGATTCAATTCAATGGGTATCGTTTAAACAAGTCTTTGTTGAATAAATAAAATGTTAAAAATGTTTTTCATATTCACATCGAGAATGATAACATTAATTTTAATTAAGGGCTTGTCGAAAAGCAGTCTCATTAGTCTCATATTATACTTCATTCTTTCTTCGTAAACTAACCACTCGAGTAAAATGCAGTTATATGTAATAGATAATGATATTGATTCAGACTAAATATAGTCGGTTTAATATAATACGTGTCAATGGGTTCAGTCACTCACCATTATGTTTCCCTTGAAGAGTATGTCATTGAATAAAATATCGTTAAAAAACATGCAGAACGCATCATCAATTGTTCTATAATTGTTGTCCAATCGGGTTCTGGCATAAATAATTTAACTGTTGTTCTCGTTCTCTACAAAATGGGCAAAACAACAACTGCGCCAAGCCTACCAAACTTAATGTATTACGTAGTTTGTGAATTATGGAAAAATAGGAACAATCATGCAGCTAGAAAAAATTGCACGAGGTAACGCAGCACGGACGGGAAAAATGAGACGTGATGGGAAGGAGTTAGAGGCAAAATGAGAAATTCTCGCAATACCCTCGTGTCTCACTTCAGCAGGCACATCCATCCAGCATGCACCACCACCACAGAGTGAGACTGACTGACTGCCTTGATCAGAGTTTTTCACCAACTTCCGTCACTTCAGCTGTTCATACATATTTTTGTTTAAACACTTGAGCATTGAATTACATTAACCTCTTTTTCCGAGTCAATAATTATAATTTGTGATTCGTTAAAGTGTCAGTCATCTCAACTCAACCTAGATCTCAGAAAGAAGACGATGACAAGAAGCTGGATTAATCTTTAATGGCTGGGGAAAGGCTGGTGGGTGGCTACATTTATTTTTATTTTTAATATAACATGGAAGTGGAATTTAAAAAAAAATCAAAAATGGTTTGATTCGAGTTGATACTATTTTATATTTTATATTTAATAAGCATTAATTACTCTGTTGTGTGCCTCATTGTTGACTCATGGTCAGGTTTTTCTGTGGGTACCTAAATAATAAGCAGTATGGTCAAAAACTAGTTTGCATTGAACTTGAATGGATAAATTGTTAATAACGTCACGTCATGAATTTCCATTCTGTAGTTATAAGAATTATTATGAGTTACAAATTTTTATTAAATTTAACTATAATTGTTGAATCCATAATATTAGCATAACATTTTATTATGAGTTGGTTATACATTCTAGGTAAAGACAAAAGGAAGTAGTAAGATATTTACTTCCAGTAGGAAAGAAACGGCTCGTCGAAAACGTGTTTTGTGAAAAAATTTAATAAACACATGTCTTTCATATTCCAGAGTGCAGCAGGATTGAAAGGTTATCTACTTCCTTCCTTCCGTGTTCATCCGTGTTCATTTGAAAGAGGTCATTCAATGAGATATCAACTGCCTGTTCCCTAAATTGATGGATCTGTTGTAAGTTTTTATTTATATGGTAATATTAATACATTTTGATTCATTGTTATTTAAAAAATACTTTACGATAATATTTGACATATTTTTCTAGAAACCTAGCAGTGGTAGAAAAAGTCAGATCTGCTTTATTAGGACAAGATCACGTGATAAAATAATTATTAAATCTCAACTTGATCAATTGTTTGTATTTAAACAAAATCACCGTAAGATCATTTATTCGAAGTTACCATGCATCACCACAGTGAAGACAAGGATATTACCACGCCATCGTCGTCGGCTGGGGATGGAACAACGCCTTTTAAATCACAATCGTCCAGCAATGAAAGACGATTATCGAAAGATAATGGCGATGACACATTTGTTTCTGCCATGGATTTGAGCAGTGTTTTAAACTCGAGCCAGATTTCCACTTCTTCTAGTGACTCCAACTCTTCGTCGGCTTCATGTCATTACAGCAGCAGCACGTCGACAGATTGTAGCTCAGCGCTCTCTGCATCAATATCAACTTCAGTAAATTCAAAGTCAAGTTCGGAAAAAAGTGCCGGCGGAGAAAGTAGTGCAGACAAGAAAAGGAAGCAAAAATTAAATGACAATACTACTGTTGGTTGTGAAGGGAGTCCTGTATTTGCGACTTGTACCACATTTTCGTCCTCGTCATCAACCACGTCAGCCTCCACCGTGCGTAGATCTGAAAGCTGGGGTGCCTTACGCAGTGCGAGTATAGAGAGCAGCAAAAGTGGGGGGAGCGACAAGGAAAATTTTTCTAGCAGTGGGGCAGATCTTCGAACGAGCGTAAGCAGCATGAATGAATCTCGTCGTCAACATAATCATCATAATCCGGATACGTATCACACTCCAAGTGCGTCCATGCACAGCATTTCACGCAGCCAGAGTAATTCTTCAGAGTCTCAGCGTGTTGGGGACGAAGCAAAAAGTGGTAGTACCAACAACCTTGCTACCAACAACAAAATAGGGCACGATGTTACTTTGGATTCGTCGACCACTTGTGCCGATGTGAAGAAAGATCTTGCCGAACTTGTTAACCGGGTTCCAAACATCGAGGCGTTGGAATTTATAGAGTCCCAGCAACTTAAACCATCTACATCTCTTGCCACGACCCTAGGAGAAGAGATTAATAATGGCAAGGCGGAAAAAGATCGAAGACTCTCCGGAATCATTGAGATTATGGGAATTGATATGAACGAGCTAGGTTCGTCAGAATCTAATGCTTCTAAAGAAGGAAGTATTGGCGTTGGTCCTACGTCAAAGGAATTGGCAAAGGCTGCCAAACTAGCTCGGAAACCAGCTAAAAAGCGAATGTGGTATCAGCAAATTTTTAGTGCTTCGTATAAGAGTCGTAGTGGAGATTTCAAGAAATTGTTTAAGGAGTTGCCTATAAAAGAAAGGTTGCTAGTAGGTAATTAAAATTAACTGAACTCATTGCCAGTCATTGCTTGTTGGACTATTAAAATATAAGGAGTTATAATTCCATTTTAATTTTTTCAGATTATTCTTGTGCCCTGCAGAAGGAAATATTAGTTCAAGGAAGAATGTACGTGTCACAGGTAAAACCTTTATATTTACGTACACCGTAAAATATCGTCACACATTCGATAATAAACTTATTTCTGTGTTTTTTGTACGTGTCACAGGGTTATTTATCTTTCCATGCGAATATCTTTGGATGGGAGGTAAGAATTAAATATACAGAAATATATTGTTACATGTATTATTTATACCACTAAACAAACTGTAGCCACAAGTACATATGAATATTATATGCATAAATATATTAAATTACAGACACAAACTTCAATTAGACTTCGCGACGTTACTTCTATAACAAAGGAGAAAACTGCTCTTGTGATTCCTAATGCGATTCAAGTCATTGTCGATTGTGGAGATAAACTATTTTTTACGAGTTTTGTCACCCGTGACGCAACGTACCTAATGCTATTCAAACTTTGGCAAAATGCTTTGTTAGAAGATGTAAGTTATCCTCAAATTAATTGGCAACAATAATGAATAGGAATAATTTTTATTGTTTACTTTGATTAGGGAATGCCTTCCAAAGAAATTCAACGCCTTATCCACTCTTCATATGGAGAAGAGTTGGTAATCACCAGCGATGACGAGATTGATGAGAGTTTGAGCTGTAAATCTATCGCTGTGGGTGACTTGACGGACAATCCGTCAATGGCAGCTGAATTCGAACAAAGCAAACCTATTCTAATCAGCAACGACACAAAGGTGAGGCGGATTATTATTCATTTGGATAATAATTTAAAGTTGGGAGAAGGCTGACTTTGTTGATAGCTTGTTGGAGTCCCTTGTGGAGGGTGTAAGTCGCGGGATGTCAATATACATAGGCTGCCACTTTAATTAAACGTAATGGGGTACGAGTGCATATACATGAGATCCAAATTTGGGGGTTTTTGTCCTCCATCTGCTGACCTCTCTGTGACACTGATTTTTTACAAGGTCTTATCAATCTGGACGCTTATTTGAGTTATCATATGCACAACATGTTTTGTATATTATAGACTAACTTACTCATTTCAATTCTGCGTGCTATTACATTTTTCAAAATACTGATGGAATATGCACATAATATGTTCAATATATGTAACAGTGGTTATTTGTGCCTCTGAATTGTTTAAACACCTGTCCACGGCAATTCATATTATTTTGTATCATTACAATAACGTTTATATGATAGATTGTTGTATAAGTAGAAATGCGGAACATATTTGAGTTATGCATGCATGTAGGTTAGGTTCTACTCTCATCTACCCCATCGCCATCGCATCATGCAAAAACATGAATTGTGAATCATGATTGATTTAAACTAGGGAAGCTTATAAATATACGAAGCAGGTTGTACTATCGGTCGGTACTACATACTTTAGTTAAGTACATTAGCAATCCGGTGCCATATTACCACTGAAGATAAATAAATATATCCGTGGAGCATGAATTATCGTTAGAGGTTTATCATAAATCGATACCACAGGTGTGTATATAGTAGGTCATACAAAGATTCAGATAAACACTTTCATTGCATCACTCGACATTTATCATGAACATGGCTCACTTATGTATGTGAATTGGACACATTTGGAAAACCTTTAAGTCAAGTGTGCATTGAGTTGGCCAAATTGTCTGAATTGTGGCTTGTTTGCATGTGACCATGAATTTTTATCAACACTAAACCAACTCGGCCTATTGTTGTTCGTGACATTTTCTTCGATGGATAATGCATAGAGCATTATGGTTTTACATATCATTGTGTTTTATTAGGTCTAATATTATAACTTTAATTGCAAGAAACCCTCTGACCTTACTGATTGGCTGACTTTCTAATCAAAATCTTATTCGATTCGCATATTATACGCAAATTTTAGTGAATTGTCAAGCTGTGATAAGTCTACAGGGTCATTCATATTGTAGGTTAACTAGTTAATAATGTGCTCGTTGTAATAATTTTCGAAACAAAATGCCATCTCCAACAAATTCAGAACGTGAGCAATCCGAGTTTTTGTCCAATCAACTCCACTCTGGTTGGGTGGAGAATCCTCGCATGAATCGGAGTATCTCATGCGTAGAGTTTGACAGTGATGACAAAATTGAGGACAATAAAATTTCACCCACTATTGACCCAACCCCAGCAGCACCAACCCCCCGGGTTAAAAGTGAAACCATTTTTGGACACGTATTTTCTCGCGGTGGTGGAAAACGCAAGGACCTAAAGTTAAACTTGGAAGTTGCAAATGGACGTGCAAATAATTTGAGAGCTTCGAAAAGCAATTTAGATTTATCCGGTGGTATATCATCAGACACAATAGCCCCAGATTTTCATCTCTTTAAGAAAACATTTTCCAAGCGAACCCACAGCACTATTTCAACAACGACGACTCCCACTCCGAATTCAGAGACTAGCTCAGTGTTTAGCTCAAAAAAACGGGAGCATAATAAATCTAAAAAGAAATCTAAAGATTCATTTATTTCATCATCGTCATCGTCAAAAAAACATGAGGTTTGTTGACTTTGTTAAAAAAAATTGGGAGTGTATGTTACATACGATTTTGCATATGCAATAGATGGTCAACCGGCGAAAGTAATATGTGTCATGAATTATATTTTTTATTTTCATAGATCAATGGGAATGAAATGGGCCCTTCAATAATTATCACACACAACTCGAGTCCACCAGTTACTAAAATTCATGAGGAGTTTCATAATGGCACATCAAGCGTGGGAATGGAACCTTCAGATCTCAGCGATTCTAGTGATTCAGACCAAGAGTTCCAAGCTGCGGAAGGAATGGAAGAGTTGGACTCGAGAGAAATTCCAGTTTGTCCTGCATCGCATACCGAAGGACGTGAAGTAATTAATACTGCAATTTCTTGCAGCATTGATCAACTCTTCACCATGCTCTTCACCAGCTCCAAATTCTACTTGGATTTTCATACTTCCAGAAAAACTTTCAGTATGTGGTACATATATGCTTCTTAATAGTACTTATTTAATGAAATTGTGTTGTGCAAATATGATGGTATATTGAAAAGGCGCTGTTTTTATGTATATAAATTATAAAACAGATATTCAGCAAGCGCCTTGGGAGTTTGGAAAAGATAAAAAGAAGACTCGACAAGTCTCAATGACGGTATGTATGTATAGTTTGGGCATTTTATGATGAAAAATTGTAATAACATATTATTTGTATTGACTTTATTAATGGGAAATCAGAGTAAAATTCAAACTGGCTGGAAAATATTCATGAGATGTACTTGAATGTAGGTATCCTTGAATGCAGTGATGGGGCCAAAGCATTCACAAATAACAGAGACCCAAGTCATGGACACGGTCAGCAAACCTGGATTATTTTATGGCATTGACTGCGAGTCTGTCAATGCAGGGGTTCCTTACGCCGACACGTTTTATGTAACTGTGCATTTCTGTCTCTCTCGAATATCTGCGACAGAGACGAGGTATTATATTACATATTATTGCAGTAGTTTGGTTCATGTTTCGCATTTAGGAAAAATGTTTGTGGCAGATTTGTGGCAGTTGCAGACATCAAGTATAGAAAATCAGTTTGGGGGATTACAAAATGTGAGCTTTGCCATTTTTTGATAGCGTTTTAGTAAGCAAACTCCAGTACGCCATATCTTAATTAATGTTTTTTTGTCACAACTAACCTTGCAGCCATCATCGAAAAAAATGCTTGGGTAAGTTATTATTTTCTTATTATTGTTTCGGATGTATCTCAAAATAGTCAAAATACCTTTTAACTTGTTTTGTTCAACTACCAGGCTGGACTGGAAGAATTTTATTCTCACATGGAACGAGCTTTGAAAGAAGAATGCACCAAAATGACTTTAGGGGGATCTCCAATCCCATCGCCAAAACATGAAGCTTCTCTCACAAGAAGAAGACCTCCTAGAAATAAGGGGAGAGCGCCCCCCGTTCCTATAGGGGTCACTCCATCTAACAAAATAGGGGGAGGAGGAGGAGGAATGGTCACCAATGAGGCACCTGACGCTACTGTACGAGAATCAACCTCGGTAGCCACGACGCTTCCCTTTGCCAGCGATAGTTCTTTAGTCCTCAAGATAATTGTGTGCATCTTAAGTGCGTTACTGCTGTTGAATGCGTTTCTATATTTTAAACTCAACCACTTGGAGAGTTCTACAACTATGTCTTCATTATTTCCTCCTCCTTCCTTTACACTCCCTGGGTACGTGTCAATTTATACATATGCCAAGTCGACCCCATCTCGATATTCTCGATCTTGAATCTCAATAATCATGTATTTATTAATTACGCGAATAATACGTGTACTGAAAGTATTCACTATTTTCCAGCGAGATGCCACAAAATCATCAAGATTGGTTGCTACTTTTGCAAAAACAGGAAGCTCTACACCGCATCGAGCTACAAAAGTGGCATGAAATATTAATGTCAGCTTTGAAAATTTTACACCAGGTAGATATATAGTTGCTGCAATTTATCTGAAAGTCTGAACTTTTGAATGATTAACCTTTTATTTATTTTTTCTTACAGGCGGAGTCTGATTTGGAAGCTTTGAAATTCCACATCAGTTCTTATTCTGGGGGAAAGTATTCTGTTGAAATGACAAAACCAGAAGATCCTACTAGCAGTCATATCAACATAAAATCATCAGACAAATCTGCCATGACTGGAAGTGATGATACAAAAACTGGAGAATACTTTACAAAAACTTTTCAAGAAGATATCAGAGCAGCTGAGCTATAAAAATTGATGTGAAAAGTACTACATATTAAGTACATACGATACACCTGCATACTACTACTACGACACACAAATGACGCAACGAAATTCCCTTAACTAGAGAAATTATGCATTATTATTCAGGCATGACATTATTTTATGGACAAGTGAAAGTAGCTTTTATATGAGTAGGAATATAACGTACAACGGTTTAGAGGTATTTGGAAACGTTGGGTACTTTTTGATAGGAAACCCGTCTGTGATTATGTATGGTGGCTGGAGAGTATAGTTTATGGCTTATTATACTGGGTAGCCAAACAAAGTGCAATAATAATATGATAGAATCTAAGTCGGAGGGTATAAGTCTAATTAAAACGTACTTATTCTTAGTGATAAAAAGTTTTAGTCATTTTCTGCAGGTGCCCTTACAATTATGTTATTGAAATAAAAATGTCTTGCACAAAGTTTAAAAGTATTCCTTCCTACTCTAAGAAACGAATAAAGAATTTACCAAAATATTTACTATTTGAGGAAGTGTACTGGTGGTTTATTAGCAAATTCGCATTCATTATATTTTATCTTTACACTTAATATAGTGTATGAGGATCACAAATGAAATTTCACTGCATTAAGCTAATTTACTCACTCGCATTAATTATTTCATTATTAGGGAGTGAGAAAAGACAGTGAAAAAGACAGGATTTCATTATATAATTAACACCAACATGCGAAAACTCAGAGGTGACAATGGTGACATGGGCAACATTTTCAATATTCAAGCAGATACGGGAGTCAATATAATATGGGTATAGTTCAACAAGTTTGAATCATTCTATTGTTACACAAAAATCAGCGAAATTTAAAATGAGAACTAATTATTAATTTTTTAGCATTTAAATTCTTTTCCATACTAGCATCAAGAATTCTTTGATCCTCCTCCATTATTTGACGAATCTCCATTGTTCACTTTGGATCCACCTCCTATGAGCTTTTGTTCTAAATTCTTTAGTACCCATTTGTGTTTTGCAACTTCTAAGGCTTCCCACTCGGCCTTAAATGCGGCCTTAGGATCTTGTGGCATTGCCATTGCAGCTCCTGACATTTGCTCCTGCATCACTCTGGACTGATCTGCAGCATTGTTTTCTCCAAGCACAAGAGTGTAAATACTTCGTAGTCCAAATACATTGAGGAAATACCATGACGCTGAAGACACCCATGATGCATCCAGTGATTGTAACTCTATCCCTCGTTGCAACATTGGCTTGAACCTCAGTGTCAACGGAAAGGGAACTAGATAAAGATATGAAAACAAAAGAGTATAAAGAGGTAAACCTAAATAGTCATTCCTGAATGTGAAATAAGCAAAGTACCTTTTGACGTGACAAATCCTGAAAATGTCCAATTGATCCAACCACCGATGAGGATCATGGGAAGGACATTGGTTACATTCCCCTTCAACATTTCCGTCATCATATTTGGATCGGACATTGGATTTGGCTGTTGAGCCTGACGCTTTTGTGTTTTGAAATAACCAGTGTCATCATCGTTGAAGAAATATCTTCTCATTTGATAACTTTGCTCTGGTAAATATTTTCCATTTTCCCTCAGCGCTCTTGCTCGAATCATTGCTTGGCTGTCTTGAACCTGCAGAATTTCTACTTTCTTCTGTGACGATAAAAGAATCGAGATATAATGTCTCACGATTCCGACTAGAAATGTAATTATGATGATTGGGACAAACACCCAGCTTCGAATATCTGGATCTAGTACCAAGTCGTCAGCCATGGCTAAAAAAACAAACAAAAATATAAACTTATGACTATTTTCATAGTGCTGTTATAATAATAAGAAGAAGGAGCAACCTGCTCGAATTTTGAAAAGCATTTTGACAAGATTAGAATTATACTACTGTTTGGAAGAATAAGTGCCACATTCGCTCACAAAATTGAACAAAAGCTGAGCAGCTGAATGAAAAATTATAATTTTTGCAAAAAAATACTAAACAAGACACGTTGAGTCACTAGTGCCGCTTTCTCTATGGCGACGACAACTCGGGGTCATGACTTAACGTACCTTGATATTCCAACATGCAAACGAACTTACTTTATATAAGTCTGCGAAACTCCCGAATAATGAATAATGACTAAATGGGCAACTTATAATATAATTAATAGTTCACAGTTATCTTAGAATCGGTCAATAATACGGGTCATATTATGCAACTGCTGGGCTATAAACTAGTTCTTAACAATGTAAACTGCGTTGCATATCAAGATTATGAATTACATAAAACTAAATAAACTTTATGAGACAATTAAAAACTTTTGATGACACGATTATAACAATTAGACTGGAGATTTTGGGTTTGGCGGAGAAAAAGTCACGTGGCCGGGCGGAAATCTTCGAAAAGGTGTGGCCGAAGGGAGAGGCGGAGCTTCGCCGCCAATCGCTTCATCATGCGAGTCACTGAACTTGAATGGCTCATTTCCCTCCAATCCCTTACTGTTCAGGGTCTAACAAATTGTAAATTAAACATATTCGACAAAAAATCATATGATCACATTGTAGAACGTTCTTTAATTACTTTAATCAGTTTAGTTATGTAATTATGTATGCTAAAAATTGTGCTTAAAAAATTCAGCCTAGTAATATCTTAGGCTTCGCACCATCATCGATTTTTTGGAGACTACCGACGAAGCAGGTCAATTACTGACACGATTTACTAGCTGATTTGACCTCAATGATTACATTCAAAACAAATTGTTATTTGGGGACAATAATGTTAGAATAACTCATCAACTATAATTTTCATCTTTTTCTGCGCATGTCTTGATAATGACTGGCAGATAGCATTCGAAATATTTACAAATAAAGTAAGTTTTTTCTTAGTTTCCCCACTAAAATTTCCGTGTAACAAAGTGATTTAGCTAGGTGCTGTGCTGCTGGGGCCTAATAGCGAGGAACCAGTACCAAACGTCAGCTTTACTGGAAAAACTGAGGCGAGGCTACTGCTTTCTCAGCCGCACAGGCGCACAGCACCTAACTAAATCGCTTTACTCGCATTGGGTATGTTATATTTTGCGTGGTTAGACGCTAAATGGTGATAAACCGGTAGCCTCCTTACTCTCTTATTAAGACCAGGGTTTCTCACTATTTAAGCTCCACCCTTAATGCGAGTTATCACGCAAATAATAATATTAGTACATTTATTTAGATTTTAGATATTTTCTAGCCCTGTATATCCGCCACGGAGCTGGGCGGAGTCGGTCGAATTGCCAAGTCCACGTCAGCGATTCTCTCACGTTTTGCGTCACACAGAAAGATTCTCTGACTCATGAGTATTTTTCCACTCGATTCTCTCATCCTTTATTTTCGCGTCGTTCGTGTTACCTCCCTGTCAGTTTCTCACTACCGTCCTTGCCACACGCACATCACATCGCTCTCGGAATACCTGCTCAGCTCTGAAAACTAGAGTTCGTGTGAAAAGGCGCATTCTCCGCTACCACCACCACCATACAAATAATATCCTCTCTCTCTGTGTCTTCTCCTGCTCGTGTGTTCAGTTAGTTGCTGAGTTCTCGTCTTGTCTGTATGCTGTGCCTGCTGCGAGTGTGAGTGAGTGCAACATTACAGACGAGTCCCTCTCAACCAACCACTCCGTTCACTTTGCTGCTGCGAAGAAAGGAAAGATGGAGGACAGCCAGCACGGGATCATTGGCAACCACGGCCACCAGATCTGCGAGGAACCTCAGCCCAAAAAGCGCTGCATCCGATTCGCCTCTGACCTCAGCGCTGAGGACCCCAGTGACTCGGGTTTTGGTGACCTGCCCTCCATTTCGAATTCGTCGTCTCTGGGGAGTGGTGGGGAAAATGGCGACTTGGAAGTGTCCTCCTTCTTCGAGTTGGCCAGCTCGGGTGAGTCATCGTCACTCGTTCTCTCCTCTCATTGGTCCACAGCCACGGCTCGTGCCCGAAGCCCCACGAGGGAGCGGCTCAGGGGCCAGCTTCTTCCCCAAATTCCGCACCTCGCTGCACCACCTCGACTAGTTCTCCGACCACCGCTAGATAACCCACTTGCCCATAAATTCTCTTTGTTCAATTAATATTTACCATTGTGGTGTGGGGCATTTTGAGATTTTTATTATTATTTATTATTATTTTTACTCGGCTCCATAAATTCATAGACTCAATTAGATTTGTACAAATTATGCGATGTAAATGATGATTTATAATTTGCGTCCGAATTTCGGTGACGATTCAAATTGCCTGCTATTTTTTGCGACTGAAAAACATCCAACAGTTGCTAATGTCATATCATATTTATAATACATATACATTGTTTCTGACTTTAGTGTAATTATATTACAGAATTAAGCAAACTATCCCCTACTGCTCTCCAGGAAGAAGATGATGAGAATGTTTGTAAACAACCGGAAGAGTCCCAAAGACATTTGAGCAGCAATAGTGAACCGTGTTGCAGAGGTAGCAGCTCATCCAGTAGCAGGTCGTCGTCAGCCAATGATAACCATGACCAAGATGATGAAGAAGAAGATGATGACACATCTCAACCCATTGACGACAATTTTATCGACCTAGTGCTGAATACGAAGGAAATCTCTGGAAATTCTTCAAGAGCTGCTATGATGCAACGATTCCTTTCCCATTTGAGGAGCAACCCCAATGATGCACAACTCCAACATTTCCTAGCCCTTTTACTCTCAGGCCCAGAATTCGCTCCTCCGCGACATAGACTGCGACATGTAACGTCGATCCAGGATGCAGCACGTCTATTGAAGTATGCTTGCAAAACATAAATTTAACATTTCGACTCGTCTTCAATCGAAACAATTTCATTATCATTGCATTGATGTTTAGATGTTCCAAGAAAATTTTGGTGTTGACTGGAGCCGGAATATCTGTGTCATGCGGAATTCCAGGCATGTGCCTATTAAAAATAAATAAATTAGTATGTTGTATTATTTACTCTATTGTTGAATTGTTTATTATTTAGACTTCCGGTCAAAGGACGGCTTGTATTCTCGTGTAGCTAAAGTATTCCCAGACCTAAGGGACCCACAAAGCGTCTTTGATATTCGACTATTTAGAAAGGATCCGAGACCATTTTTCCTCACTGCTAAAGAACTTTATCCTGGCCAGTTTCAACCCTCACTCTCTCACAAATTCATTAGCAAGCTGGAATCACGTGGTCAACTACTACGCAATTATTCACAGAATATTGACACACTAGAAACAATTGCTGGAATTCAGAATGTCACCATGTGTCATGGCTCTTTTGCTACTGCAACATGTCTTCGATGTCAACACAAAGTTTCTGCGGATGAAATCAAAGAAAAAGTTTTATCTGGCGAAATCCCATATTGCAAAGTTTGTTCCACTGAAGAGGAGACGAGTCAAATTAAATATCCATTGGGACAACCACCTATTGTAGTATCCCCTGTAACACCCAATAGCGATTCAGAGGAAACTCGAGCTGGACCTCAACAGGAAGACGATGATGAAGAGATGTATCCAACTGGAGAAAATTTTCCATTGCCTCCAGTTGTCAAACCTGACATTGTATTCTTTGGCGAGGATCTTCCAGGTATATATTTTTTGCAATAAACGTTTCATTTCAGAATTGTATTGCCCGTGCAAGAAATAAGATTACATTACTTGGCATTATTCCAGACGAGTTTCATAACAATTTACAACTGGACAAGCCAAACTGTGACCTGTTGCTTGTTATTGGATCATCCTTGAGGGTTCGACCAGTCTCTTTGATTCCTGGTAAAACTTATGCCAAACTTTGAAATGAATATTTTAGTTAAAGTCCTAGATTAAAATGATGTTTTAATTTGCGTCTGAGATATGTGACGATTCCAATTGCCTGCTAAATATATTTATTTTCTGATTTGTTGTACATACATATATTCTTGTATTATACAACATCAAGATATTAATTTATTCACAAATAGTATACTAAATGCAATGTATTATTTCCTTATTCCAGGAATGGTCCCACCTGAAGTACCACAGATTTTAATTAACCGTGAATCCCTTCCACATTGTCGCTTTGATGTCGAGTTACTAGGAAATTGTGACCACATCCTAGCCCAATTGAGCAAAATGATTGGATCAGATTTCACGGAACTGACTGATGGACCAGAACTCAGGGAAATTGACAAGTTGCCAAAGGGAGCTAATTTGACTGATGGTGACATAAAGGACCCAACATCAGAGCACGACATGCATTCATTTTTGAAAGCATGCTGGGAACCAAAGACCAACGAAAAGTTGGTCGACCGATTGCCATGTGAGTACCTTATATAGTCATAATATATACAAATCTTGTTCATACTGACCTCCGTATCTTTAATATGAAGGGGAAAAACTACAAAAGTGGATTGAAAAATAAGGATAATTTATGTTTTGTTAATTTTAGCCGATACATACTTGAGCTGGAGGCAACGACAGTATATTTTCGAAGGTGCTGAGGAAATCTATGATCCAGATGACGATGAGGACGGCGACACCTCATCATCGTCATCCGATAGCTCCTCGAATTGTTCTTCAGCAGTGGATGAAGTTATCACCCGGGACAAGGAAGTTGATGATGAGCTCCAACAAATATCAACAAATAATTCCAAACAAACTCCAATGATTTCGTCAGTTCCATCCACCCTTATCAATAATGAACTTAAAGCCGATGGGGACAAATCAAACTAGAACTAATAGTCATGCATTATTTATTTAATTTAATAATGCACTTCACGTTCACCATACTACTACTACTACTACAGGCTACTACCACTAAATATACAATTAGTGCTACCGATAAAGAATCTAGTACTTGAATCAAACCTATTCGCTACGTAACGTATTAAAGTTTTATTACTATTATTTGTTGTACAGTATAGAGAATCAAGCGTAGATATAGTGGTAGTAAACCAAGCTTTTTAAAATTCAATGAAAATTTAATTCATACAAATTGTACAAGTATCGAAACAGTTTAGATCATACAACAACTTTTAATAATTTAACTACACCATTTTAATACTATATCACTATGTGTATTTATGTAGTGTAATAACAACGCTGCGCGAATAGGTTGATTTTATTGGAGGATACCGGTTGTCGGTGGTTAATATTGTACATTGGGTAGACATAAATATTCCTGTGTATATATATAGAAATGATTCGAAATCGTTTTTAACAAACAATCAAATTAATTAAAGATGAACTGTATTGTTTTTAGAATTCAAATGGAATTCAATGAAATTGTGATATAACTTTGAGTTTGTTTGTTCGCACAAACGTTGGCTTTGTTACAAATGGTGGTAATTTGTGTAATTCGCAGGCATTATTAATAGCATATTATAGAGATAGACGATGACATTCGCACATATTCTTATCCCATAAATTATTTAGTAGCCAATATGCCAAGCCCGAACAATTAATTTCATTTCACAATTGTCCAAGATTAATTTCTCATATAAGGCGATGATGTAAATGGGGGTGTGCGATTGAGTTTAGCTGATTGTTGTCTGTCTGTCTATGTACGTGCGATTAATGTTCAATGAATTTCTATCAATTATTGTAAACCAAATTGATGTGATTAATTACTTACTCCTCTAAAGTAATATTAGTCTGCAGTTTAATCAACTCAATTGAAGTATTTCCGTTAGTTGTATCAAGTCGTTTTTAGGGTTGTTCTCTGTTTTTATGTAGAATATCTACACTAACTACAGCACTATTATGTACGCTCCGTTTCTTTTGAAAAATTACAAACACTTTTCTCGTCATTATTGTAAAATGTGTAGACTATGGTAAATACGAGACCGACTTTGGTCACCTCTTGTATTTCGAGTATGTATACTCATGTGAGTAATTATTTATGTGTGTAGTTAGTGATTATAACGGAACTCAACTGAAAATTGATTAGCAAAGCAACCCCACGACGATGAGTATCTTAGATTATGTAAATGCTAATATTCTCTAAAAAAACATAGACTATAGACAAGAGGCACGTTTGCCGTGTAGTAGGTGTTGTTTTCTAATTCCATTTGTTTTGTTTTTTGTATTGTTCAATTTAGCGAAAATTATTGTTTTGAAAAAACAAAATGAATTATTACTGACTGAAAAAGCTATAGACGATTGGCTACCACGCAAAAAATGACAAAAGAAGCAAACCGATTCAATGAAATAAAAAAGTAATGACACAAATAAATATGTTGAAGGAATCGATTCAAAACTAAGGTTTCAAGCGTTTTTATTTTCATACATTCATAAATTGTGGAACCGCAATAGTTTAGTCTTTTAGAAAAATATCTCAAGTTGCATACTAGGTGTAATAAAAATATCAAGCAAAATCACTCATCACCACAAAGCGAGTTGAGAGTTTCTCATGCTAAATTGGATTTTTCGTGAAGATTTTAACGAGAGCCAAAACGGTATTTTCGTGTTTTTCGCCTCTTTGAGGAGTGGGTGTGGCGGGCGGAAATATGGAATAAAATCCCCTTTCCTGTTGGTCACGTATTTAGTATTACAACAAATCCAAATGACATCAAATCCTGCGAAATGAAATACGACTACGACCTCCCAAGCTGCCCCATGATGATTTCCCACGGCGGAGCACAATGTAACAAACGACGATCACATATTTTGCAAGAGATATATTTTGCAAATATACTGCAAATGAGGTGCTTCCTAAATATTTTTAGCTAAAAATAATCCCCTCGATAATACTAGCAATTACGTCAATAAACACATTTACAAGTCAGATACGAGTTGCAACTACTTAATCAGTCATTGTGTGTACCTATTATTTGCAAGATTGCAAAGGGAAAAGACAAGACAATTGAGAAATAATGTATTTGCTATAGATAAGTCAAGCAAAAAGACAGCAGGACTATGCCAAAGAAGGGTGAGAATAGCAAGGCAGTGGAGGCAAAGGCGAGGAAAGCAGAGGCTGCCAAGCAGGTTAAAGATAAAAAAGAAAAAGCTGCAGAGGACGCGAGTTGGGAAGATAATGACAGGAACTTGGCTAGAAAACAAAATAGAAAGGTATTTCCTACATTTTTGAACGTACTCAAAGTACTGCTGATTAATGCTATGATTCTTTGCCCCCGAAAATAGGCAGAAGAAGAAAAGAAGCGACTGGAGAAACTTCAGCGCAAGAATGAAAGTAAAGCACTTGAAGAACAAGAAAAAGAATCCATTGTAGTCAGCAAAACTCCCGCAGTGCAGAAGGTCACACAGGCCCAGATTGAGGTTAGTCAGCAAGCAATGAGTCTGGTACCATTTCCAAAACTATGTATCTATCTACTAGTATTGTTCTTGGTAATTAAATGTACAGGCTGAAAGAGAAAGGCGAGAAGCCGCAGCTAGAAAATCAGCAAAAAATAATGCTTCCATCCCCAAAGTGGCTCCATTGGTCGAGAATCTCAATCGTTCAACAGCCGTGGAAGAAGCTACTACGGTGGATGAAGCTTTAAAAATGTTGACTGTTAGTGATGACGCCGATGGAGATGGGATTGATCGTCACCCAGAACGAAGAGTGAAAGCCGCTTACAACGCATTTGAGGAAGCAAGATTATCCATCCTTAAGGCCGAAAATCCAAGTTTGCGTCTTACTCAGTTAAAACAAAAGATATTTGAGGAATGGAAAAAGAGCCCGGATAATCCCATGAATAAGGATAAGGTTGCTGCTTACAATTCAAAGTAGATTATTTTATACGAACGTCAATCGAAGAGTAGCTCTAATATCATGATAATGCCTAAGAATATAATGGATGAATAAAATGTCCATATGAATGGAATAATTAATTTTCTGCTAATAAGGGATTGGATAGTGATAATTTGCGTCATTACGATCCTCATTAAATTTTAAGTTGAACAGATAATAATGTATATAATTTTTACACTAAAAATAAAACGAATCGGAGACGGTTACCCCCTTAATCTTCTTTGAAGGGCAACACAACATATTTATTTTTAGTGCAATGTAAAACTTGTTTGACATTTCTAATGAATTGCGACATAATACACACAACATTTACTTATGTACATCAACGGCGTGTACTCCAACAGTAGTACAATACGCTTAATCTCTTAGCAAAAGATTTTTAAAGACAACTATAATTGACATCACTAATAATTTTGAAATTTACCAGGTCTCAGCCTGGGACTAATACTATTACTAATAATCAAATATTAATATATCGAATTCAACAAGATAATATTAGTTTAATGAAGTTATCGGTGGCCTTAGTCATGTTCCATTTCGCCAAGTTTTTTGCGTTCATCTTCCTCCAGTGACTGTAACACGCTGATTTTAAATTGTTGGGCCACTCGTGAAGGTTTCTTTAACCTGCAAGTGTTTACTAAAACACAAACAATTGCAATTATTAAAAACTTGAAACATGGTAATCACCAGTTTTCACAAAAAACTTTCCAAATGCAAGAACGTACGACGATGAACAACAGAGTCCTCTTCAAATCCTGGCATCAACATTGCACTAGTGTAATTCTTTGTAGGATTTGCGAGCTTGAGGAAGAAATCCGTCATAATGTCAAGAAATTCTTGACCAGCTATGAAACGCGGATGGAAGACGACATTTTCCTCATTGTAGTGACAATCATTGTTGTGTGGATCGTCTGAAACGTTGACCATCGGATTTGCAGATGAGTCAACACCCGAGTTGACATCAATTTCTTCTCCACTACCATCTCCACTTCCACTTCCCAAATAAAAGCTTTCCAAGTTTTCTGTAAAATACATACATATAACAAAAAAGTTTTGCACAGAAAATAAATATGATAGTTTATGTTATGTAGTTCTAATTGTTAATTTGATAGACAATTAATAATATTATTTACCGAAATATTCGTTAGTAGGGGCGATGAAGGAGTGCTTCTTGTGCTGAATTGTTCCATTGCTAGCAACGTCAATTGCCTCTTCTGCAGTAAGTCCACCACGATACCGTAGTTCATTCATCAGCTTTCCTTGTTGCCAAACTAAGCATTCGTGAGACGTGGAAGGATGACCACCTGATTTATTTATATTTCATTAATTCACAAGCCCAAAAAAATGACAATTACGTATAGATATAGAGATACACACCTTTGCAATTGACGCATCGAAAAATCTGAGAGTTACAGTATTGCTTGGCATGAGGTTTTCCGCAAATTGGGCATCGAATTTCCGCTCGACATTGTTTTCCTTGATGTCCATATCTGCAGCACCTCGTACACTGCATTGGATTAGGAACCTGTTAAGTAATAATAAATATTCAAGTAATCCCGTATTTAAATAAAATTGAATTATGTATAGGCGCAATGATAACTAATTGTTGTTATTGACATATGTACCAGAATTTCATAATCTTTTGCATAGACCCGAATGAATCCAGGCAGGTACCGTAAATTGAAGGAGACAAAGGCACAAGGGCGTTGAGAAGGCCGACTTTTTCCTGCACACCGTTCCGTGATGTACCTCACACTGTAAACCTGAATAATAAAGTACAAATAAAGTACTATTAGTATTATTAACAACTTTTGACATGTGGGGCAAGTCGAACCAGATGAACTGGGTTTGCAGCAAACATTGACGTTTGGATAGTAAATACTAGTCACATGGTGGAATTAAAAAAATATTTAATTTGAAGAAAAACAATTCCTAGTCAGTTGTCGGTGCTATTTTTCGGTATGTCTCGGCGGTTTCTTTTGCGTGATGGTAAGATGGAGGAAGAATTGTTGGAAGAAAGTACAGGTAAGTACTTTGCCGTTGTAAGAAAATATTATAAATAAATTATAAATAAATATCTAAATATTCGTTGTTTTTTTGCAGGAAGGGAACAAGTCCATATAAAAGTTGAGGCTATCGTTCAGGTCAGAGATTTGCGGGACAGACTGCACAAGGAGGTGTGCTCGCATGTAAGTATCACAGCCACGAATAATGTCATTTTTTAATGTCATACTCGAAGTTCAAATAGTAAATTTTGTATGTTTAAATAAATCCAGATAAGTTCATCTAAACACATTTCGAGAGATGATTTAAGCCACCGTGATTTCATCTTCAATTTGCAAGAAGGAAAGATGGTAAATTGTATGCTGTAAAAATTACGAAGGAAGAGGTCATGAATATGTCTGGTTAGTAGCAAAACAAGCAAACTAACGTAAACATTGTTGAACTTTTTAAGTTTCCATTTTTTTAGCTGACACCGTTGATTTACATTCGATGACCGCTCTACTCTGGCGTGACCCCCATCGCAGGATTCGAGAGATAACATTTGGTGTGTCAGTGTACAGTGACCCTCTCGTTGCCGCGAATAATGCTATACACTATGCGTATTCAGGAGCTTGTTCCATTTTGTAAGCATTGTTGATAAACTTTAAAATCTATTACACGTATATATAATGCAAGTATGTAAATGTGTACATTTTTTCGTAGGGACAAAATTGACCCGAGTTTCACAGCCGTTAAGACTGATCACGTGGTGTATCCTATTTTTGCTGTAAATTTTAAATCAGCCACTGGGCTCAAACAGTATCGAAGGCAAAAGGATGGATCTCCTGGATCATTTCAAAGCAAAGCGACAGTCGCAGTATTTCAAAATATTGCTCCACAACTCAATCAGATAATCGAGTAAGAAACTAATAATTTCTAATCAATGAAATTTATGTGTTGGACGAAAATATATGAGTATGGTTGTTAATATTCATTTCAGTGGAAAATTGAATGGGTTACTCACACATGTCAAGAAGGAGAAAGAAGAAGAATTGGTAGTGACGATTGTTCCCAAAAAGGAATCATCAAAGCCCCGACCTAAGCGGTATAGATGCAAAGTGAACGGTTGTTCATTTGCTACCTCCGACACATGGAACTTCACAACGTAATTGACGTCTTACGTTTCTCAAAACCCATATAATATAGAGGATAATTTAATTTTTTGTCTAGACATGTAAACACTCATACGAAAGAGGTATCGTTCCAGTGCCCAGGGTGTCCCGCACAATTCACAACCAAGGGAAGTATGGTTAGACACCAACCTATCTGCCCAGCAATAACGGGGAAGGCAGTAGGAAAAGTGTCTTTTGGGCCACGACGAAGGTGAACATGTTTATTATTATTTTCGCGATCATTATATTAAGGTATATGCTGTAATTATACTTTTTTAAATAAAGGACCTCCTCTACCAAAAACAAGACGCTCCCAACTGAATCTGCCTCTGGCAGCCTCCCTCGGAAACTGCCCTTTTCCAATTTAACAAATTTCTCTCTCAAACGGCCCAACCTACCGGACGTCCAAGGAACAATCAAATTCCCCCCCAAAAAGCTGGCGTTAAGTCCAACTCCGAATATTGTAGAAGGAAACGCCACTACCACCATCACGACATTACAGTCAGAGAATGAAGAATTGCGCCGAGAGAATGAAGAATTGCGCCGAGAGAAAGGAAACGCCACTACCACCATCACGACATTACAGTCAGAGAATGAAGAATTGCGCCGAGAGAAAGGAAACGCCACTACCACCATCACGACATTACAGTCAGAGAATGAAGAATTGCGCCGAGAGAATGAAGAATTGCGCCGAGAGAAAGGAAACGCCACTACCACCATCACGACATTACAGTCAGAGAATGAAGAATTGCGCCGAGAGAAAGGAAACGCCACTACCACCATCACGACATTACAGTCAGAGAATGAAGAATTGCGCCGAGAGAAAGTGCAACTCAAAAGAGATAGGGCTTTTGCGTTAAGAAAAGCAAATAATAGTACAAATAATACTGATTACAGACGGTAAAATCACTAGGTGCAGATTCCTTAATAAAAGTACCTTACCTCTGGTAAGGTTGTTCTAATTTCACGCTTTAATTCAGCAGGTTCCATATTTATTGGCAAGTCCTTAACAAATCCGACAACTCTGGGGCTGTTGGGGAATGTCATTTTGCAAGGTATCTACATTGTTAGATTGGTAACGTTTAAATCATTTTGTAATCATTTTGTGCAAAGTTTTATTACCGTCGCAAAGTAGCCAAGTCCACTGAGAGCATGAGCTAGACGTTTATCATCCGTGATTACCTGCAAACCTCCATTTTTCATTTTTTCATATGCAAACTTGATGTTAAGCACGGCAACTGGATCCCCGTCTGTGATATGTTGCAAACTCACTACACGAACTTGTTTAACAATCTGCAAAATTTTCAAAGTGGTTATACTTTTACTTGTCAAGTTAAAGGATTAAAATTAAAAGCAACCGTATAATCTGGCAAATTCGTCATTCGACACCCACTGACCTGTAAATAAATATTTAATTGGTAAATAAATTGGTGTACAACAACATTAATAAAGAATAGTAATTAAGATGCAACACTCACTTTGCTGTAGATTGAAATTTTGTACTTGTACCGTTCATCAAAGGATGTTGATGCAGAAACAGAAGGCGTAATTTTGCTCTTCATCCGGGGGGACACAGTTGTGTTAGAAATGGACGTAGTTGCTGCTGGTGAAGAAAAGTTTATTGGAACTTGTGGAGCCGGCTCTTCGTCTGTATCTTCCTTATTCTTGTTGTCCATTAACCGGAAAAGGTCACCACAACCTCGGCGAGGTGATTCATCATCAATGGAACTGATACTATCGGAAATATCCGGAATTTCCACATCTTCTCCATCACCCTCGATTCGATGGGGAGATATCACCTTTCGTCTCATCATTTTTGCCTCTTCTCTTGGCTCATCACAAGTTGCACTTGGATGATTTCCCATTCCCAATTACGTGACAAGCGGCCTATAATAAATGTGTATCAAAATAATAACGTTACATTAATCAACAAAATTCTCTTCCCTCAGTGGTCCACCCATGTTTATGTTTAACTCCACCTTGACCTTCCAAAATTTGCTCAAAGAAATTGCAAAAATGCGAAACCTTAAAAACCAGTCAGACCAAAAGTGCTCAGGCATTACCGTGGTCCAGGAACTATGTTGCAGAGGAGTCTCACGAGTCGATAAGCCTTGAAATTAAATGATGATAACCTTCAATCAGGAGGGCGTTGATGCGGTCAGCTGGAGGGGAGACTTGGACTGAAAATTAAAATACCGAAACGAGGCAACGATGACCACCTAGGAAACGAAGGCGAAAGGGGAGAAAATGAGACAAAATTTTACTGAGGTCATTCACCTCACTCATTCATCCATTATGAATTTATTTCCTTTGCAGTTGAAATTTTTGTGAGGGTGCAAGCAGAGCTGGGAATCAATCCGGATTACTCAATGTTAAAGAATAGAGGGATTGGGGATTGGGGATTGGGATTGGCCATTTAAACACATTGACTAATCCGGATTGATTCCCAGCTCTGGGTGCAAGTAGGTCAAGGTTGCTTGACAACTTTAGTAATAATTACAAGGTTGCGACAATTGCTTCGACGCCTAAAAAACTTCAATTTTCGAAAACCCTGGTACCTTTTGGAACCAGTGTGCGTCGCACAAACTGTCGCCCAGAAACAAACCGCACAAAAATTGTCAACATTCACATTTCGTGCTCTCGATTCTGGAATTAATTTTTTAATCATGGATGTATTATGATAAATTGTCAAGCAATCTTGCACTCAAAGTTAGTGAGCAGAAAAGACCAAAATGTCTTTTCTCCTCACTGAAAGACTGCTAGAAGAAAATAAGAAAACTGTCTTTTCTAATTAAAAAAAATTATCGAAGGGTTTTTACGAGCCTGTCGACAAAAAATTGAAGGAACATAAAACTTGATTTGTTAGGGAAGGAATAAAATAATACGCGGTAGGTGGGTCAAAAGGTCAAGTTGTCTTTGATAGTTTACCTTACACACTTTATCATAATGCTAAAAAATAATTCTTCAGTTTGTAACTGGCGTTAAACATCACCATTTCATTTCTTTCTTGTTTTAGGAACGATGACTGATTACTGAAATGTTGCTTGATAAGGATTTGGGCAGCCTCGAGTGGTGCTATCCGGATCGTCCATTGATGATCAATAGGGTGTGACCTTGCGACATGTCGATAACACCAAGAAGAAGTCTCTGTCGAAGTTTGATGGAAATCGGATGAAAAATGGCGAAGTTATGGCATGGCGACGAAATTTGGCGAAAACAAGGTGGTGGCGATGAGTGTGACCTTGCGACACGTCGATAACACCAAAAAGAAGTCTCTGTCGAAGTTTGATGCAAATCGGACGAAAAATGGCGAAGTTATGGCATGGCGACGAAATTTGGCGAAAACAAGGTGGTGGCGATGAGTTTGACCTTGCGACATGTTGATAACACCAAGAAGAAGTCTCTGTCGAAGTTTGATGGAAATCGGATGAAAAATGGCGAAGTTATGGCATGGCGACGAAATTTGGCGAAAACAAGGTGGTGGCGATGAGTGTGACCTTGCGACACGTCGATAACACCAAAAAGAAGTCTCTGTCGAAGTTTGATGCAAATCGGACGAAAAATGGCGAAGTTATGGCATGGCGACGAAATTTGGCGAAAACAAGGTGGTGGCGATGAGTTTGACCTTGCGACATGTTGATAACACCAAGAAGAAGTCTCTGTCGAAGTTTGATGGAAATCGGATGAAAAATGGCGAAGTTATGGCATGGCGACGAAATTTGGCGAAAACAAGGTGGTGGCGATGAGTGTGACCTTGCGACACGTCGATAACACCAAAAAGAAGTCTCTGTCGAAGTTTGATGCAAATCGGAAGAAAAATGGCGAAGTTATGGCATGGCGACGAAATTTGGCGAAAACAAGGGGGTGGCGTCGGGTGGGACCTTGCGACATGTCAACAACACAAATAAGCAGCATTGTGCCAAATTTCATGCAAATCGGCCGAGAAATGGCAAAATTATGGCATGGCGACGAAATTTGTCGAAAACAAGGGAGTGGCGTCGGATGGGACCTTGCGACATGTCAACTACACCAATAAGAAGCATTGTACCAAATGTCATGCAAATCGGACGCGAAATGGCGAAGTTATGGCATGGCGACAAAGGTTGTCGCCATGCCATGCATTTATGAGGGGGGGAGCTGTTAGCCGCCCTAAGAAGGGCGTTTCCAGAGCACACGACGAGGACGTCGCTCCCTCGTGCTCCACGCGGGCGGGCCCCCACTTGCGCCCTGAGGCGCAAGGGGGGTCTACCTCCACCGACCGGGAAAGCCCTGCCCACGTCACCGCCTCTGCAACCGGGTTCCCCTAGGGGGCCCGTCTGACCCTCGCCTTACGAGGTGGGAGCGCACCCGTAAATCGGCCCCCATTAAGGCTTCGAACTCGGGAACCCGGTCGGCCCCAAGGGGAGTGCAAGCTAAAGAGCCCGGTCACCCAAGGGTTGGAGGTAGAGAGCCCCTCTCACTTGGCAAGCGCCACCCGCACTTTTGGCAAGCCCCGCCGGCTCCCTACCCGGTGAGTCTGCTGGGTGGGAGGAGCATTGGAGGGGGGACCTTCCCGTAAGGCTCTCCCCTTGCAGCGTTGCTCCCCCGGACCACCCCTCCAACGGGAAGAGAGTCGGGGCTGTGGGACAAACCACGGGTGGACCCGACTCCCCAGAGAGGCAGGGCGGTCCAAGGGCGCAGCTGCAATGGGGAGCTCACCCAGGGACACGTCCCCCACGAGCGCCTCCCGCAGACTAAAAAATTTGCGGAACGAGACTTGTACTAGGCAACTTTGTCCCCCTAATCACTAAATGTGGCCACTTTTGCAAGAAAATGGTTCAATGACCGGACTTGAAACTGGTCAAATCAGCCTATTTTTTGGTAGTAGGGCAGTATGATGTTGCATTTTGTGCATTAAAAGTTTCAAAAAGGTCAGTGGGGGTTTTCAAAACGAGGGGGTGGGGTATGGCTAACATGCGTATAGGAACATCTCACATGTTCCGTGTTTACAATTGTTACAAATAATTCAATTAATTACATCAGCATTGTTGGGGGTGGGAAAATGTTGATTCTTATAGTTTTCTGGTCGCTGATTTCGAATCCGAGGTCAGTTTTTCGATTGCGACATCATGGGAAGGGACACAGTGCCAATTAATTATGTTAAAATAACATGCAAAATTATAAAGCTGCAAATATAAGGCTGGGTTTGGTAGCAATTTATGAATAAATTAAAAGTTGACATAAATTCATGTAACTCTTGTCACGAATTAATTTTTTAACCATGGATACAAGAATCAGTGCAGTTGTAAATGTGAAATCGGCTATTTCGGCGTTATGGTAGAAATTTTTGTGCTTTAATTACCATTAGCGACGGCCCAAATAATTAGCACTTCAAAAATGGAGGTTTTTGAGGCTATCGAAGCAACTGTCGTAACCTTGTATTATGATAAATTGTCAAGCAATCTTGAAAGTAGGTTCAGTTTTTAAGTGGAGTTTACTTGTTTTATTGATTAAAAAATATATAACAGTGCTCTATTGGATAACCAACACAGTTCTGAGTAGAATTATTATATTGCTCGACTTTATATTGCCTTCAGTGGACAAGAAAATTTATGACACTGATTTTTCTCTGCGGCTCGAATGGACTCTTGAACCCACGGATTCGTCTTCAAATCATGAAACAATCTGGAGAAAAACACAATTATTATGTAGATCTGTCGGGATTACTAGATAAACCATTTATTAGGCTTACAATGAGAACTCGTGAAGTAGGATGTCTCGTTCTCTCGCGTTCGTCGTCGAAATGTTGGTACAAAAATCTTTTTGGATGCAGCTAGAAACTATGCGAAGGTCGGAGGGTTTGAAAATGCTGTTCATTTTCGTAGGCTGGATTATAGAAGAATCATTTGAAAAGTGGACATCCTGAGGATTCGACCTTGTTAATGAACATTCCACCCACTTTCGATAGCTATCAGTATTAAGGGGAGAAGTGACAGTGGTGTTCTGCTGTTCTTGTTGCGAAGGGTGGTAGTAAAATCCCCCTGGACAGTGTTCCCAAGGAAGGCCCTGTTTGCTATGGAGTGACCTTCGTCTCCTTCGACCCATTCCTCCTGCGGCCGCTGTGACGGGGAGCATAAAATTTGGAAATGCAGTTGCTGCGGACGAAGCCGATAACCCTGCGGCTGCTGTCATCGGATTCATCATTGACTATGTTGTTAAAATAAAAATAGGATGGATTATTAAATAGGTCAACGTTTTTCGTGTACTCACAAACATATCAACTTACAGGGATGAGGGTAAGTGCACTGAGAAGCATGGCGCCCTTCGTAAAGAGACTTCGATAACCCGTCCGTTCTCTTTGATTGTCCCGACCCTGTTCTCTCACCTGCTTCCTCAAATCTTGGAGGGCAATTTGTAACCTTTGTTCTCGAAACGCTTCTCGCAATGATGTGAGACCATCGCTCCCAGCACTTCCCCACCCAAGGTTTTGCTGACCAAAGGAAGAGAGCGGAAATTGACTTCTGCCACCTCCCAACAACCCCCCAAACAGATTTAATCGTGTATTTTGTGGTTGTAGGATTCCAACAGAACTTCCTCCACCACCACTGCCTTTCGATCCTTGTAATAAACTCAACAACTCGAGGTCGTTGAGAGTTAAGTCATATCCAGGATTACGAGCTTGACCTAAAAGTAATTCTTGAAGAAGGCTAGATTCCCTTTGTGGGGCAGGTGTTGGGTTGCTATTCACTCCAAGAATTTGGGAAAGATGAGACTCGAAAGGTCTTTCCTTGTTATCATCGCGAATTCGTGAGGGTGGCGGAGTGGTTATTGTAATTCGTGAGGGAGGTGGTGCTGGAGCACCGTATGCGCTTGAAGGTTGTTGGACAAAATCGTCTGCAAAGGAAGATTGTTCGGTCTGGACGGGACGATTTGAAGAGATTTTATGAACCACGTTCGGCACCTGAACCAATTCTGTTACTTGACGAGTTATGGGGATTGTTTGCAAAGTGATGGTGGTTTCATATTGATCTCCTCCTGCGTCCGATTGTGGTGGAGGTGGAGCTGGAGGGGCTGCCGGCGACGTTGGGGGCGGTCCGTAGCTGGTTTCCGGTTCATGATGATGATGGTGACCCTTTGGACCATATTGTGACGAGGAAGGAGGTGGCGTAGCGTAGCTGGAACTGCTGGGGGCATTGAATGAAGGGGGAATCTCGTATGAGGTTGAAGGAGGCTTAGAGTAAGAGTCAATTGCTGGATTATAACTTGATGGAGGTGTCCTACTTTTGGTGACGAAGGTCCGTCGACTAAAATCATCTTCAGTGTCTTCTTGCTGCTGGTTGTTGTGCCCATCATCGTTAAAGCTTGAACGAAAAGAGCCCTTTTCTGAGTCTGTGTTGTGATATGTGTTGGACTGTACCATGACGGAGGGTGGGTATCCTCCTCCTCCTTTACTACTACTTGGGGGTGGAACTCCATAGGATTTTAAGGGAGGTGGTGGGGGTGGTCTTCTTCTAGGTGGTGGGAAGGGGGGTCGGCCATACGGTGGGGGTTTTGGTCGGGATTCCTCATTTTGGATGTGATAATGATAGTGAATTTCATTTTTAGGTGGAGCTACGGTGGTTTCAGGAATTTCTCTTTGAGGATGAGTCGGTCCATCTTTTTTTGGGTGTGTGTAAACGATGACCGTGGGACCTCCAGAGTTTGCAGACACGTGAAGCGTTTTATTGGCGTGCTGCTGCTGTTCGTCATCCCGTTTAGCGGGATATGATGCAGAGTGATCCCAACCATGTCGATAAGGCTGTTGTTGACGGGGGTGGTGGTTGGGGTATTGATTCCTTCTTGGAGGTGGGCCATAATGGATTTTTGGACTTTGTGGAAACGGTGGAGGACCTCGTTGAGAGTTGAAATTATTATTCAGAGTGGGAAATCTTGAAGAGGGAACGACAACTTCTTCCGGTGAAGTAGGTCTTCCAGCAATAGAGTTCACAATGGGGACAAGGAAACGCTTATCCCAATACGGCATGTCAAACTCATTTGTGGGAGTTATATGCGATACCTCGAAATCAATAGAGTCTCGCGGAGTCCGTGTTTTTGCACTGCTTTCCTCAGGAAATGCACCTTGATTCGGAATTTCGTCAAATAACGAAGCTTTCTCCTTTTTCCTCTGATGTTGTCGATATGATGGTTTAGGACCTTTAGTGGTAGTCTCTAGTTTGGTATCACTGAAGCTTTCCGACTCTACGGAATTATAATCCGCTGGGGAAAGAGCCCCGTTTAAGGGAACCTCGTCAAATAATGATTTCTCGCCGCTTGTTTTCTTCACCAATAACAAAAACACAATGTTTAAGAGCAGGATTGCAGGGATATTACGTTGAATGAATTTCGAATGCATTTCGACTTCAATTTCCTCCTGCCTGACTGTCCATTGAGACTGATGGCAACAAATTAAAAGTTCTTGAAACTATCCCAATAAAGAGACAATATTTTTTGCATAATGTGGGCTTTTTACAAGTGGATTTATTCGCCATTTTCAACACTCTATACTGTATGACCTTAAGTACTAATTTCCAATAATCTCGCATGCCAAACAACATTTACTTATCAAAAATTACTTTCAATTGCATTCATTAACACACATTCGGAGGTACTTTAGATTGATAACGGGTAAAAGGGTGTTGTGTTACGCATATATTTTGCAAGGATTAACTGTTGTCACTTTCATTAGAAATTGAATTGTCTTAATCTCATTAACGCACATACAGATACATATAAAAATTGGCCAATATATAGTAGAAATTGTAGCACAATTATCATGAGTAGGAAATGCTTCCATTCCACGTTGACGTAGTATACCCTGCGGATGAGTAATATGTTTTCGCAGAGTTTTCTGATATTGGTGGCCACATTTGACACTATCTTGAAAAGTCCATTAGTGGAATGGATTATCCTTGTAATTTCTGGATTTGGCGTGGATGCATTAGTTTATTCATGTTTATTTATTTCAATTCGGTTGATAAATCATATAGCATGATGGCTTTATGTGTTACAGTTGCTCCTATTCTACGACATATTTGCATACATATATGTATTATTAATTGCATATGTGCAAGCAATTTTTATGTACTTTTGAGATGTCATCATTAAGTGCATTTCATCATTTCCTGTTCACCCATTCAAATTTTTAAAAAATTGAATGACTCATCTACTTAGAAAAAACAGTTGACAGTGCAGCCAGTCATGTTCTTCGTCTTTTTGAAAACGAAATTATCCCTATTTTGCAAAAAATAATCTTTATTTCCCATTAATTTCCCCATATGTAGTTCGTTTACATACGTATGCGCAGCCAACTTTTAGCATTGTACACACGATCGTTGTTGAAAACCAGGGGGGTCACCCTACAAGGCCTTTCTTAACAGTTTGATCATTATAACTTTACACTCGTATTGCAAATAAACAGATGAGCATGGCGGTTCCGTAAGCCATGGTTCAGGCTAAAAATGTAGCTAATTATTTTATACCCTGACTGAATTTTAAGGACTAATGAGTCTAAACTGCATATCCCAGAGGCATCATCAGTTATAACTTGAGCACATTTTGTTAAAACCAGAAATTTGCCTGCATTTATTGCGAGTTACGAGAGAAATCTCTTTCCGCTGATTTGAAGTGATCTTGCAACAAGTTTCTCAGCGAGAACAACTTTGTCGAGAGAGACGTTCATTGAAATAAGTTTACTATACATATGTACTATTTGAAATGATGAGTCGTCCTTCCTGATTTTGTGAAGGCGTGCAACATAAAACTATTAATGAAAAGATAATAAATTAATTTTCCACCACATTTCGAGACTTGCAGTTAAGAAGAAAAATTAAAAAAACCAGTAAAAACGACAGTCTTGAAATCATTACCTTTTAGCAAATGTGAGAAAGTTTAGGGAGCACGTAAATCGACATTTCGTGTGCGTTTCTTGTTGTGATTTCTCATGTTTCTGATGTTGCTGATCATCTTTTAGCTTATGATTACGATCAATAATAATAATATTCACAAAGTCCTTGCAAAGTTGAATACATCGATGATGATAGTCGCATAATCCTCTCCTCGTCGCAGGTAGTCAAGGAATGCTCACCTTTGTAATGCAATGAATTGGGGTGAGGGAGTAAAGTAAATGTCAAGAATGATGTAGTAGCATTTCACAAATAAATTATACTTTTGCTCATCGTCTTGATGAGAGGGTCCGTTGTTGTGACTGGTTTAAATATGCGTAGTTTGTGCTCAGTTTCTCTTTCATAGCTCATTTATTTAAACTAAATGCCTGGTAATGGGGGGTTCTATTTCTAATGTCCGCTGATTTTACTGGTCGCCTATCCTGCCAAAATCCTACCTCCCATCAATCGACCTTTTAATGGTAGCAATATTTATTAGGAGTCCATTATATCATTGCACTCTCAGAAAAATTATATCAAGGTTGAGTGTGAAAAGGAGAAAAAAGTCGAGTTTTTCATGCGCCCTATGACTTGACGGAATATGTATTATAAAAAAGAAGCCAATTTAAAAAGCGTTAATCATTTAGAGCACAATGACGTTTCTACCACTGAAATAATCTATATACACATAAATGTTTATATAAATATGTATATTCAGCGCTTCTATTTTTGCATGAAGGCTTCATCACACAAATCATGCATGTGTATACAAATACATAGATCCTCCAACCGCAGGCAGGGAAACTTTCTCCTGTTCTAGTGAAACTTTAAATGCTTTAAAATCAAGGAAGGTCAGAGTTAGAATTGATCAAGCTGTTCAATTAGTTAACGGGATTTAACAGTTCATTCATTCATAACAGGTGAAGTTGTTGGACCCACCTACAACAGTCTCAAAACCACAATGAAACCACAACGAAACAACTTTGAGGAATGTGATGAACTTTTTTATAGTTTAATCGTTTGACGGCTACTACACAATAATTGATCCCCACCCACTATGGATTGACTAATGGGTTGTTCTTTTAATTTCCATAATTTCCTACGTAATAGGCTAAACGAAAGTTAACGGTCTAGCGTAGCATTATAGCGTACAATTACCACCGACAGTGATTATAGGCTCGCCTGGGTTGCCATTTTTTGATGTACATATTATTCGTAATTATATCAATCAAACTATTAAAAATAAGTCAACATCTCCCATCGAGATGAGTTACATCACTTGTGCATATTGGCAGTTTGATCCATACAATTATAGTTGGACTACAAGACAATTATATCGAATCATAGCTTTCACCAACCAGCAAAACAATTACAAAATCATTTTTTTCTAATTAGACTCATACTCCACAACTTTTTGGATTTCCTTTATCAACATTGCGCAATGTTGAAGGTGGAGATTTTTTGAGTTTATGAAATGGTTCCTTATTGCATTTCCTTCCATTTATATTCACACCCCGTGAATTGGAAGCGACAATTAACAATGCCTTTTGTGACGATACTTATCTAAGAAGGAATAAGTGTTCCAACAGCTAATTATTACTACGGAGTGATCTGGTAATATTTTTCAATTAGCAACCTCATAAATAACAAGAATGGGAGGGATGATTTTGTGGCTGGTTGAGCTTGGATTGAATTAAGTAAGCATTTGCAAGTCAGTCCTCATCACGGTGTAAGTGTGTCTAATTGCAAAAATACAATTATGATTCCGGCAGTCAACTCCATTTATTTATTTATTTATTTATATTTACTGCTCAAAAAAGAAACCATGATGCCAACTTTCGTTTTCATTGTGAATTGTGTAAGGAGCACGTAGTGGAAAATTAATTAAGGATCACCCATCCTTGCCCACATAAGGAGAAAGGAATTAAGGAACTACTCCAAGGCTTTGCTATTATTTAATCCAATTGCTCAACGAAAATAGTTTGCTCATGGCGATGAAATGTTTACGTTCTATGAATTGGCATTATTCATATGATACTCTGAGATGAATAAAATATTAAAATTCAGTATTAAATTCAAGAAGTACTAATGTTTTACAGTTCTTAGAATAGAAAATTACAAATCACGTGTACACATAATATCAAACTTATATTTTCCAACATGAACCACATATGCATATAGTTTACTAAATAAATTATTTTAGAGATTTTATTTTCATAATCGCTTCAAAATTATCAAAAAGGGAAACAAAGGAAACTCGCATGACTTTGTGATATTAGACAATTAATTGTGATACAATAAGTGATCCAACCCATGACTCTCCTGAGTTTGATAATCTTAATTACCCAACTGCATCGTCGAGTCAACGATGTCATGCTCTCAAAACATGCTGTAACAATGTCTTGTGCGCTATATAATAAATTTTTGTATTGTTGGTTGACATTGTTGAACTCGGCGTTTATGAATTTGCTCGACAAATTATGATGACGTGCAATTATGTAGTAGGCAGCCAAGCATGTCTTCTCCCATTGTAAACCCTCATCATGCTTTTTAATGCCCATAACTTTAGCGGCACCTCAATAATTGCTGTCATATATTATGATCGTAATAATCGGTAGCAAAAGTGATGCGTGTTGACAGATGCACAATGGAATTTTTTCTCGAGTCACCGAACTATGTCAGTAAAGTGGCCAGACCTTTCCAATATTGGTCACTCTTACTTTTATTTCCGTAATTTCACCCATGCGTGTGTCCAAGAGAGCATTATGTATCGTTGAACTCGACGTGATTAAACCGAGCCAGCAGTCAGAAGTAAATTATGACTAGAAAGGTGCCGACTATTTAGTGATGGATTTATTTATTCGCTTTGTAAATGGATGCTAGCTCGTTTAAAAAAATTAAATCGTCAAATAGTATCATTTCAAGAAATAATTGTACTTTAATTCTATGAAAAATATGTCAGGTTATTCAGACTGGATGCAATCATATAAACGGATGATTTCATATATGTAATATGCACACATGTTACAGGCAAAGGCTAACAGAGACTAACGGCAATTGATATAACTTCAATCAAATTAACCTGAAAAGGAAAAGTTGCACTTCTGAGGCAACCCCACACAATAGCAATAAGCTGCCCAGTTTATAGCATTTCATAGAGTTTTTTTCTCTGCCCACTCGTATAACCTGCATAATTTTAGCGTAACGCGAATGCACTGAATTATGGTCATGCACATATACCCAGCAGATTATGGCATGGCACAGGCATCGTAAAATTTAATGAATGACTCGAATTACTTATATATTCAGGTAATTCCACCACCAGAGCTTCACGGGTAGAAGGGGCTATCTTTACACCATTTGCATTTTGAATTGTTTTAAACACTTGCACAAGTTATCCCCGTCTAGGTAAGAACAATTAGTTGGGGGAGAGTGCAAGGTCTCTCTGCGATGTGCTGCATGTAAATATGTACGAATGTATGAGTAGTACGGAGTACAAGTCAAACTTCCTCCGACAAGTCAATGTGTAAGTGCACTGTCAAGGCGACTTTTTCATTGCTGGGAATTTGCTGAGAAGAGGACTATACGACGACGCTGAGGAATTAATAAGAGTACCAAGCAGCCAATTCAAAGCTACAAATACAGGTTCGCTTATTGTTCTTCACTGACTCTGATTGTTGATGTTGGTCGTCGCAGTAACACTGCCGCAACCTGTCTGCCTTTAACGTGAGATAACTGTGCTTTTGGGTATCAGTGATAACCTGGTCACCGTCCATCATTCACATATTTTGCACGTAGGAAGAAGAAGAAAAAGGAGGCTTGCAAAGAAACCGGTCTTTGATTAAAGTGACTAAAGTTCAGTTCCTCATACTTTGTAACCCAGAGTGGACACCTTTTCAGTTCACCAGGATCAGTCGTGGTTGGGAGGATAACCTAGAATACGAATACGCAAGTAGTGGTGGTCATAAAAAAGTGGGCATCTCAAAAATCGGAGTTTCTTGGACTATTTTCTGACAAAAAAAAATCAAAAGTGATTCGTCGTGTTGACATTAAGTCGGATTACACACGCACACAACACTACTCCCTCGTAGAATAGGTGAGAGGCAGTTTTAATGGATTATCTCTCTATAATCGGTTTATGGTCATAAATTTCTGAACCTGTGGTAACGAGTGAATAGTGTGGTGCACACTTGTCGACTGAAAACTTTATCATTCTAGAGTAACAAGACGAACTAATATGCTTCGGTCATTATGTTGGGATTGACAGGCAATTATGCACCAAGACACTTGCATTATCCATCGTAGTGAATTTACAGTCGTAGATTCGCCAATTAGAAATCTATTTAAGATTTGTGATTCATGAGCATGCGAAATTCGCCAAGATATACACACATAAACAACGCTATGTTCTTATCTTGTTGTGGATCGGTCAGATCGTGTCTTGTCAACAAGTTGTAATCTCATTTCTCTGCCCTCAGAATGAAAAAGTTATACGCGTAGCCTAAAAATGTTTCTGTTAATCCATGAAAATCGTAAAATTGCTATCCCGCTGTGTGGACATTACTGGGTTCACATTATTCTCGTATTTTTAGACTCCGCAAAACCGAAATGGTCATCACCTTCATTTTTGTTCTTTCTTTCTTGCAGATATCAAATTCAAAATGAACAAAAGACTTGGCCTGACCCTCTTCGTGACCTTGTGCATCGTGGCATGTGCATTCGCCGGACCAACTCAGACCGGAAACAAAGTTCGCAGATTAAAATCGAAAAGTCCTGTTTTCACTGAAAAATCCTCCTCTTCCCAAACTCAAAATGTGAATCCAAAGGACAACGAAGTTCAATTTGACACGACCCGAGCGCTCATCAAGACGGCCAAAGCCTTGGCTCGCTCTCACTCGACGTCTGAAGTGCTCACCCTCAATCTGACGAACCTTTTGATTCTCGTTGTGCTCAAAGCCATCATCTTTGGCATCGGGTTGTTCTACTTTGGTGGAGTGAGTTTCAAGGGAGGTCACGACCACGGTCATGGGTGGGGCCGTTCCCTGGAGGGCAAAGAGAACCCATCCTCCATCATGACCCAGAGTGAACTCCTCCTCATGCTCACCTACGTCTTGGGGTCCTCCACAGACAACTACGACTGCATGTACCGAGTAGCCTGTGAGGATCCGGCTAAGGCCAAGGACTACTTGAATGCTTCCAACATGCTGCTTAAGGGTGCCAAATATGCTAAAAAGTGAGTTTTACTCTTACTTTATTCCTCTTCCTGCATGCAAAATATCTGCATAAAGCCTTTCACATGCCTCGCGTCACAGCCATCGTTCATGTCTCATATGTAACAGTTTAATACGTATGCAGGCACTGTTGGGATTAGATTTGCGTTTTCTAGCCACATCACATGTCCTTTTTCCCCAGTTCTCAACTCTGTCTCATTTGTCGGTCTACATAAACTATAGATTCACTCTCATCACACATACGTCTCCTTCTTCTTCCGGAATGCGTTGAGAGCCACTTTCCCACGATATGCTCACAGCCATGCACCTATCCGAACCATATATGTGAAAAGCATCATTATTCCCCGTCGAATTTTTAAATTGTTACAAATATAAAATTACCATAATTATACTCGCTCGATAGAATTATCATAATGACGCCTGCAGATGAGTCTACCTATTGAATATATTCACGCACCTATTAGATTCATAAATGTCGGAAATAATATTCAGTGTTTGCATTTTTTGACACATCTTTAATGATTAGCAATTCCATAATTATGGAGTAAATCTCTGTAAAAATATTAGAATACGGTAATCGTTTAGTGACTTTTTTTACCTGACTAATTTAAAGAATTACAAAGACAATTAAACAGCTAAAGAAAGATAAATATTGGCCAACGAGTTAATGTATGCCAAAGGGATAGTCATAAATGGTGAACTGTAGAGAGTCAGTCGGTCATTTGCTTGTAAAACATTACGAAATGTAGATTGAACCACCGAGTGAGCTCTGTCTGATAAAATGTGGAATACAAGTTTTGTGGTCAAGTGGATGCACACCAGCCGACTTTTTGGTGTCGAAAATGGGTTGTTGGAGGAGTTGAATCGATGCATGTATGTTGACCATTTAAACTGTTTGGTGAAACGATCGGTCGTGGTAGGTTCGAATGGTGGCCATCTTTTGCAAGGTGTGGAGTGGACGACGGATTTGATTTTGAATTTTAGGTCGGCATATTACGCCATTGAATCCCATCCTGCATCATTGGAAGGTGGTCCGTTAGGGTCAGTTCATCATCTTCCTGTTGTGGTAGTGTGCATCACCCAATTCTTTCTATGGCGAGGCTTGAATGCAGTGTGGATATCGATACAGAGAGTTGTTTGCCCCCTGGAAAAGCCGGATTGACAACTTTTTCTTCCCCCTCTAAATCACAAAACTAGGTTTACGCTATTCTACTTATTCGTCGACTTCACATACACGTCGGACTCGGTGTGATCAGAAACCTTACTCGGAGTAGAGCACGATGAATGGTAGATAGTTTAGTATTTGGGTGTACAGTATGAAAAAATTGGGTATTTATTTACTTCACTCACTTTTGTGTGAACCTTGATCTGCTGACTTACATTTTCAAAGGTGAACCACAACATCTGAATTTTAAGCATATTTCAAATTGTGCATTTAATGTATGTATCCATCATAAATTGCATTTTTCCGTTATAACTTTCTCCATGTTACAGTGAGTCACATGAAAGAAAATTCAATTAAGAAATTAACTGGGAGAGCATTTTAACGAGGTTCACGTTCACTTGATGAGAGTCGGAAGTACCAGAATGTGCTCCAACAAATATCACAAACTCTGCCAGAAAAACGTTTGGTTTCGTTTGCAATCATTTCACCCGTATTCAGCTCATAAGCATGTGCATTAAGTAGGCGATGTAAAGTAAGTCAGATAATTCACCACAATTATCATCACGCTAAATTTTATTCATATGCTTGCATATGATTTACATATGTACAACAGTTCAGATACATTTGACCCTAGCATTTTTGTAAATTTGGTGTATGCAGATAAATACTATGTCCGAATTTCGACTTGAGTCTAATGAAAACTCTTGAATATTTGCAGATTCTTGTCGTACAACCCCAAATACGAGGATGTCGTGAGAGGACTTCATGATGCCGTCGCCCACAAGAAAAATGGCGGAGAGTGCAGGGCCCGATATACCTGTTCGGATGTCCCCAATTTGTAATCATCAGGCTGACTAGCACTTAATAAGAAGAAAACGTCAATGTTCTGAGACACTACCAGTGCGATTGCTTACTCAAAATTCAAAATGTTTCCAGACAAAATTTCCATATTACGGGCCTCCATTATATAAGTAGTTAGTAAAAGTGTGGGATGAATGTAATTGTTGATTCATATCTTTTAATTCAAGAAAATTTAAGTAGCTTAATGATCACGTAAGCATAAAATTATTTCTCCTCTTAAATACTGCGTTAAGTTTACGAGAACTATTTTTATGAATACTGGGGAACGATTTTGGTTTGGGGTCCTATTATTATTACACTATTCCCTACCTCTCTTTTTCTTTGAAGCCAGTTACAATACAACATTGTGTGAGATTTGTTTGTGCTTTTCAAAATGCCATGGGCCTGCCTCCGAGGTCATTAATCATATTCTATGTACGTGTACGAAGAGGTGAAAGTCAACACAAGTATTTTACACCATGCATGCAGTCTCCACCTTCTAAATAAGAAATGCAATTTTTCAAAGTCACAATTGTCCAGAGCACACAATCTTTTCTCCCAGAAAAATTATTGCAAACCTAAAACACCTCGAAATTGTTCCACGTTTTTGTTCATTGTTGTTATCTGTTGATTTTTGTATCTATTTATGAAATTTATTTTTGTACCTTTGTTTTGTTGTAATTTATCTCTGACACATTGACCTGGACACAATTTGCTTTATTACACTTGCACCAAAAAACGAGAAACAAGAGAAAATTTACAGATTTAAATTGCAAAATAATAACATTGTTATTCGGTTGTGAAAGCTCAAGTAATTCTGTTGACCGTAAATGATAAATAATGATAATGTATTCTTCAACTCCATACTTTGTACAAAGGACGTTGTGTTAAAATGCTAAAAATAAAAAAAAACATGAGTTTAAAAATTTTCTTTTCTTTTCTGCAATAATCTCTCTGTATTCATAATAATTTCACTCTTTTCATTTACCGGCACAGCATAATTTCGCAATTATAATTAAAAAGTTGAAATTTACTTGTATGCATATATGTAGTTGGGGTTCGTATATAATTCTGTGGGTCATTGGCTCATCATCACTATTTGTTGTTCAACGATGATGATGATAGTCCCTGGTGGAATATGTGCAATGCAAAGCGTCATATGAAAATATGAAGCTGCAATGAAATGAAATTGTAATCACAATCAACCGTTTAAACAAGTCAAAAACAGGAATTTATACCTTGATGAATATGCATTTTTGCCAAGTTTCAAACTAAAAATTGTGTATGTGTCGGCGTGCTGACATTGGTTGTGTCTGTGTCATCACCATCACCATCAGATTGAGAGTCGGACAGGATCTTCATCTTGGTTCATAGGAGCAAGATTTTCAAGATATTTTGCCTATATGAATGACCACCACTGATTATTATTACTGCTCACCTGTGCTTTTATGGGTCAGTCGGATCAACAAGATGGACGATTTTATTTAATACACACGAAGAGGGAAGATAAAGTTGCAGGGCGACTTTTAAACCTAAACTGTATCTTATTGGGATGATTGACTAGCCCACCAGTTGAATTGCACCGTCCACAACACAGTGATATTTACAACTTAATGAATTGTCTTGAATGTGGTTGTTTAGCTTTTTCGATAGACCGAGTGCGGATACACACAAGTGTCCAATGAATGAAACATTCCAAAAGCATGACATACGTGACCCAATATTTATAATAAAGTGTAATCAGCGTGCCTAATTTACATGAGCTTTATAATTTTCTTTTTTGCAACAACCACGGATAAATATAGTTCGATTTGGGACTTGAACCAGTTGATTGAATCGTCCCAAAGTGCAACATCTTTATATTCTTTATGCGTAGAGGTAGGTCACGTACATGCATCCAAACATCGTGGCTTGTGGGTGGGGTTTTGATTTCTAAGAAAATTATCCGCATGTACATTTTCGACATGCATAAATATGTACCTGTATGCATATCCGAAGATGCGTATATATTATGTATGTATTACTCTGCTATATATATGGTCTCGAGTATGCTTTTTGCACTTTCTCTGAATGCAAGTTAGGGATAAAATGAAATGTAGTACAAAATTAAAATCGGTAAAATTATTTCAGGTGTTCCACACTTGGTAATGACTAATCATATCTTGAGTCGTAAAACTTGAATCAAGACACAAGATTCTCAGATGGAAATTTGCAACATTCATTAAATTCACACAACAATCAGATCTGCATATAAATCAAATGGAATATTTGGCCAAGAGAAAAAAAGACTGATTAGTATTCTGCATGGGTGCATTATCATCGATAGTCTACTCCTCAACAAATATCCGGTTGTTTTGTCTACATTTTTTAAGATACCTACAAATGTACTTATCTACGTAAAAGTATGCAGTGGTTATTTCTCAATTAAAGCTTGAAACTTAAATACCAATAATTGGGCAATATTAATTTTATTCACTTATTGCTAGTACTTAAGTACATTACACGTACCTTAGATTACAATAACTTAGGAGCTAATTATGCCTCAATTGAATAATTAGATACTACTTAAGGAAATGCAGAACCTATTAGAAAATTTTTGCCACGCGGCAAAGTAAAACCTTAAATTACGCCTATTACAGAGTTATTATTACACTTACTGAATGTCTTCAACTGCAAATCCTCACTTTCTTTTATCTTAACTTTCCAGTAAAAATTACACATTGGACATTATATATTAAGTAAGTTTTACGTATTTTTTTGCTACAAACATCAAATATTTGGCAACCAGGATGGAAATTAGCTTGACTGTGACCTGATGCCATTGGTTCAATTTTACTAAAATATGGCTCATTTAGCATAAAGTAGTTTTGTAAAATAAACAACAATAAATAATGCAATACTGTAGAAACTTGGTTGTTTTAAAAGGATTTGAGATCGTGGGTGAGCATATCTATTATGTGACTCCATTCCTGTTTTTACCCAATAAAACTTGATCATGAAATAATAGCTGAAATTACAGCATTGATCTTTGAGAAGTTGTAGACAGGAACAAGACAAACATCTGTCTACATACATTCCATTACTCCACCATTCAAAAATTCATAACTTTCCAACGTATGCGCAGATACAGGAATTTGATTGTGAGGCGAAATCCAATCAATTGCAAAAAAAGAAGAGGTTTCACTTTCAAAATTTCTCTTGAAGCGTTTGTGCATCACTCGCACCGCACGACGTAACACACCATTTCAGTGTCCACTGCTTGGCTGACATGACATTTTGCATGTGAGCCTTGTTGGTGATCAAATTATTATCAAACGTGGAGGAAATAATAAATAAAAAGATGTGAATCGGAACCAAATGCATTTGTAGTTTTGCTGCTGCTAAAATTGAAACCATTGTCACTCGTCGGACTATTTAGACTAGAATAGAAGAATACATAAGTGAGGACTAGTACCACAAGAGGTAATCGTAATAAAGATCAGAGGTTATAGTTTAAATACTTAGTTTTAGTTACATATTCTCCACTACACTTGCTGACGAAAAATCACATCACACTCACACACGCTGTCATTTTGCAAACTAGGAGGTTGTCATATTTAAAATACAATTTGATTAAATTATATATTTCACCACACACTTTACAAAATCCTGCCGATACATTACTCTTTTATTCTTTTTACTGCCCTTAAGATTAGCATATCTGTAGTTTGGATAAGGAGATTTGTAGCCCATTACGCTGCACTGCCGTTGCTGTTGGGTGGGGACGTGGAGCTGTCTTCTTTGTTGAAATAGTACTCGTGGTAGTAGAGAGGATAGCCTCCGGTGGCCGAGGTTGGGACTGGATTTGTGGAGGAGGAGGAGGACGAGGACGTCCCATTGCCGTTCGTGCCAACAGAACCGTTCATCCCACCACCCACACCCCCTCCATTTCCGGAAACATTTGCGGCGGCAGCAGCGGCGATGGCGGCGTAGCTGGGAGGGAGACTTATGTCTGGTATTGTAACATCGGGGTGGTTGCCAAGTTTGGATGATGATGAGAAGTATTCATACGGAGAGATGAGAGGCTCTTGTTGATGTACCATTCTTCCTCCACCGGGTTCATCCCTGTTGCATGTAAACCAAGCTTCGAGATTTTATTAAAACAGTTTACCAATGGCGTCCAATTTTTGGTTCTGGTTCAAAACGCCCCTGATCAGAATGTGTTAACTTACCCATGGGATCTTGTCTTATGCCCGACACGGAGGACATGTTGCTGGCCGAGTGGGGCATCGAGAAAGGAGCAGAATGGGCCATGGATGGATAACCACTTCCCGTCGTCATCTGCCGAAATAGGTTGTCGCTCTAGAAAATCAAGATTCTCATCAGAATTTGATGATACTTTAATAACATCCATACCGCAAAAAATATCTAAGATTAAATACGACTAATTTGCAAAATATTAAGAGAAATTTTATGGAAATTTAAACATGCAGTCTTGTTGAATTCACTAAATTCATTTGAATCAAATACTGAAATGCAGGTTTTCTTTCTTGGCAAACTGAGTTATGAGTCGCTTGGCAGAAGATTCGCAATCAATAACGAGATGCCAAATTGGTTACTTGTTCATTCAGATTATTATTTCATAAATTCTACATGTTATTAGCCGGCAAAAAATTAAAATTCATTGTGCATCATCAGTTTTGCACGGTTATTCATTCGCAAACTTTGTATTCCACCTTAAAATTTGCCACTTTCTTTAAAAACAGAAGTATTTATGCGTTGTTTTTGTGGTTGTAGTGTTTTCATAGAATAAAAAAATTACCTGAGGGTAGCGATTCATAGTGTTGATGGAGTTGATGTTAGCATGTGGGTAGTGCTGGTATCCACGACTGGCTGTGGGATATATATTTCGCATCATCGACCCATTGCATGAAGGGAGGACCGAAGGGGCCAGCGCCTTTTGGAGCTGTTTCTCCTGCTTTCGATATTTGGCTCGACGATTTTGAAACCAAACCTAAAAATTTCATTGAAAATGTTGGTCAAATAAATACGTATGAAAAGCTGCCGTGAAAAACCAAAGTCTAGCCGAGGACCATTTGTCATCAAAATCATTCCATTTTGATAAACCTTTTTCAACTAAATATGCACAAAGCTACGTTCAGCACCCTCGTTTCCGAGTGAATTTGAAATTATTGCAAGAATAAGGCAAGACTACCCAGCTGCTGACTTTTATGCCTCCGGAAACAGGATTTCATCCCCATTTCTGGAGTGCTTATCCGAGAAAATAAGTTTCAGATTCATTCACAGTTTGTTAATGCATCTCCGTCCACTTTCTCATCATCACGAAGGAGCAAGTTCCAACTCTTCTTTCCCCTTCCTCCACAACTTTCAACTCTTGTACACACTGATATGCACATCATGCTCAACTTGTGTGAATTCCTTTGTGCACTTCAGCAGAGCGAACTCAAAGTGGAAAACCAAGCAGCCAAGCGATGAAGAATCTCTTACCCAACAAGCTCGCATTTTCAATATAAAAATCATCATCGGGCATTTATTTACCCCGTCGTTTCCCGTTGTTTCGTGATCTATCTTTATCACTGACTTTTAAGATTTACAAAAGTCTCAACGAAATTGAACCTCTAAATAATTTCCATTTTACTCTCAGCCTTAGACAAAAATACCGATCTACAATGACTGATTTCATCGCGATGTGAAACAGAACTTGGTGTGTGGGCTCCTCGAGAGGATATAAAAAAGTATCCGAGGAAGAGGAACTAGTTTCGACTTGAGAAGAAGCGGAACTATTTTCTACGTTTTCCAAATTCCAACATTTTGCCGACAGTCGTGCTCCTCAGTTGAAGTACGTGCAAGTACTTCGTTTACTTCGTTTGCTTTTCTCCACTCTCTTCTTGCTGATGAAGTATACAAAGAAGAAATCTACTTCGCATTCACTCCATTGAGACCGAGTGAGCCTCTTCTTCTTCTTCTGCTTCCATTGCTGAATCTGTGGAGAGTTAGTGTTACGGGGCGAGGAGTGTTCACAGAGAATGGAGGCCGTGGTGGGAGAAAGTTTACAAATTTGCCATCCTTGTGTACAGATATAATTTCCTAGATAGCTGGGAAACTCGTCCTCATCACGACATTTCTGAGCTAATCTCTTGAAAAACAACTCTGTTGGGACGCAAGTAGAAAGCGACGACCTGGTCCCTGTAGAATGTGGAGCACTTTCTCCAGATATAAGAGCATAGCACCCGCTCGCCCTCCTCTTATATGACATATCCATCCTAATCTGATGACTCTGATGTTCATTTGATTTATTTTCTTCATTACCTTCACAATTTGAACTCTACCGAGCTTGAAATGCCTGTAAAATAATTTCAGGTAATGCAATAATATCAGTTTCCATTGTGGAAATCTTAAATTGAACATCCCAATGGAGAATTAAGAGCTTCCTTTCTCCGTCTTTCCTCTCTCTTCGGCTGCCTCTTCCTCCTCCTCCGTGATCTTATTTTTTATATGTATGCCTTCCATCCAACAATGAATGGGAACGGGAAACTGGATGAACAAATTTTGTAATTTCATTTCATTCAAACATCTCTGTTTCTCCTAACTGTTCCATTTACCAGCAACTTACCCAATCAACCCAATTTGCTAATAAGTAACTGTATTAACTAACCATTTATTTGTGTCAGGTTTTATCATGTTGCAGAGACCGTGACTGATTTAAGGAAAATGTGTCACGATGACGGAACAGTTTTGGGTTTTACAATAATATTTATTTTGGTATTTTAGTAAATATTTCAGACGGATGATATAAAGCACTGGACAGATTTCATTGTCGGAGGAGGAGGCCTTTTTACATTGGTCTGACTCACATTGCTATCTATCCATATATAAATATCTTCCTCTATTTGGCTCATCATAGTTTTGGAAAACCAAAGCCGAGGAGAGGAGCAAATTGTGAAAATGTTGGATAATGTCATCGCGTCCTTTCTCCTCCCCAGCAAATATCGATGGCAAAGCTGGTGACGACGACAAGAGAAGAATCCCAAGCGAACCCAGCTCTTGAACAACTTTCCAACTCGTCCGTGTTGGGCTCTCTGGGGAAACACACCGTCAAATGGAAGCTCTAATTGAATTATGTGTCCTATCACTGTTCACTGTGCCAGCCAACAGCAACATCCAAAGCAAGCCACCAAAATAATACAAAACTGACAGACACCACCACCACTGACGACGACGACGACGACGAGAGAGATATTTCTGCTGGCGAGTATCAAAGACTCCATTTGATGCATTTGATGTCCACCGTTTTTCAGGGAATGTGACGAAAAGCGAGTTTCCTCCTGTTATGTATCGCGGATCTCTGATAGATATACGTATTTATATAGATATACGTACGTACGTATGTACATGCATCGCATGATGTGTCCACCACTAAACGAAGTCTCTTGTAATTCCGGTGCCATCATCATCATCATCCAACTCCGGCTCAAGTCGAACATCTCAAATTTTCCCAAAGTTAGGAAACGTCAATAACTATAGGAGAGAGACCAGATCAGCAGCAAAAGTCGAATGACTACTGTAACTCATCATCATCATTATCGCCACCGTCTTTACACTTCTTTTTTTTCCTCTCGCTTTCTCTTTCGTATTTCTGTCACTAAATGAAAATTCTTCCCACTCCTTCATCCTGATAGTTCTTTGTGGTGGCCGTGTAATAAGACTCGGCGTATCAGACTTGAAGTTTGTACTCCTTCAAGTACACGCAAACTTTCTCCCAATCTTTACAACGGAAATTAGCACCAACCGGAAAATCATGGAGGCGGAAACTAACTGGCCAACTAGCACGACTACGACTACAACACCGTGTGGGTGCTTCCGCCATTGTTCATGAAATGTAACTTGGCATATTCAATTCATAGTCTTCTTGACTTTGACGGGAAGTCAGCTCTGTAGCTCTACAACGACGGAGAGAGGGTGGCCTCCCTCTCTCGTTGTTGCTAATATGCAATCCTCTCCTCCTGCTGGAGTCGTGAGTGACTTCCCCTCGCTCAAAGCAAACTCTGCCCGGATGTACCGAACAATAGTACATACAAACTGCCTGATGTGTGCTATGCCAAAGTTGGAGAGAGAAAACGAGGAAACATGGGAAGACCGTCGACGACGGCGAGGAGGGTTGTCAGTTGTTCCTCCTCAAACTTTACACATTTTCTCACAACAATTGTACTGTCCACCAGCCAGCATGGCGAACGATCGTCAAATACAAGACGACGGGGACGGACTAGATATTTTGACTCTGAGCACCAGCAACCACTTTGAGACTCAAATGACTAATGATGATTGGCAGCCAGGTTGGGGTCTGGTAATAGCCTTGAATCCCCGACACTGGAGACATTTACTCCCTTGTTTTTCATGCACATACATACATGTACATATGTGTTATGGAACTTCGAAAATGAATTTGTGGAGGAATATATGATGTAATCGAACTTGAAGTACGAGCAATTTATAAAAATCAGAAAATAATTTAGCAAAGTTTAAAGTTTTTTCCCAAGTTTTATTAAAGAACATGAATCTCGCATTATTTTATATGTTCCTAAGTACCTTGCAGATGAGCCTGTTTCGAAACATGTTATTTTGCATTTATTTTGTATTGGCTGAATTCAAACCAAACTGGCATGTTTTTACGTGTGAGTGTGTATTTCAAAGATGACTGCCTGGCATCAGCTTTTCCACTCTGCCCATCTCCAACCCAACTTCAAGCCTCATCTTTCTCCAGCAGGGCTTTTAACGTAGGCAAATTAGATTTGGGAGGAATAATGGAGATTTACATGAAAGCCTCTTACTCTCTACTTTCCACTCAGAATTTCCACATCCATCCATCCATCCCACCAACCAACCAAGGCTGCCATTACCTACCAGCAGCAGCATATTTAGCATTTCAAACCGAAACCAACTCCTGCGTTGACACCGAAATCCAAAATGATGAGTAGGACGCAATGACTCACTTTGACATGTGTAGCCACATGCCAGGTTATTACTCTGATAAGCAGAAATGTCAACTCGAAATAACCACCAAGAGCCAACTAAAAACATTCAGAAATTGGCATGTCAAAGAAAAAATTTACTCTTTCTGAAAACACAAGAATTTAATCATTTTCAGGAACAAGGAGTCTGGAAGATACGATCTCAGATTTTTCAAACATGTTGTACAGATGACATGCACTTAATAACCAAAGAAAGTTGTCCTGCTTTCACCCAAATTACAATTTCCTCCAGAGCTTCGCTACACTACACATCCTCAATATTTCCCAATTTCCTCTTCTCCTTACATGTACATAACCCGTCAAAAATGAAACATCTCTCTGCTCCATCATAAATTTCGACATCAATAAGAAGAAGGCTCACTTAAACTTAAATTGCAATAACGGTAACAGCGGTGGAGAGAAGAAAGGCCTCTCAAACAGAGTAGAAATTTCCCACACTTTTTTGCTCACTTTTACCAGACTCCATTTCATAAGAATTTTAAGATCTTAGAAAATCAGCCTTGTCGTCTCCCATCTTCCTTTTTTTATGAGGTGAAAGTGGAGTAATATGTGAGAGAGGGAGATGGCTTTTATTTCTGAAAGTTCATCCGCTGCTTCTTGCTTTGCTACCCACCCGTATGTCGTGACTATATTAAATTTCCTCTCCCAGAGCATACAATTTAGGAATTTACCTGCGGTTTCTCATCTTGCACTCACAAAAGCTGAAGGATGTAAATTGTGAGTACGTTCAAGCCTGGGGGGAATTGCAGGTAAATGCTGAAGAGGAGGAGGGATCTCCGCTTTATATCTTCCTCCTGAAATCTTACATGTCTACGTATGCAGCTCAGAGAAATGATGTACTTCCGCTTAAAATTTTACACAAGGTTTACATAAACTTGGGAAATGCCTTGTTAAAGCGAAATGTGGAGAAAGCTTTACCATTTTTGGATATGCTCGAAAATGTTTATTTTTTCCAAATTGTACGCCCTGCCGTGAAGGATGCAGCAAAATAATACGGGAGGCCTCGTCGTCCTCTATAAATAACGACATCCATTTCGTCTTTGAAACCCATGAATCCATGATTGCGCATATTTCCTCCCACTTTGGATTCATATCATATAATCCATATGCAAATTCTAAATTGAATGTTCAAATAGCAATTGTTCGTTTACTTGTGCTTTCTCTCTTTCTCTCAGTTTGCCGAAAGGACGATGTGAAATTGTTCCATGAATTTGAAATGAGATGCAAAAGAGTTTTCAAGCAATAATAATAATAATGATAAGTGGAGGAAGGAGGATCCCTAGTTATCAAGAGACATAATCATAATAATGGAAGTATGGAAATCATTTGTTTAATACGAGTCAGAGTCAGCACTAGATTAATTTAGCAGTTTACGTGAGACGAAGAACAAAACAGGCTCGATAAGGCTATTTCCATAATGCCCCTTTCTCTAAGCCAAACGTCAAATATTTATATATTCTCTCCCAACTTGACTACGATGTACATTACAAACTCTTGCAACATTGTTTCTATTCATAGTCCATCGTAATAAGTCTCAAAATTCCCCAACGTTGATTATTGTAGAATATGCACATGCATATGCTTGACTATTACCATTATTGACCTCTAATAAATATTGAGAGCTAGAGCAGGATGAGCAGCAGTTGTTAATTACCTGTATCCGGGCTTCATTAAGCTTCGTGGTCCGAGCAAGCTCTTCCCGGCAATAAATGTCTGGGTAATGGCTTTTGGAGAAAGCTTGAAACAGATTAAGAGTTATTAGCATATTGGGAAGAGACCACATTGGATTAGATTAAAAGAATTTCCTTCAACTTTGAATCCCCATTTCTCATAAATAAACTTACCAGATTCTAATTCGGCTAATTGTTCCTGGCAAACAAATTAATCACATTTTTTAGCTCATTCTCGGTATTGTGAAAAGGGTGAAAATTGGGAGGACATACTTGGGTGAAAGTCGTTCGATGCCTTCGTCTCGCAGGGGTCGGGCAGGTGGAGGACGTTGGAGTATGGCTGTGGTTCGCCCCACCTGAGCCCATTCCCAGGCCTGAGGAATTCTCCGACTTCAACTTCTTGAAAGCACCGATTTCTTGTCCTGGTGAATCAAAATTAAATCATTTCTCCACAATTGGATGGCAAACGGGGTGGGCCGCGTCCTAATTATAATTGCTTTATCGAATCTCCAACCCCAAACCAAAAACTCGTAAATTTAAAAACAAACTACTCCTATTTCTGTCCACAACTTTATTTCGTCCCATTCTCAAGACGTTCCTGGGATGAGGTAAATAATGAACCAATTGAATTAGAAGCGAACCAATGTTTTAACTCAATATTCCGTTTGGTAGTGGTGCTAATTAATGCAATTACAAGTTGCACTCACCGCTGAAAAGGAACTAATTAGCTCAGAGTTATCAACTTTAGGTCGAATGGGGCAATTGAAGCAATAATAACCAGCAGCTACCTATTTAGCAACAAAGTAATACGTATAAATATGCACAGCCAATAGTTTGATTCAGTATTTGTTGTTCTCCAATTAGTCCAAGCAGGTTCAGAGTGGCTGTAAAGTGGCTCTGAGCGACAGTCCAGTTCTGGCTTAATTACCATTTCCAAGAATTTTAAATCAAACTCAAATAAAGTTACAATTACCGTGCTGGATAAGACGAAATCCTGTTCAAGCAACTTGTAAAGTTGCTCAATGCCTATATGTATTTATATGTGCGTGTGCTCACTTGCAAGGACTAATAATAAACCCACCCACAATCTCACAACACTTGTTAAACTAATTGAAAGTGATGATCATCAAATCAAACTGCTACAAAAGAAAGAATGCCAAATCTTGGATCAATTTATAAAATGTCACTTTCGATTTACATTTCTTTACTCTCTTCTTTATGAGTGAATGACTTTCTTCAACAAAACTTTTCTTCCCGATTTATGTACATAAAGATGATCCCAACAACAAGGCACGACTGTCGGGAAGGAAACCTGCGGAGAAAGGACACGAGCCCTTGGAGCCAATGATCAGCAGTCAATAGCTACTGATTGAATGCCCGAGTGTGGCAAGGTTTGACGGCTTGAGCGTTTGAAGTGGTAAGGGCACGTGTTGCGAGTGACAATAAACAATGCAAGTCCCTACCGGGTGGGTTAGCAGGGATAACAAAGGGAGCCTTAAAGGATTACGCCCATTCAGTTCCTCCAGCCCCAACATTTCATAAAGGGTTCCTCCACTCGATTCGGCATGTGTAAGGACAGCTAATCTACCATGTTTAAAACTCAAATGGTGACAAGTGTTGCTGTGGGCAGAATCTATTTTCAGGGTGATGACAATTCTGTAACCTTTTGTCCAGCTCTTTATGTAGCTTGACATATGTACAGCTAGTGACCCTTGAAATCACAATAATAATGCAACCTGCCCTATCCATCCGTTCAGTATGCAGCAGAGTTAAGAGGTTCCAAGCATTTTTTACATGCATTCAAATAAATGAAAAACGCTACCTGCTGATTCTACAATTAAAATCTCTTTCCAATCCTCACTCCCTTTTTAAAATCCTTCAAGTTTTTAGAGTGTCAAGGGCTCTGAGGCTAATTTGGTAAGGGGAACATGTGCTCAAAAAGTAGTTGACTTTTTCCCTGACTTACACACATGCAACACGCACAGATAACATGTGAATGGAAAGAATTGGACTTACCAGAGTGGTCTGAAAGCGTTCTGGACAATCCGGGCCCTCCGACGGCAGCTGATAAGGCGGCGTCTGAGGAGTGGAGGCTGTAGAGGGTGGCGAACGAGTCCTCGCATTTTACACCCCCGCCGCCCCCACGCTTCATGTCCAGCCGGTCCTCGTGCATGGATCGGTTGTCCTCCATCATCTTTGCGTTGGCAAAGGAAGCTTGGCTTAACATTTTTGAATGATAATATTGTGAAAAATTGTGCGAAATTATGAGTCTGAAGTAGTCCCACTTGAAATGTCAATCGTGACTTGTTCCCTACTCAAATCAAGTTCATTTAAGGGATTAGACGCATTATGACAACGTAAAACAGCAGTATGCACACAGCAGACGTGTATCAAACATTGAGACGAGTCGTGACACTTGCATTAATAGGAGTGAACTCAATTAGATAATGTACGTAAGCAGGTTAAACTCTGGGAAACTCAATTAATTAGCCGCTTCAGAGATATACGAGTATACCTCCCGCCGTATATGTGCGCGTAGCAAAAGTATGTGCTGTGATGCTATAGTTTAAGACGTGGATGTGCATATATCCTTTCTTCCGACCGAAACAAAATTACTCAAGTTGATTATATTTATCTTCGCCATTTATTCACTTAGGATTAGTTAACTTAGTCCCGAAATGCATTAGATTTATTTACTTGCTTCATACAGCTCGTTTCGCTAGTGTTTTTCTATCGAGTTATAGTAGTTTCGTGTCGCTGCTGATAAAATCAAGTGCGCTTTCACCCGATAAAATATGCTCGCAGGGTTTAACGCGGCTTCAGTCCTTCTTTTCACTTTCACTTGGAGCTATCTTGGTAAGTAAATATGTAGCAGTGAAAAATTGTTCCTTCTTCATTCATACACACGTCGCGTATTATTTATTATTACGTGTGTGCATTCGGGAAATGGAAAAAATCAGATTGGACAGATCAACAAGTTTGCTCCAATTTATTACTTTGACTCGCAAGCAAACTGATTATGGTAACTTGTATAGGTTTGTTGGAGTCTGGGATGTATAACGGTCTGGATGGCGGTCGGTTTAGGCTGCCGGACACCGGTGTGTTGGGAAGAGAGCGACGAAAAGACCAATATTGAATCAGGTGTAGTATAGCAGGGGAGTTAAATTAAGGGAATTGAATAAGGAGATTCACTTTTAAACTTTTTCTCGGACTTGACTTGATTTATCAAAAGGTGACTGCGAACTGTCCTCTCCCTCGTGGAGTGAATGGGCTATATGTGTGAATGATAATGCGGTCGTGGGCTCGGCAAGACGGGGAAAATATTTTGTTGGCGTACGACACCACGACGGACCAGAAAGGATTAGGTTCAGACGGGCTGAAAATGGAGGAGCAGGCTGGGGACCACTACTTTGTATTCATGAGGAGTGATTTATGTTAACCAATTTGTAACACCTATTCAATCAAAGTGAGTTGTGAGTTTTGAGTGTGGAATGTGTGAATTTTTTTTGGCTCGTGACAAGCGATAACGAAACGAAAGGTGACTAATGAGGTTAGTTTAGAGATACAGGTTTATAAGGGAGATTTTCCGTGCGCACTGGGAGATCCTTTTTCGGGAATTGTGTTATCCATCCCTCGCTTTCACCGTCCCTGACTCTGTGCTGATCCGCGGAGCAGACGACGAGCTTCAGAACAGACACGGCAAAGCAGTTTCAGACCAGAGAAAGGTCTGAAATACAGGGTTTGCACTCCATGCAAGCAGTCGAGGGATTCCATGCTCTAAACGCCAGCAGTGCTAGTGCCTTGATATGCATCTCGGTACTTTGTTCCAATATGTATACAAAGAAAAGACATGACAATATTCAGCCACCTTCTGGGACGGATTGTCCACAGCTTGTTGGCAGCTCTAGTAAATCCTACCTGTGACCCATGCTCATTTTTACACTACTTTCTCCACAATTAAAACATGCAAGCTTACAAGCAATGAGTAGTGCCATTAAATCGCAATCATACCACAATTATACTTTTTGTTGCTTTCACTTTTGCAAAAAACTATCACTTCATCTCTGCATCTCCCCCACCGATGCCGCTTCTTTCCTTGCCGTCTACAACATCACACCAAGACCATAACTTTTCGCATACCGGGAGAAATAAGGCAAAAGCGTCCCTCTGCTTTTTCCAGAGGAAGATGTGTCCATCTTCGTCGGTCCGTCTGCTTATTCCTCGTCGTGGTGGGGAAAGCACCCTCCTCCCTTCGCACCCGTCTTTCCGTTCCCAAGAACCAATCCTCTCCCAGCCCCGTCGTCTCCCTGGCAATCTCCCCCCACTCCCCCACCAGCCACTCGCCTCGCTCTGGGAGCCAAACGCCTGCGTTTTCCACTCTCCACTTTCTCCCAGCACTCACTCTCTCTCTCACTATTTCTCCTACAACAACTTCCACGCTGCCTCGTCTTCACCATCACCACGGCCGACAGAAAGGACTTTCACTTGGAAACGACTTTGATCTCATCTCCTTCATGACTTCTTTTCACCACGACGATCTCTTTATTCTGCCTCTGATAATTTCCTCACTTATCCACACAAAACTTCTTTTCTGCCACTTTATCCCTCGCACACAATAATAACCCATCCACGCTGGGTATGAAATGCTGCCAAATATTTTGCAAATCAAAACAGGTTTGAGTAGCACCTTTGTTTGGCGGAAATTGAATTTGTGTAATTTTTTGGATATCAGTATATATATGAATGACTGAATGCATCCCATTGAACTCGTGAGAGCTTAAATTTTTGTAAAGAAAGTCGAAATGATATGCAGATCGGATTAGTTAGTTCCATCAGCACGGCGGAAGATGAGAGATGGCAACAAATAAAGAGTGCGAGGATGAGTAGGAAGAAAGCTTATGAGTCGTTCGTCCTCTTCTATCCCAGTTCTTTTCATACACTTGTGACTTGTAATAAGCGCATTTTTCACGGTGTTTCACGGGAATAATTCAATCAGTTCAGTTTCAATAAATTATACAAACTTAACCCGTGCTGCACATTCATTCATTCATTCATTCACTCACTCATAAAGTAATTCAATAATTTCAATCTGTGTAATGCACTTTACGTAGTTTTCCTTTCTCAAACTCAATCTTCACCCAGTTTATTTGTGATGCCATCACCCACCGTTTGATGGAATTAGAATTATTACATTTTCCGTAATCAAACTTGTTACTCTTGAACCTTTATGAATACAGAAACAAAGTGGAATTTATTGCGCATATTGAAAATAAATGTACAGTGAGTCAATTCGATTTATTATTTACAAGGATAATACGTAATCCCTGCTCATGATAAATAAATAAACGACGACGTGGCTCAACAATGAGACTCTGCACCCCAAACTTAAACATCTAAAATGATGGGTGGTGTTGTTGGTTAATTTCCTACACGTGATGGGCAAGTGTCGTAGTGACAACATGGTCTGCGTGTGTTCGTATAAGAGTGTCAATTAGAGGACACGTATTTCAACAAACGACTCCCACTTACGCAGCACGTGTGTTTTGTCATGTAGTTGATTCAAACCCGTCGAATTCTAGCCAGAAACCAAACCATATTTCGATTCTGGTCATAAAATAAATACGTCGAAATTATAATAATCAGATCGAGTAATTTAAATGTTAGCCTGGGTTAAATGTTGGTGATTATCTCATTAAAACGAAATTTATTATTCGTAACCATCGGGTACGTTGCATCTCGTCCCACATTATGCTCCAATTTATAACACATTTTTGAGATTTCCCATTGTACAGACCTCACAACAATGCCTACAACACATATAAATCGTGCCATTAGTTTATGAATCCGGTGTCCAAAAATCTCACAGCTCATTGGACTCGTTGGGACGAAACCAATGCAGTGATTCAACGTGGGGCGAGAAGACAACGCGGAGTCGACAGATAAACAAGCAGCCTGCGTGCGTAGGTAGGATTCATAGGAACAACAAGAAGTGGCTTCTCCTCACACTTATGGCACTCGATTGTGGTCAATTTGGCGTAAAACTTGAATCATGCTGGACCAGAACGAATCAGTCATCATGATAAACTAACCACGGAAGATGCTAAATCCTATTTCGCAGAGGCACGTATTGAATACGCACATGACAGACGCAGCATTTATGGAACAGAGTAAATTTAAAAGGGAGACTACGAACGGTTGCATTGATCCTTTGCTCTAAATCGACTCCTGCTGTGCCAATTGTCAGTGTTCAATGGGCGATGCTCCGATGACCAGAGTGACAAATTATGCCACCATTTCCCCCTGGCACACCTGTCACAAAGTTCAACACAGCATGACAACATTATCATGCTCATCATAAATTAATAGAGACGTATGTACAAGACAAGTGATGGGCCGCAAATTACAGGCACCTCATAAATCTCAATGTGCCCCGAAATAAATCAGATCAGGTAAATAAATGGCTTATCCCTCCACACATAATGGACTTATCCATGGTTGAGCTAGTGCCATATTAGATTTTACATCCCGATCTGAATATTCCAACATTTGAATTCCTGCTAAATTCGGAAACCAAACGAGAAACCGAGAAGGAATTAAATCACGTCAGCTCTAACTAACCGAGTTGAATATTATCTGCTTGCTTGACATGGTTTCGCATGGATGTGGATTGTCTATTTCGAATTGGTGAAATTGATTCAATTTTGTGTCCAGTTCTAATACCGAGTCACCAACTGTCAGGCATGTTTATACGCATATCCACAAACACTGTAGCACAACCCAGTCTCCACTCAGATATATCTGTAGATAAGTTCGATAGCTTATACATACGTATACATATTGTTACTTTATTTTGCGATAGGAATCTTCTGAAAGCGAATTCAGATTTGAATCAGGGTTTGATGAAAGTGCAGCAGAAGAGCCCTTATGAGGCTAATCAGCCCATTCAAATATGATGAAGATCCATCCTCAGATACTTCAACTCGCCCAACTCATTGAATGCACAATTTTACAAAAACCAAGGGCCCCCACTCAATTTGTTCTGAATAAAAAGAAAGTCCACAGAATCATTTTTCAACGAAATATAAAAGTTTTTTTCTCCATTCATCATTAAAGTTTAGTTTTTACATTGTTTAAAATTCCGTCAAAGTTCATATCATATTAAGTATTTTTCCAAATTTTGCATACGTTAGATCTGCAAATGAAAATACACTTATGTTCTACACGAATGGCTTCCTTTTGATGCACAAAGTCAGATGAGACAATAGTTAAAAGACTGAACTCTTCAGGGAGCACAAAAGAGACAAAGAATATCACACTTGTAGCAGCAACACGCACATGAGCATCTTATTCGGCAGGATGAAACGTATCCTTTCACGAATAAGTAAGTCGTCATCATTGCCGTCATCTTTTTCCAATCGAATTCAACCATTTCCAAATTACAATTCGACATTTACCAGCAGCAGCAATTCTTGGTCGGTCGTCTTGCTTGGAGTGAAAGAGTCCCAAGAGGGGCGCGATTTACATCCCATTAAGAAGACACTTTTATCTCCCTACACACTGCATGTCATGCTCGTTGATTTGATGCTACACGAGTATGTAGGAGGCTAAAGGGGAAATAAAACCGTTTTTTATGTCCCTTCCCTCTCCGTCACTCATCCTTTGTTCTTCTGCACAGAGTGGAGCTGATTGATTTTGTATTGAGTGTGCGATGTGATAAAATGTGACAGACAAGTGCACATATGAGAACCGGTGGAGGAGAGGAATAAGAGAAATCCAATCCAGGTAGCACTTTAAAATTTGAAATATTGGAAGGAAAGGGTGGAAATCCAATGCAACATCCCATCAGCCATCACATACGCACGCACATATATTTTCAGGGAATGTTTGAGCCTCCTTCGGGACTTTTGAAAAATCTTATTTGATCAACATCAGTTTCCAATTTCCAATTTCATTTTGAAACTTAACTGCCGAGTTGCATGGGAGACACGTTTGAACCTTTTCAATTTTGGATTTATCGGAATTGGAAAATTTCATCAAATCTCTCAAAGGTGAGGTTGGTTTTGAATGCGACATTTGTCCTTCCCCAAGATTTCCCAGCAACAAAGTGTATTCTCAGATCTAATATTCTTCAAGGAGATGGTGCATGGCGGAATACTGCATTATAGTAAGAAAAAAAAGTCTAATACAATGTTTTTCATGAATATTTTACCCAAATTCCCACATTTTATACAGCAGTCTTGGATGACAAGCGAGTGTCACATTATTCGAGGTGGAGTGTGCGGCAGTGACAAAAATTGGTACATTTGACCATCGCATCATCCGTATAGCGTGGACGATGGGTTGGAGAAGATGAGGATACATATGCATTATGCGAATGGGATTATGTACGAGCCGAGCTTTCCCCTTAAAGGAATGATCACAGCGGTGGGCAGGCCATATTCCTTTTATCTGCGTGGACTCGGAAGGGAGTAGTCCTTTGTAGGCTAATTTATGGACACCCCCTCTTCAAAATACAAATATTATCCACATTTCTGCCCGTCGAGGTTCGGTTAGAGGGGAGCATCACAAAGACACGAGGAGATCACACAGGAATCGTCATCTGTCTCCCTTTTTATTCTCTCCATCTCTCCGCCCCGTTCCGTGTACTTCATTACCAATTACGCTCGTATTCTCATCCGTACAATTTTACATATCGAATGAAATGTAGCCGAGCGCAAGTAAAAAAAATTACTAAATAATCGACACAAGTAAATACATAGTAGTTAAAAAATACTGGAGAAAATGATGCGCAGATATATTTACTTTGGTTCCTTGAGGGTGATAATAGCCAGCATATTATTGTACTCCCACACGTAGGAGCGGCTCGTTTATTTCGTACATATCTCCTTGAAACGGCGTGGACGACGAGGACGAGCGGTGAATGAACAAACGAGAAGAAGGATGTCATTATATTTCTGAAAATGAGAAAGATAAGTGATCCCATCAACTTTAACTTGCTTTTGATGAGAAAGGATATGAGATCCGAGATCCTCATTTCGTTTCCCATCTCTCAGAAGCTGAAGACCACCACCACGGAAGAAAAAGACCAAATCATAATTTGTCCTCAACGGCAACCGACCAAAAAAGTAGACTCAGAAGATGGTTGAGATTTCTGGATGGCGGCTGCTTTCTCCTATCACACACCTCTCCCTCCTATACACATAAAGTTACACCGTTGACGATGGAGGGATAGAAAATTGCGCATGAAACTTGGCAGTGGAATTTTAATTATTCCTTAAATGACAATCTGTACATGTAACCTTCCAAAACCCATTAGTTTTGGATATATGTGTGCACGTCTGAAGTATACTCTCTACATTTTTCTCAAGTGAAATTGTGTCGAGCAGAAAAAAGCTTTCTATTTTGAAACATTTTCAATCAAAGTTGCATTTCTTTCTTTCTTTTTCACTCACGCTGTTCCGAATATTCTCCTCCGCTGCTATTTGCGAGGACCGTTTTAGTTGCGGCTCCAGATTTGATACTTGAGGCAGATTGACAGGAAATGAGATTCTCTTCCCAAGGTTTATATATTCTCTTGCATCCCATCTCCCATCCACCCAACGCTTTCTCCCATCATCCACTCGAAGAGGAGACGTCGCACATATATTCGGAGAGCGAGGGTCACCTTTTCGAGTTCTCGGTGGATCCGGAGCAACAGAATCAATTTTTAAAATGAAAATGTTTTCTCCGACTCTAAACTCCGCAGGGGTCCGTTCCTGCCAATCTCTGGCTGCGACGAGAGAGAGCCAGGCTGAGAGAGAGATGTCTCAATTTGACTGTCTCATTTTTGGGGTGGACGGCTGATGGGAGAGAAAGTGACGGAGGAGGAGGAGTAAATAAATCTAACTAAATGCTTGGTTGGAGCTTGAAACTGGTTGAAAGTGGGAGAAGAAACCTCGTTATCTTCTCAAAATCATATCTTTTCCATTTTTCATTCTCATTGAGTTTTCAATCTCGACTCAATTCCGTCGTCCGACCTGATTCCTTTTCAGCTCGGGGAAAAAGTTGATTACCCAGTGCGACCAACTATTACACAAGTGGATGCCATTTTGGTGTGCAAGTAATCCACACAAATTGAGTGCACATTCAGAGTCGTTGGGAAATCTAACTGCATAAGTAGAACCGTTCTCTAGGAACTAGATACGCACGTTTAGCGGCAGAGGTGACATGAGTTGAACTCGAGTTTGTGGAATTACAGGGACAACAAATTTGAATTATGGGTTCAACCTTCTTCATCTTGGTATGAAAAGAGTCAGCCTGACTTCGTTATGCAAAACTAATTTAAATGTTCATGAACATGCATTTAGATTACTCCCAGAATTGTATTCAGTTGCAAATGACATTGAAATTAGGTTCAGTCAACGGGTAGAAAATGGGTTCATCATCATGATCAGTGCCGAACTGATCCAGGTCGGTCTCAAATAATTATGCTTTATCCAAATTTTTGAATCTCGCGTTATGCATACTGCTAAAAATTTGCATATATGTTTATCATAAATAGAAGTGCAAGTAAAAGTTTACCAAAATGATGTTCCTAAAATGTAGCTTAGTAAATTTCTTGATTTTGTAATTGTGGGGCAAAGTGTCACCATTCACAGAAGCTCACCAATTTGTCCTCGAGAAGGGATTTATTTAGAAGAGAGTGAAATGCGGCCAATCTTCTTGGAAGTCACATCTCCATCTCTGCTGCTTTCGAGCAGACTCCTTTCACCGGTTGTCCCCGTGTCGGAAGCTTTCTCCGGCATGGAAGGAGTCGGGGAACCGAGAAGCAGCCCCACCACATGCTTCAGATCGATGCGTTTCCATCTCAGCCTGAAATCATTGACATATTTCCTCATTCTCCTGACAATCATCAAATTAGTTCTGCTCAAGAGCTACTAAATTATTTTCGTTGATAACATAATGGTTTAAGATTACGCATCCGTGCATCTCCATGTGCATGTGACTGGGTTTATATGTACAGATCCTAATACTAGGTTACAAAGTCTGTGATCGTTTCTAACCGGTAGTTTATTACTGGTCTGGACAAATAAAGTCTGCTCTTCCGACTGAAATGAGATTATAATATTCTGGATAATTGTGAAAGGTGCAAAAAATTCAGGACTGAAAAAGGTAAGAAATCAGTATTTATTTAAATGTTTCATAAATTGCATGTGTAGACTTTCTTGAATAAATCACTCGAACTTGTTGTAATACTACAAATGTTAGTTTAGAGGACAAAAGATCCGTTTCCGAAACCAAGCAAATGTTGACAAAAGATAACAAATTTTTATCCCTGTTTATTTATGCACTTGGGACAAGTGAACAAAGAAGGTGTGAGACAGCAACAATAGAAAAGTCCAACAATGGAGCAGTTCATGAAATGAAAGTGGATCAAAGACTGGAAATCTGTCAGTCTCTCTCTCTTTCTGCTAAATACGAGGTTGGCGTTAGATGATCGCATTGACATATGGCGACCATGCTAAAACCCGAATTACAGCTTTCCCTATGTGTCAAGCCATATGGCGGACAGCACTACCTCCTCAGAGCTTTACTTTGCCACACCTTTTCAGCGTTCATATTTGATGGACTAATTCATGTGAATATTTGTCATCAAAATCGTAGTTCTAGGAATTTAAGAATCGTAGAATCAAAGAATTTTCCGTAGGTCATTCTGCTCATTAGATATTCTACTGTCACCAATTTTTGCATAATGAAAAATTTAGCACAATTCCAATGACTCATGTTTAGGTCTTCGTCATGTGTGCTATGAATAAACTCATCCGCAATGCCCATGATGATCATGATGATGATAGAAAGATTATCTGAATGGAGTTGTTACAAGGGACAAGTCCATTAAAAGCCCTCTAATGGTGACAAGTTGACAAAGCCGAGTGCCTGGAGGGACCCCATTGACAACCTTAAACACACATACTGCACTTTTACATACTTACATATCCCCACCCCACCAAATCTCTGGTTCTTCATGGACATACATATGCATGTATACCAGCACCGGAACAAGTGGATTCGGATTGCCTGCTTTGTATTCAATTATTATCCGATTCCATCACCCTTTTGAAACTCAATAGGTCCAGCCAGAGACTGATGATGATCATTATCCGTGGTTAACGTATATCAATCAACGCATCGTGAATCCTGATCAGCAAACGAAACGACAATCTCATACTGTATACATACATAATTTGCACCATCGAACAGTAAAATGGAGCGGAATAATTTATTGTCTTTTGGTCCAATTGGCATATTGGGATGCACAACTGCTGTGACAAAACCGTCATTGCATGCAGTTATTCATAGTCCGTTCATGTGCATATGCAGAGATGTGGAAGAGAGATGAGGATAAATATGTAGTAGATCTTGATCACAACCCAAATGTTTCGTCAACATTTACTGATTCTTAACTCAAAGTAGCAGAAATAATACCCGCAATTAATACGTGGTCAAAAACAACTCAACACAAGTGCTCATGACCTCACAAGGATAAGCGCGATATCCTGAGTGCTTATAAAGTGTAGATTTGAAAAATACGATACAAATTGCAATCCTTTTTTCCATGCGGCATTTTCCTCCGCCAGATTTTTAATAAGAGCTAATGAGCTCTTGAAGGCAGGCAAATATCACAAAAGGGACGAACCTACACTGCCAAATGAAGCAGTTTGAAAAAATTAACAAACTTATTTTATGATGAGATAAGAAATCATTACATCGTTGTTTTGGCAAATAGGCTAGGTTTTCGGTTAGAGGAGCCAGCACTCATCACATAAATTATTCATGCATAAACAGATACAGATAATAAGACATGCTTACAGAAAAGGAACAACCTCAGCAGAAATACTTAGTTAGTAAAGGAGCGTAATGTATATATGTGCATATGCAAACTAAAGAAAAGCTTCCCTGCAATACATATTTGTGCTTCAGTGAAGCTGTCACATTTTATAACAATTTGCCACATAAACTGGGTCTGATCTGGTTCTTTTGGTCATAATTGGTCATAACTCATCTCTCTCATTTTAACAAGACGTCTCAAATAAGTGCCTCAGAGCTGCCGATGATGGTATCGTGCAATCTCCAATAAAATCAATAACCAGTCAGGTTTCTGACCTTTGTTATGGGCATAATGCAAAGTCACATCCCTCGCACCAAATTGACACTGCCAAAAAATTTATGGCCCTTTATGAATTGCATGTAGTACTAATGAGCACATGGAAAATACTCTTAAATTGTGGCAATAACGAGAGAGGCTGTAATCAAAATATTTCTGGAAAACTGTTTTTCAGAATTTTTTTCTAATCAACTTTGACGATGGGGCAGATCCTCGTCAACCTGTCCACTGGAGCTCTGCTGCTTCTGGGGCTGTTGACGTCGTGTCCGAACACTGTGCAGGGTATGCGCGGACCACACCACCCACGAAATAGTCCCAAAGTTGTCAGTCCAGGCCACACCCACGGCCAGCAACACAACCATTACGTGCCCCGCGTTAGTCCGGACCAGCCAGCCCCCATCCTCACCCACGATAAGAACGTGCTTCACGATCAAGAGTAAGAAAATGATAACCTAGTAAATAATGCTTATCGTTGTACTACTCATTTATTTATGTACCTATGTCCATCTCCCATATTTAAGTATATCATTATAAAATCCTGTATACCTGGGTCAACGGGTACAACTTAATTGTACAATTTCCTACAATTATGTAAAAAGCAAGCCAAACTTGGGAATAGAGATAATCTTGGGTTTGATGAGGGCAACAATTTATGCAAAATTAAGACAATCCATTCCCTTTGCAAAAACAGGATTTAGAAAAAGTTGTCTAATTTGCATGCAACTCACACCTTTCTCCCTCCGTCCACTCGCTCACTTAAAAACTCTCGACAATTTCATGCATGCTGCTTTAATCAATTGAGTCATACAACAGGGAGATAAATAACCATCCTGCTGCTCACTGGCCGTGAAATGAGAAGAAACGTAAAGAAATAAATAAATAAGTGCTGCCTCGAGAAAACTGGGTAATAAGTTACACAGGTCAGACAGGCCAAGCAACAAGCAGTCGACTTGATTTGGTTTCACAAAGTTTTGCTAAACCTGGTTCTGGTTGGTTGGTTGGTGGCCCAAGTTTTCTTGTTATGATGATGACTTGTTTCGTCACACATTTTGAAACACTAGCCTCGGCATCAGCACGACGGATTAACCAACCAGGACTTGATGCATCCAAATGTAAATATTTTTTCATCAAAATGACAATTACAAATTGGAAAGCGGACTCGCTACTTTTAATTAAAAGCAATTGACGTAATGCATGTAAACCATTTTACCAGAACTCACAACTAGGGATAACATTTTATGTACATACATGCTTACGCAAGTAATATGGCTAATTGCATACTAATTTCTGATGTTTTCACACTCAATTTGGCCACAGACATATTAAGGAAGATCTCGGGGAATGGGTGACCGCTGATGGAAAAGAAATGACTCCGGAAGAAATGGAGTTTCACTATTTCAAGTGAGTGTACATGTCCACAGGTCCAGTTTTTTGGACAATAATGAGCAATTAACTTCAATTCAGCTTCGTATTGGAGTATTAAAATTTGGTCATAAACTTACAGGATGCATGACTTCGACAACAACAGTCTGCTCGACGGCCTCGAAATTTTACAAGCGATTTCTCACATTATGCCTGATGATGGGGATGGTGTGGACCTGGGCAAAGGATCTGCAGCTATCAATGCAGAAAATCAAAAAAGAATGACCACTGAAGAAGAGAGACAAAAACAAACGGACGATGACTTTAACTATTACATTGGTAAGCTTTAAAAAATATTGTTTTTTTCTTTAACACAAAATGCTTCTGAACTTTATCGCATGGCGTTGGTTCAATGTTTGCAGAGCTAATTGATCGAGTACTTGAGGAGGATGATTTGAACAGGGTAAGCTTATTTAACATATTTAACAAAGTAATTTATGCGCAGAAAACAAGCTTTACTTTGCGAAATGCAAGTGGTCAATCAATTTTAATTGCAGGACGGATACTTGAGTTATTTCGAGTATGCGGTTGGACGACGCAGAGATGATAAAAGAGAAAAAGCCTTACGATCCTCAAACCCAAGCCAAATCTAAAAATAGCAAACAAATCAGTCTATATTTTTTGATCACGGTCAACATTTGCTCTGTTGATCATCGTTATGATTTATTTCAGTTAGGTATATGTGTATAAGTAAAAGAGCATTGTTGTTGTTGTTATTATTCTAATGTTATCTAAAAATATTCTGTTTGTTACTTAATTAAGTATTAGTCATTTATACTTTACAACATGAATGGCTACGCATGCCCATACTGACAATAAATAAATAAAAATCCTAAAAATTAATCTTAGCTGCATACTAAATTTATAAAATGTACAATCTTTACTTCAACTACATGATTCAAAACTGAACGTGTCTAAAAGATGACAAACAAGATGGAAGAACAAGTTCAATTTTATATTTTGGAACACATGATTAGTGGAATATAAGTATCAGGCCAAGAATAATAATAACAATAATAAGGCAACAAGTTATCACTTTGTACATTAACTATGGGTTTTGTAGCTGCTTTTTGATTCTTCATCGTAAATCTCAACTAACAAAGTAAATATATACGTAATTTCTTGAGACCCATGGGGCTTCACAGCTAACTAACTTACTCTAACTCACATACACATTAAAAATTATGGCAATTGGAGTGAGCAGTCTTTTATAAATGACAGTTATGGTCTAACTGTATTTTTCTAAAGTTATTTATTAACGGTTGGGCCGCATATCGCTCTTTTCCACGTCATCAGAGTTTTCCAGCTCAAAACCCAAATTATGAGGGCACAGCCAAACCCCAGATTTGCAATGTACCTGAAACACAAAAAGACGAATCCCAGCCATGAAATTAAACATCCAACAGAAACTTTTTCATACACATTTATACAACAGATAAATATGTACACATGTCTGGACTTACCTAACGAGGTACATAATAAACAATAATTGATTGTCTCTGTGAGATTGAGATCCAATGATGGGCATCAATACTCCGCCTTCATATTTAAAATTGCATCAACATTTTTATATTTTTCATCATGGTCACTACCACAAACAAATTAGTCAAAGCTTGTCTTACCTTCCGAGAGTGGAGTCGAGATATAGAATAATGCTACGAGGAATGCGAGCGATGTTAGGAGGAAGAAAACTGAAAACACTCCAATCCTCGCCTAAAATGGGCACATAACATATTTATTTATTAGCATTAGTATTTATTGGCAGTGGAACAAATCTCTTATGAGCCATTCATTATACCATTAATATTTCAAACCCCGCAGCAGGTCCTCTTCGGCTGGGTTGTTCACTTGTGATGTTCTGATGTTGCTGATCCCATCCCAAAAGGGACCGTTGACCACCAGCACTGCCCACGAAGACTTTGTCACTAGCGGTGGACATGATGGTGGAAGATCTTTTGATTTCACCACGGATGCGAAAGAGACTGAAATCAAAATTAAAAGTTATATGTGACATCGCGTCATCGTTAACATTAATTATTATTCAAATTGTCGGATAGTAATAAGTAATGAATCTCTATTTCGAAGATTATTATTATTATTCGATCAACTTCATCGTACATAATCTTTATGCAATTCTCCTTCTACATATAATCCACTAACTAATCATCTGAACTTACCCAAAAAATCCAAGTACAAAGAAAATTGTCCCGATAACAATTAAAGCTATTAGTGGAAACATCCTGAAAAGAGAGAAATTAAAAACACGTTATTCCTGGCAATATATTGATATCGCTTAAATTAAATTAATTATACGCATGAAATTATTTACATGAAATACTGGAGCTCTGTGGACCGTTGAACTCCAAGTGAACACGGTCCGGCAAGTGGGTCGCCTTCCACATAACCCAGAGCTACCGAAGCCATCGTCACGAAGGCGGAAATACCCCAGGCAGAGAGGTGAAAGTAGAGGGAATAGTCTGCAATGGCTTCACCTCCCCAAGTCAGACCGGCCGACAAATACCAGGTCAGAGAGAGCAGCACCCACCTAAAGCAAAAAATGGAAGGAGAACCACATGATTTGGGGGCAACAACATTCAGATTATTTTCGGAACGAAGCAGATAAGACTGAATAAATAAAATTGCGGATTTTATTACCAAATATGAGAAGAAAACGTCAGAAAGTATGTGAACATGAAAAGAAGCGTACAGGAGGCAGAACCCGGTCCAAGAACAATGAATCCTTTGCTGCAACTAATCTCACTGCTTCCGAACGCCTGTGAAGACAAATAAACACGAGTCGTTAAATAGGTTAGAGATGAATACATGGGTCGAGAGCGAAGACTGACTGACTTGTCTTCTGCTTTCTTTCATTTCGCTTTTGGGTAAATTTATTTGCCAACTGTATATTCAAACAGCAGCAGAGTTTGTTATGAAATGTCATGTCATTCACTTACCCCGATAATGTAGCAGACTCCTAAGAAATAAATAAATAAAATAAATTATTGATTTGTTAATTCACATTTTCCAGAAAATAAGACACGATTTAAGAGTTTAATGCTGTTGGTAGGCGGAAATACTTACCTAGACCCACATAGCAAACGGCAATGTGGACGATTGCTCTATCTGGGTAGTGAAATCTAGTGGGGTCCAAAATGGCCGTGAAAACGGTGAATAGTGATGAAATCAGGGTGACGCTTGCAACCACTCCCACAACGTAGCTAGCGACTTGTTTCTGATGAGGAGTAAATATGGAGCAGGGAGGCCCGCATTCTTGAAGCTCGTGACCCACAGATGAGATAGAATGCTCAGGATCAGACCAGTCAGAGGGGCAACTTAAATGTTGAGCTATAGAATTTTAATATTTACTCTGCTTAAACCTTGATAATCTTGACATTGTCTACGGTGCATGCATCAAACAAATATATGCACATTATTGGAGAGGCATGAACTTACGGGAGTAGCCTCTCGGAGAATCCGTCGTTGGAATGGCATGATGGCTATAGGAGTCATTTGACCCGGCTGGTGGGAGGATTTGCGGGGGGATGTCGCCATTGACACAGAGTTCATTGTGCAACGGGAATCGAGAGCAGTCAAAGTAATCTGGCCAAGGAAGTCCAAAGGTGAGGAGGACACTGCGAATAATATCACGTTAATGTAAATTAAAATATTTAATTAAAATAAATAAATAAATAATAAAATAAATAATTTTAAATTAAAATGGTTAATTGTGGGTGTTCTTACTGTTCGCATCCATTTCGGACAGCTTCACAAAGACTTCGACAAGGAGGCAGTGGCTACAGTCAAAATCATTTCAATTAAGAAGATTCCGTCGTGTCACTGTCACCCAATTACAATGGAGTAAAGTGATTCTTTATCAATCAGATTGGAACTGGCATTAGCATTATCATCATCGTCATCATCATCCGAGTTGTCATTTATTCTGCCGTAGTACACGTTTGTCTGCCTACATGCGTGCATATACATGTGCATTGCATACCACTTTCAAGTTTTGGGCAGAACAACTTGGAATAACTGATTAAGAAGCTGTGGCGTGACAGCGTGGGAATAATAACAGTGGGAACATGTTGCTTTCTACAGCTTTACCCTCCGTGCAGTCATCAATCAGATACAAATGAATCCATGTTCTTTGCTCAACATTACATTTATACAATTGAAAACAGTAGTATTTAAGTAGCGTCCTGTGTAATGTGTAATGCTAAACCTGTTCTTGATCTGTCCGAAAAAATCTTCCACCACCAACCAGCACAATTTCCATCAAGTCCCATCACCTCCTCATACTACATATCCATCCATTTTTTGCTACACCTTTACTGCTTCTGCTGCACCACAATACACCAACAATCAGTGGCAAATGTATAATGTCGATAATTTGCTGCGAATGTGAAAAAGGAAAAAAAAACTATAATTTGTACACAGTCAAACAGTAAAAAACGCAGGTCCCTTCCTGTTTGTGTTTCACGAAAACTAAAGCAGATAAGTACTTACCACCACCACCACAAAAGAATAAACCTCGAGTACATACTTGACTATCTCGATCTGCTAAAATCTGTCTCATTTCTTTTTGCTCTCATTATTGTTGTGGATGGATGGATGGTTGGTTGGAGGGGTTGGAGATGGTAATGAAACCAGTATTTGACTCGGTGAGCTTCTTGTTAGATATTTACTCGTACTAAAAAGTATAATGCTTTCCAGGTGGGTAACCCCAACTTCTACAATTCTCAACTTGTGAGCAACAGCGATTTATCAATAATGACCAGAAGTTACAAGTATGACATGAAAATTAGACTTTGACTACGAATTAGAATAATCCTGTTTCGAATTCTTGGGTCAGCTTTTTACCACAGTGAAATTCGATCCCATTAACACTTCATCTCTGAATTTTTATGATGGATTTTATCATGAGCCATGATTATATGGAATTATAACGAGCTTTGATAAAGAGCCGAACAAGTCGCATTGGTATCTTTTCTTCATTTTTAATGGGTATTTTGAATTCAATTGATGAATTCTCGAGCAAATTTGGAACTTGTCTTCCCTTTGTGCCAACAACACTTTTTTTTCTGAGAGACCACTATGTAGTTTGCAACATGAGAAGCAATCATTAGCACCAACAAGGAATCCTGTGGAAGAATTCCAATGGTTTTTTTTATCTCACCGAACCCAGTCTAAATATTATTTTTCTTGTTGGGTACATTTGTAAATATGTATGTATCACGAGAAATTGATAAGAATACGAACGGATTGCGTGACCAGAAGACTTACCTCATGTAAAATATTGCAGAAAGGCGAGAACAGTGAGCAGAGGAATATCTTCAAAGACGGGCTGCACTGAACCTATAAAAAAATTGAACCTATAATTTAATTTCATAAGTCTACAGTTTTCAATCACTATATATCCCTTCACAATCTGCACAATTATGACTCTTTCCCAACAACAGCAGAAATATATAAATATTGCATGCATGCATTTTTTGTCTCATCTCATCTTTTCCAGAGATAAGCAAACCAATAACCGACTCGAGAAATTATTGTTATTACATGTAAAGGGAAAAATGGAGTAAAAAGTCTTAAAAAAACTGGAGTGAATTGAAACTAAAACACGAAATATGTAATGTATTGAGAGTAAGTAGTTGCAATTACTGTTACAACATGTTTGATCCGAAGGATAAGCCAACAAGCAATACATTCAAAGGAAGAAGAAAAAAGTGTTTTTCTTTCGATTAAATCTCTCACGGGCTAACAAAGCCGGCTACTCTAGCGTGCTGGTCGTTGTCATTTGATATCAAATTGGGTGGATTTGCAATCTTCCGTTGGCGTCATGCAAGCAAAATTGTAGGTTTTTGTTTTGCTCTCGGTATGAATTATTATTATTATTACCTTGACCAAGGCATAGTATTGATGGACTTCATAACCTGCTTCTTCTTGTGTGGCATGGCCCATCAAGTTGGGTAAAATCTGTCCACATGAATAAAAACTTCTTAGGACCGCTTGTGGGGATTTATATAAGTATATATTTTGCTTGTTTGCAGATCAAGAGAATAACCAGCCTTACCGTTTTATTGTATGGCATGTCTTTGCACCTACAAAATCAACAAAGAGATACAAAATTGCGATTGTCAATTGGAAATCCTTATTATGAAACAGTTAAATTACATTGGAATGGTCACTTCTTCGCATCTCGCTCCAGTTTTTGAACCTTGTGAATGATCGTGGTGATGCCCAAATTCCACGTCACTGCGGTCACGACCACCCGCACCGGGCATCGTGGCGGAAAAACTGTGCACCACCGAGTTCGAGAGTACAAAAATGGACAAGGTCCACAAAAGGGAAGACGACTTGGCATTCATTTTCATTGTTTTGATTTGATTTGAACGGACTATAGATGCAATTTAGTAGTGTTTTTTTTGGTTCGACTCGAGTATTTCTTATGCAAAATAGTTGGAAGAATAAGAATGGGTGGGATTGTGCTTTGTGTCACAGAGGAGGACGAAGAAAATGGAAAAGAAGACGACGAGCTGTTATGGTCGCCCCGGATCGTTTACTCGCACAATGGCTAATCCTTGATTGTGGCAATTGTTAACTTTTAACTTGATACAGAGAAGTGATTGTTGAATTGTTCATTTAATCTTGATCTTCATTTTTTGCCTTTTAGACTTGCACATCCAACTCGTCGTCAAGCTGTGCAGGAATCTGAAATAAGATAAAGCGAAATAAATAAAATTGCAATATCATCATCAACAACCCAGTGCAGTCCTCCCCTCGCTGGGTGAGATTTCAGATTAAACGCAGGATGCAATGTTGTACGTAGATTTTAGTGAGTTAGTTGTCGTATTTATTTATGTAGTTATACATCCTCCATGTACGTATGTAGCTGAAACAATACGGCTTAAAAAGTTAACTCGAACGAAGACGACACTGAGGTTGACGCTGAGAGTAATGGCCATTCATTAACCTGGTTGTGAATACAAATTGCTTCAACTAAGCTTCCCAGCTAAGTCTCCTGTCGCAATTTGTCACTGAATAGAGGTTGGTTGAGTAAGAGCAACTTTTACATAAAAGCATGAAATGTGTTGGAACTGACGATTGTTTTAATTCGTTTAGCATAATCGCGGTGGCGAATCTTTCTGATTTTTATTTTATCCTAGCAAAATTCCATTTCCCACAACAGAAACGGTCGCTTTCGTTCTCACATTTATATTTATAGCTGTTGTACTTTAGCTCATGAAAATATATGCAAAGCACATGTACAGAGTTGTACTTGTGTACTTGTTAATGGGAAAAGTCGGCGTTTGTTGGTGAACGAATTGTGCAAACATATCTGCGTGTTATGCATTGGTGTAAATTGGGTAGCATTTTCAAATACTTAGGATTCGTACACTTTTCCCAAGCCCAAGGAATCTGCAAACTATTGCACAGTTTGTGTAAACTTGAAGCTTAAGAGGGCGACAGGATGATCAAATGAAGAAGCAGGTTCGTAAATTACTTGGAATTATGAAAGTCTGTCGCCTCGTCCTGTCAACCCTGGTCGTCGTCGTCCGTCGTTCCCTGTCGAGCAATATCTTGATGGTGCAAATCCTGTATCATGGAGCATTTATTTCCCCATGACACGCTTGCTCAACTAAAATTTTATCACTGAATCGGAATTCTTAAACTAAACTTTCGCACAATAAACAATTAAACGACGCTATAAAATAAACCCAGAGTTGAGCTCCGCAAGCGCCCAGTGAACAGCGAGTGGTACGTACGTAGGACAGCAATAAAAACCCACACTGCTGGCTAACTCAGACGCATGTACTTACACAGGCAAGTCTGTGACTTGTCGTACAATAAATTGAACCCAAAGGCTAAATAACGCTAATGCTTTTCTTATTCTTTGCTTGAATAAGAAGGTGTGCATAGAGTTATAGATTGTTGTTATTTGTTGGTATGTGTGTAGGATTGTTGTTGACGAGAGCCCGTAATGTGTCGTCTCGACTTTCCTGTTGCAATTGGTGATAATAAAACGCTGCGATTGTTTATTTATTTATATTGTCGAGAATCAACAGAGTGTTGACTAATGTCCGTTATCTCATTGCAAGAAACTGCACAGGCTTCTTGTATGTGTGTGCACATGTGTATGTATAAACGTGGTTTATTTCTTAATGCAATCCTTCATGAAGAAGAAGACGTTCTCATCGTAAATAAATGTATTTATGTATTTACAGTACAAGCTAATTTGCCACCACCTAATCATCCGGCTAATTGCAGAATCAGACATGATATGAATAATAAAAAATAAGCGTAATAAAATTTGAATGGCCACAAACGACATGGGCAAGGCGTTGCCATAATGCCTCCGCTATCTTAATGCATTTTCTTGAGCTACGTGTAAAAGTGTCGGCCATCCTCTTTTATGTGCATACCAACACCAACAACAACACACGGCGAGATAAGTTTAAAAGCCTGATAAACGCACCATTTATCAAGTTTGTCAGAAAATGTTATCAGATTTCATTGCATTAATAAAATTCGACCATATTAAAATGTTTCAGCCACGAGCAGTAAGAAACAATTTTATTGATTCTCCTATTATTTTTGAAACTAGAAAACTGGAAGATCCATTAAGAGCTTTTCTTGATGATGAAAGCCATTCATCACACACTAACGCGAGAATTAAGTAAGATCCCACCATCACCACAAGCCACTAACGTTCTGTAATCTTCCTGGGAAAGTCAGAGAATGATTAATGAGCCGTGATTGCACTTATTTCTGTTCAAACGGAATCAGGCCTGATTATTGCAGTCACGCTATTTATTAATGAATGAGTCTAGTTCATCGACCAAAGTACACATCGTTTATTAACCAATAATAAAGAAAGCAGCACAACTTTTGTAATAATTTCTCGACAAGGAACGAAAAACGGCGTTGACTCGACATGTTGTTGACTCGAACGTTTAAATCAGCAGATTTTGTTCCACTAATATTTCTGGTGTTGCTGTTATTATTATTTTCTGCTCTCTCGAGACGAAAAAATCCCCCTCGAGCTTCTCATGCAGCAACCAACCAACTCGATGGAAAATTCACAAGAAAATAGCCAAGAGCTCAAAGGAATTAGACTCGTCTCGTTCATCTCGTAACGAAACCACACCCTCAATAATCATCACGAACGGCGGACGGACGGACAGAAGACGCCACCGAGGCAAACAATAAATCGTAATTTTGCACCACTACTACAACTAAAACTCTCCCCACCGTCATGTTACGTGCATCTGCTCCATGCTCGCCAACTCATCCACAATCCAGCTTCGTTTTCAGATTAAATTAAAATGCCCGTTATGTCATGCAGGAATTATCAAGTGGTGATTTGGTTGCATTACTTTATACATTATGCATTTCGCTGTGAGAAGACTTAATTCGAACATGTGTGGAAGCACGAAGAAGGTGGTACAAAAGTGTGAAAGTGGTTAGATTTTAAATTGCCAAATTATCAACGTATTCCTCCCAAGATGCAATTAAAATTGGAACTAATAATTTTATATGGAAAAAGTTGCATGAAATTGGTTTCACACCCTTGTTTTCTTCTCCTTCAAACCCGTTGAAGCTTATCATAGTTCATGAAACTTAGTTGTGAATCACAGCACAACTTTACATACATAATACCACACAACAATTTGTCAGGCCCTTCAGCTAACAAATGCCAAGCCATCAGCCACCATGTAATTTTTGGCGGCGTTAAATTAATTTCTTCCTAGTTTATTTGATTTTTGATTGTATGCTGAGAGCGTAATGGATGGTCAAAATGTTGTCGATATGTCGAATTTAAGTGGCAAACAAACAAGAAGACATTTCTCTATATAAGCAGTACCCTGTGGACCCCACCTTCATTTCTTCAAGGAATTTAGTTGATTGGATTACCATGCTATGATTGTATTTTTCTCCCCTAACGAATATACCCGACCTTAATTACACACTGGCCCCAAACGAATATGTGCACATCCGCTTAATGCTTGCCTGCCAATTGTGAGAGGATTAAAGTTTGCAAATAAATTGAATTGAACCCTTCTCAAATCCCAAGACAATCAAATGTTAATGAAAAAGCTCATCACTTCACGTCACGTCACACACATATTGCTAATTAGCACGTTGCAGTAGAAGGAATGCATAACAATAACCCAGCAGCAGTGGGAGATAGATGATGGGGATGAGATAACTTAACAGACAGACGGCCGAATTTGCCAGGAATTCCTTTTCAATTCAAAAATTTAATTTATTAAGAGGATGAAGGTTAATTGAGAGCTGGTTATTAGCTGGACAGAGGGCTGAGGCATTGGATTTATGCTGAATCTCTGCAATATAAACGTGACTGTGGTGTTATCACCGGGGAACAATCAACTATCACCAGCTCATCTTCGCTCCGTCCAAGATCACAGACACCGACATGGCATAATCAAATGTCGAACTGATGGAAACCAACCAACCAACCATTACAAAAACTTTGCTTTGCTCGTTCACGTCAACACGTTCGTAAGTAATGCACGAAATATTTTTTTTCCGTTTAATTTACAAAAGCAACGGATCTAGTGTAACCTGTACGTATGGAGATGGGTTTGAAATAGAACGGGCGATCAATGCCTCTCTCTGATACACGACGCATTTAGTTCTCGCTTTTTTATTACTTCTTCATTTACTACCAATCCAAATACCAAACATACTGCTGCTATTGAAGGAAGGCATTAAAGTTGAAATGAGAATTAATTTACTCAAGTGACCAAATGGTATCTAAAAGTGAGGATGAAATAATTTTTGCATTCATGAAGCATCACGAATTTATTTACATTCTACGCTTCTGATCCTAATGATGCGAGGTGAAAGAAACGTAATAGAAGAAAACCATGTATTACGTTACGGGTAGGACTTAAATAACTCGAGGGAGGAGGCAATGCAACAGCTTGGTTATTATGCAAAAAAGAGAGAATTTACATTGACTAAATACGCGATAATAATATGTTCGTCAATTGAGGAAATGATGGCGTATTCATTTCCCTTGGCGATTTGTTCAAAAGAATTTGCTTCCAAGGCTTTGATTACTTGAAATGTGGAGAGCATCAGTTAAAGAATGGGAGAAGTGTCTTTCCATTGTAGTGTTGAGCACAAAGATTAATTAATTACCTACATTCTTCATCCAACAGAATTGCAATCTGTCGGATTTTGTCAGTTTTAGCAGTCCTGTTACTGTTCCACATTCTCAATTCTCAGCACGTCACATACAACTCAATTTTACGAAGCATTTTTATGAAACATTGCTGAGGGGTACAGACGATTCACAACTTGACGATAGATATGGGAGCGAAAATATGTATTATGCAACTTAAACTTCTTTAGGCGACAAAAATTTACAATTACTTTAGTATAGACTAAAGTTATTAAATCTTGTACTTACTTATATACGTGTGTATAAGAATATAAGATATACGCAAATCTAATAGATTCATGATTTCAGATTGTTAGCAGTGAAAACTTTCATTTTTTTATAATTTGGCCAAATCCAGTGTATATTTGTCTTCAGTAATACGACAATTTTTGTTGGTACAAATTATCTTCTATGACGAATCAACGTCGTGATAACATGTTGGCAATAATTCTGCAACCTAATAGCTTGATTCCAATTGACCAGCACTACCAGCAGATATGCCCATCGTTTGATAAAGTACTTCATTAAGAATTCATTACATTTCATATTTTGGATTTCAAACAGAACAAAAATAGCATCATTCTAACCTATGCAAGACACGTATTTTAGCCAAATTTAGTCATTCATAATTCAGCTTACCTCTCATTGTAATCCAATTACCGGGCGTCTTTTATTACTTTTCTTCACGACTAACTTTACAACATGTTTACTTCATTTTCACAATTTACAACCTCACTGAACCCAACCGTTTATCTCAGACATTCCTCAATTATGGTATTAACGTTTATTTTGATAAGAGTAGTAGCGTTCTCGTTAAGTTAACAATACAACTTTATTGCAATTTCCTTCCACATTGTTCATCGGTCATACAGAACTTGCGATTACCTTGTTACGTTGGTTTGTATAATCTGTTTTTTATAAACTGAATTTGCATTTCAAATTCCGAAAATAATGTGTTTATTCAATTCCTCGGAGCAGTAGTGAAACGGGAACTGGAGTTGATGCAAAGTAAGTAACTCAAATTCACAAAGAGCGTCGAGAGACCAAAGAATCTCTGCGCTGTTAACTCAAGACTGCCTTCTGTTAAGTAACGACAGTCTTGCTTGTCCAATATCTGGCAAGTCTTCTTCTTCAGATGTTGGAATACCTCCTTGGTCTTCTTTCTCTGACAAAACTCGCTCCCCGCATTTAAGAACCAAGGAAGGAATAAAGAAGAGGATCGTCGTAAGCAAGACCCAACGAAACCATTAGAAAACCTCGTCTTTCTTCAACTTGTTTCCAATATGATACCGCTGTGGTGCTGTATTTAAGCCAGATACGGATACTCGTTGATATGGTGGTGTAAAAGTTATAATCATAAAATGCCAGTTAACATGCATATGCACCACGGGCATCTGCTGTTACATGAGCTATTTGGTGAATGCATGCAGCATGTCTGGTTTTATGTGAGGGATGAACCATTATTGTCTTTAATCGAATGCTACAGTAGCACTGCATTTAAGAAACTATTAAAAGATGACGGCATAACTTTCTTCCACGGCAGAGTTTTTAATCGAGTCTCGTAATAGTTACATATCTCAAAAACATCGTTCCAGGTTTTCGTTGGCTATGTTTCACATTTACTTTGGCATTTTATGGTTCTAAAAGTTTCAAAAGAACTGAATGATCCCTCATCATCATGAACGCAGCCTCGTTATTAAAGCGTTTGAGCAAGTTGCTCCACATAGTTCTCTACGTACGGTAATAATACGGCCTATATCTAGATATAGTGGTTTGTCCCCTAAAAAGGGTTGATCTGCTGGGTCCTCTCCCATCCATTGGCTCTGTGCGAGTGTTAAATGTTATCCGCTTGAGGCAAAATTGAACCCCTCGGATAATGCGTCATGAAAACTGAAAAGACTTTACCCTTTACGTAGGCTTTGTGTCCGGTAAAGAAGTCTATTTGTTTACGTGCATGATGAATGGACATGGATCTCGAATGAAGCTAAAACAGATATTTATTATTAAGTAGCGAGAGCAACTATGCACTTACTGCGACCGTTGGTCCGTCGTCAGCATGATAAACGAATCAACTGGTTTAGATGGTCAGGACTGAGGAAGGTGAGGTTCCTGATGGAAATTCGTTTGTCGACCTCATAGGTGGTAGGGATCTGCCATGACCCGGTAACAGTGTGGAGAAGTCATAGGCAAAAGATGTCGAAGTTTGATTTCCAAGTTTTACGGAAAGATTTGAGGGTATGCGACTTCAGAACTTGATCTAAATGGTAAAATGTATGCCTAATTTTCGTATTTATTTAGTACCAAACCATATAAATCTACAAGGACGCTTGTAAAAGATATTAAATCTGTTTTATGAAATTTCATAATCTCAATATTGTAGCTTATTCGACTCAGGATTTTCGTCACTTCGCTTCCGTTACTTTATTTTATCTGCTTATTACATAGAAAGTTAATATTACGATGCATATGTATCTCTCTCCTTCATCCGTCCAGTCAGGTACATGATTTTATTATCTTGCTATGGTTCATTTTTCAGAGGAAAATAAACATCTACGTTCTTACTGAATAATACAAATAAGTAATTAAGTTTGATTTATGTACATTATTATTATCTGCGTGATTGAAAAACTGATGCTGTTGCAAGAATGTTATCCCAAGCTTCTGCAAATGCCATGTCCCGGTCATATCTGCAGAAAATGGCCGTAATTTACCAATTGACGGTCGAATTTCTGACAAATCATGCACAATTCCAACCAGAATCTATACTATCAAATTGTTACTATAGGTGTCCCAGATAAAATATTATGACCGTACCCGATTTGTCATCCGGTCTAATCTCCAGGAAAATAGACTCTTGTATCAAAATTGTATCAACCTGCAGTATCTCCCGTGATCATCGTAGCTTACCGTTAGTTATTTTAACAACAACGAATTATGCCTGGCACCGACGTAAGCCTGATAAAAATATTCAATACATTAGACCACAAACATCAAAAAATTTGTCCTTTGTGCATCCTCATTCATAGCCTGCTGTTGAGAGACATCAAAGGAATTCTATACATGAAAGTGACCCTACCAACGGTATGAATAAGTACTCAATTTTCGTTAGATGAATCCACGTGATTGACCGTTGTGTCTCCATGAAAAAGTGCCCACCGATGTATCGCCATTGGAGGATGAAATCACAGAAGAAATCACAGAATCCGAAGAGATTGACGAAGAGGAACTTGATAATGAAGCCAATGAAGGCGATGAAGTAGTGGAGGCTGATGGTCAAGAAGAAGGTGACCACGATGAAGAAGACGAAGACGGAGAAGATGCGGATGATGATGACGAAAGTAATTATCAGTGGTCTGGTTCCAATTTGTCTGTCATGAAGAACAATTTGTACCCATTTATCGTTGTGTGTACAGGCGACGATGTTCTGTCAGAAGAGGAATTACAGGAATCCCCATTTGCATATCATCCTTCCGAGGAAGACTTTCAAGAGTCTGACCTCCAGTCTCGGAAGGACAGACGATATTTGTTGGGCACACATTCATTTTTGGAGTTGAACGATCCACAGCTTGAAGACGCCTTGGTGCCTGCTCATTTAGGTGCACATACTTTTTTAAGCTCTCTCGTGTATTTAGCAACTATTTACTTTCAAATTTGTACTATATTTATTGACATGACTCAAAATTAGATGGAGAAAGTTCTCGCAGGAGTGGAAAACATCACAAGGGCTTGAATGCGGAAAGGGACAAATACAAAGAACTTTGCAAGAATGCAGGATTTAAACCAAATCCAACATTTCTTCAATCTCTGGGGACTTCTATTTTGGATTTGACAGTTATTTCACCATGATATTAATTTTTTATGCGCTCAAACTGTAGCATTAACATTTATTCGATGTACATAATCTACTTATAGAATCATGGTCTATCCGATAAGGAGATCGAAGCCATATGCATGACCCTATGCAATGATAAACACATTGAGATTTGTCGACTGTCTGGAAATGCTTGTGGAAAAATTGGAGGGTTGGCAATTGCAGAGATGATAAAGGATAACTACACGATTGAAGAATTAAGTCTGGCAAATACAGAGTTCGTTCGTGTGCAGCTAATTTCTAGTTTTTATCCAGATTTTAAGATTATCTTGTGAATCTTTCTTTCAGAATTTTGGAGTCTCTTGAAGAGATATGTGAGGCTGTGAGTCTCACCACAAGCTTGATAAGCATTGACTTGTCAAAGGTGAACAAGATTGTACATGGAACATGTTCATTTCTTGCGTACAAATTTTTACGTTTCTTTTCAGAATGAACTCATTGATCAAGACATGAGTCCCATTTCGAACATGATTGCAGAAAACCAGTCTTTGAAAAAGTTATTCTTGGGATCAAATGAGATTCGTGATGCAGGTCTGGCAGAGCTTGGTGTTGGACTTTCTGAAAATAAATCCATTTTGGAAATTGATTTATCACGAAATAAAATTAGAGGAGAAAATCGTGAGTATATTTATACTAATAAATTCATTATATTGCTGTATGGATATGAATAAAAATTAATTTCAGGAGCCGCACGCTTCTTCACATCTTGTGGAACTCATCCACAACTCAGAGTATTAAACTTTAGTCACAATTTAATCCGAAATGAGGGTTCGAATGGATTTTCCAGAATTTTGTACAAAAATGATAGGATCCAAAACCTTGATCTGTCCTTTAACATGTAATTTCATAAATTGCAAATAATTAATAATCCTGCGCCAAAAAATGTATCTGTAAAATGTGTAAAGCATGGAAGAGGGAGCGGGACCCAATTTGGCTCGTGGTCTGGGCACTGGAGCCCCACGAGACCTGGAAACGCTTCACGTGGAACAGCAATGGTGGCACCAGGAATCGGCCGGAACCATTTTAAGACCTCTGGGCAACAGGAAGAACATGATGCCCATTGAGCTCGTTGACTTTGGGTGGATGCTAGACGTTCACAAAAGCTTTCTTAACGTAAGCTCATCGTCAATTACAAATCATGGAAGTAGATCATGCAACAAATATAAAGCAAATGAAGCAACACTTGTAATGTGTTGTTTTCTAGGCACGAGACAGAGCGTTAGCAGCTCATCCCGAAATGAAAATCATACATGGAGAACCATACGGTTTGAAGAAAGCCAAAGGTCCGGATGAGAAACCTCTCGTAATAAGACGGGCAAACATTGTGTGCGAAAATTTTGTAACTCCACTTGTGTAAGGAAACTTATTTACGCATACATTTAACAATGCTGAATTGCAGATTTCACTTAGCTAGTAAATGCATATTTATGTAGGATGCTCATGGAAGAACTTGCAAAAGAACCTAAAAAACTTAGCAAGACGGCATTTCGAAAGTTCATCAAACAGTGCAACCTGTACAAGGATAAATCTTTAACAGACGCCTTCGAGAACGTCTTTGCAACTCCTTCTGGAGAAGTTGACGGTGAAGCCATTTTAGCCGCATTTGACAAGGAGTATCCGGGCAAGAGGGTAATTCCAGACCCTGAACCTGAGGGTGAAGTGAAGGAGGAAGTCAAAAAGGAGAAAAAGAAGAAGGGAGCTAAGGGAGGAAAAGCCAAAGGAAAGGGGAAGGGAGCTGCCAAATCGAAATCTAAAACTGCGGCTGGTGGTGGTGGCAAGGGTGCCAAAGAAAAGGCTTCGAAGAAGCCAAAGACTAAAGCCAAGAAAGGCAAATAATTTTGTAATAATAATGTCAGACAATTAAACTTTTTTTAGTAAAAATAATAATCAATTGGTAACTTTTACTCACTTTACTGGTATCTCTTCGACATCATTAATATAAATTTGTAAAAAATAATCGGCAAATACTAAAAGAGCAATCAATCATGCCATAACAAGTTAAGGCCTTACTTGATTAGTGTGATTATCAAAACTAGTATAATTCATAGCGAACAAATCACTGTTAAATATCCATCAATCCAACGTGAAAATTCTGGCAGCAATGTCATTCAGCATCCAATTGACTCCTTCCAACAAATTAGAGCCGGTCACAGCACTACACCAAACAATTTGCCAGTGATGGGTTTGAATTTCAGTCAGAGAAAGTGCATCTCTTATCTCCTCAGCACTCAGAGCGCCTGGGAGGTCACACTTGTTTGCAAAAACAAGTAAAGTCGCTCCAGATAATCTCTACGAATCCAAATGACACGAATTAGTCTTCTGACTCTCATTTACATAAATGCCTCTCCTATTTATTCATGCTATTTACCTCTTCCTTCAATAAACTATGCAGTTCAGCTTTACAATCTTCTAGTCGAATTTTATCAGCGCTGTCGACCACCCACACGAGTCCGTCTGTGCTCTCAAAGTAATTTCGCCAGTATGACCTAGAGAACAAATTAAGCAATTGGCAATATAATTACGTCAGCATCTTGAATTTAGCATTTAACTGACCTCAAACTCTTCTGTCCCCCAACGTCCCAAATGTTTAGCTGAAAACTAAAAATAAAAATGCTCCAGTTCACTTGAAATTTGAAAATCATTTTCACGGTATAGCTTTTAATCCGCAATTACACATTAATTACCCGTTGTGCTCCAAAGTCTTGATGTTAAATCCTAACGTGGGAGAAATTGTATTGATGTCTTCACCGTTGAACTTTTTCCAAATTGTAGTTTTTCCTGCGTTATCCAAACCTCTGATACAATAAACAAGATATTGTTTTACTGAATGCATAATTATTAGAAAATAACAAGTAAAATTAAGGGAAAAATGCAAAATAAGTCACGCACAGCATTAAGACACGGACCTCCTTCTCTTTTTGCTTCAACTTTCGAAGTATTTTCAAAAGCACCATTTTTGAATTTCGACTAGCACAATAAATTTAAAAAACAACAGGTGAATTTTTCTCGAAAATCATTTTGAGCAGCCGAGTTGGCGGTGTGTTGGCCAGCAGACCGCCAAGTGGAACTTGAAAACTTGAGGTAAAATAAAATAAAAATATTTATTCACGGAAAAATAATGAGTGCATATAAATAAATAAATAAATAAATAAAACACGTGTATTGGTTATCATCAAATACATAATTTGAAGAAGAATTTACGTGAGGTAACGGTTGACGGTGCCAAATAAAACAATATTATAATAAAAATACTAATTCGAGATGTCGACGGGAACCGGGTTTGGTTTGGAGGAGATCGGGATACCTGGACGAGATTATCTTCGTGAAGCCCTGACTAATTGTTCCGACCCACTCAAAGCAATCGAGGAATTTCAGGTTGGTTTGTATTGCGAGTATTAGGTCAATGCCAATTCGACATCGATTCGGTAGTAATTTTTTGTTATATTTTGTAGTCTGAAAATGAAATTCTACTGCCGTCCCTTCGACCCATGCTCCCTTTGCTAGATTTACATGGAACATCAAGGCTGGACTTTCATGTAGCCGTCATGGAGGTACTCAAATTCTTGTAAATTTAATAAGGCTTGTATGTGAGTATCATATCTAAAATGCCTGTCCTCGTTTTAACAGGAATTGAGAGACACCTTGATAAAGAAGATTAATGAAATTGGTACGAAATGGGAGCCGAAGGAGAAGGACAAAAAATTGAAGGAACTTTTGAGTAAAAGCTTTCCAGTCATCAAAATTAAACCACTACGACCAGTGGTAAGAATTTTGATTCAACAGGTCACAGGTATGGATCATTGATTGGTAGGTGTTAATGTTGCTGATTTGCAGGTTCTATCAATTTTAAAGAACATGACCACAATTAACGACAAATATTTAGACGTTATTCTCAACGATAAAGATTTATATGAGCAATGCGACACAGAGGTAAAGAGACAGATTTGGAAGGATAACCAAACGTTGTACGGGGATCAAGTCACTCCTCTATTTACACAATACACAAAGGAGAAAGAGCAATGTTTATTCAGTTATGAGAACAAAGTCAATTTGTTTTTTACTCATTCCCCAAAGGTATAAATATATAGCAGAACGTTTATGCATTTTTGTGATACAATAACAATGTAAAAAATATTGTCCTTTGCAACAGATTCGAAGACAAGGTGAAGTTGTAAAGAAGTTGACGCACATGATTGGTAACAATGTCAAATTATATGACATGGTTCTACAATTTTTGAGAACACTATTCGTACGTACAAAGAATGTTCATTATTGTTCTCTCCGTGCGGAACTACTCATGGCACTTCACGATGCTGAAGTTCAAGTATGTTTTTTTGCGAGAATAGTGTACCAACCTTATTTCGCCTTGTTAAATATGTACTAAATCACTGCTGTTCTGTCGTGTTTTAGGAGGTTATGTCTGTTGACCCGTGCCACAAATTTACGTGGTGTATGGACGCTTGTATCAGGGAGAAGAATATGGATGCCAAACGTTCCAGGGAATTGCAGGGTTTTCTAGATAGCATCAAAAAGGGAGAAGATAAGCTTCTTGGAGATCTGTCTGTAATTCTTTGTGATCCATTTGCCATCCACTTTTTGGCAACGGTAAATCTCAAATGCTTATTTTATTATGACAATAAATAACTAAGAAGAATCAAATTTAAAACCCGTGTATTTCAATATTATTTTTCAGACTTCAATGAAAGTTATGCAGGTAATTTTACTTTAATCTTATCGTCCTTTATGTAAATTATTGTAAATATACATATTGGCAATTGATATGTTTGTGCATATTTTTCTATTCATAGACCATTATGATCAATGAAAGTTATCCCAGAGAAAACCATGTTTTAATCCTATTGCTTCGTATGCTGTCATTGGGACTAAGCGCCATTGACATCTTGACTACTCAGCACTTTAAGGAGCCCAAATTTGATTCTCAAATAGTCACCAAATTTCTTCCTGCACTGTTGTCGCTTATGGTGGATGATCAAGTCAGAAACTTGAATGCCAAACTACCTCCTGACGAGCGTGAATCCGCCATCGCAATTATTGAACATTCGGGTGCGTCCCCTGATTTGTTTTATCGGTTAATTGCTTAATACTTAATATGTACATACGCATCAATAGCATCCATTACATTTGTTTTAGGGCCTCCACCGGATGCATTCCAGGCGTATGTCAATGATTCTGGAGTTGCGGCTACTTTGGCCATGTACTACACCTTACAACTAGCTCGTCAAAAGGATAAGGTCGGTTTGATGCGGGTATTGGGTTGCTTATCCACTTCGTATAGAAGTCATTCGTATGACGATCCTTATCTACATTCACTGGTAAGATGATGATACATTTTGTCATAAACCAGGCACAATTGACGTACCACGACTGATAATAATAAATTATTGCCTGTTGTAGATTTCTCTACTAATCGGAATCGAAGATGAGTTTGCTGCTGAAGATTTCTGTACAGTTGTTTTTGACGAATTTTTATGTCCTGGACTTCCACAAGAAAATGTGACGAAACATCTCCTTCGACTGGTCTACAACGTGTGTCATAAACTGGGGACAACTCGAATGGAAACCGTTCTGAAAACATTGCAGCCTTCATCTATGCAAACTGAATCCCTTCGCGTCGCATTTTCAGCGCTTGAAGAAAAAATTAATGCTATCGAACAAGCTACTACCAATAAACCCCCAACTTCTCCACATTAATTCACTGAAGTTTTTTTTACTGTCTCTACAAATACATAATGAGAATGTACTTAATAAATTTAATTAACCGCACGTTGTCTTCCATAGTATGTTATTACATATGTGCTCATAATGCCCACATGTTTTACATATGTAATAATTCCTGTGAATTTGTTTCAATTGTCGCTATTTTGTGGTCAATATTAACGAATTATAGCTCCATAACCCTCATAAATAGGCAATATGTGCCTACGTCTACTTATGCAAAATGTAGTGAGCAACAGGTGCACAGAATTTTTGGAATTTATGAGTAGGTTCGCCACGTGTCATGAAGACATGTCTTGACTGATTAATGGGAAAACATCGACTATATAACCCAGGCAGATTGGGACAAATTTCACCTTCGACATTGTATAATTATTTAACTGTCCATAACATATTTAAAACAATGAGCAATCGGATGGCAATCGTTCTCTGCCCTATCGTCACCATTGTAGTGATGGCATCAGCTACAGTCGTTAACCAAGGGAAACCCATTTTTTGTAAGCAGCTATAACAGAAATACCTAACTCATACATATGTAATGTAGTACTACTATTAGATGCATGAATATCGTATTTTATTAAATCAAGAATTGTAATGTGACGAACCACTTTTTACATAGGCTCGCGAGCAAATATTTCAGAGGTTCGAATTCAAGGATGTAAGAGAGAACCATGCACTCTGAAGAAAGGAACCAAACTTCCTTTCGAAATTGACTTCAGTTTCACAGCCCCCGAAACGATAGATTACGTGGACCTCAACGCCTTTGCTCCGTACTGGAATGTTCCCGGCCATGGAGTTTATGGAACCAATTTGGCTACTTCAGATGGGATCAAATGCGAGGATTTTTCAGAAGGGAGTGAGTGTCCATCGAATCAGAGTTACACCCTTAAGTCCACCTTATATGCTGACCCCAAACTTCAGAGGACTGTCGGCAACAAAGAGACAACAGTGCGATTCTAGATAGTAATCATAGCCAGCTCGTGCGGACGAACGTTAGGTCGGATGCAACATGTTTATATTATTTTTGAAATATGTAGGGAAAGGTGAGAACAGGATGGCTCTTCACACCCAGCAGTGACAACAGGTCAAACGGTCAAGAGGGGTCCCAGTGCTCATTCAATGTGGAACTCAATCTTGTCAAGTGAATAACTGACATACTGAGGAAAGCAATACATTTCTTTCCTCGGATGAGGCGTTAACAATGTTCCTTCCTAGGCGTCTAATCTGAATAAATAATTGCAAAATGTGAATACAAGGTTTGCATTACTTACAAATGCTAAATTATTGCTTGTATACAAAAATCATCAACGGCGAACCACAGTTTTAAGATTCGCCCAATCTCTGAAAAAGAAAATGTTTATTGCACATTGTAAATTACACGAGTCAAATTATGTATGCATAGTTGAGAATGAACACGCTGAACACGAACAAACGAGAATTTTATCAAAAGTGCATGAATGTTGCATTTTATTCGAAATCATCTTGTAGTGGTACTAACTCTGGATGCTCTTTCCAATGCCGTTTCCCGTCTCAAACTTGCTGTTCTGTTTAAACGTGGCATCGATACTGGTCTCTGCGATACAATGGAACAAAAGGCATAAAAATATACAAACATCTATCGTATCCTAAGCATTTTTTATAATTACTAACACTACGTCTGTTGGACGTTGAAGTAGGTGAAATGCAAACCCCACGATGATGATGATAACCCGAGTTGCAGCAGACGACTCCTCTTCCGCCAAGTCTGACCGGACACATGCAACAGCACTGCTTGTGACGGTTGAACTTGTGAAGACCTTTCTCCTCAGAAGTTGATGCGGTCGTCACATCCTTTCCTTGCCGTCTTTCTCCCCCGCTGTCTTGTGAGTCGTCATTGTTCGTCAGCGCCACACTGCTCTTCCCATCCTACACTCACAACCGAGATAATCTGGTGCACAGTAAGCATATAAATTATGTCAGTCTATAGCCTCGTCTTACCTCAGATAAGCCAGAAATTACGAAAATTTCCAGCAGTCGTAAGTTGTCTTTTATGGACTCGATGGTGTCGTGGAGGTGTTTCGTGCTTTGTCGACATAAATCCAGATGAAGTTCTGACATTCTTTTTTACGTCTGATGATGCCAAACTCAAATGAAGAAATGAATTAGTGTGGATATTTGCAACAGATTTTATTGGTACTGATGCATATGGAAATAAGGATATGCACTTATCCTAAGTTGTGGTCACTTGATGCAGCTATATAGAGGCATTCAAACAGGACCAGGGTGTGTACAGGTTTGCCCAATAATTACAATAATTGCAAATATCCTGGTGGGTAAAACTCGTGCATTATGATGATTGAATAACTTGCTAGATAGTTTTTTTAGCATATTTGGTAAGTCGTGATTGTTTATATGAAGAATCAAAAACGTATCTGCATACTATATGCGCTGTATGTGTTTGGTCATGATTGCGTAATATAGTGAGTCTGAAACCACAAAAATCAATAAGACCAACGCCATTCGTGACACCTCATCCTTTCACTACAAGTTTATTTCTTTTTATGAATCCCAGAGGGTCATAAGAGTTGAAAAGGAAAAGCAAAAAAGCCATATCTCAAGTAACAAAGAAAGAGTGAGTTTTCTGGCATTTTTATAAGTGGTGTAAAATCAGTAAAGGCACTTGTTAAGTTTCAACAACACTCGGCAACATATAATTGACGGAGAATTAACTGACAATTTGGCATCATACGCAATTAAATTTATATAATTATTATAACCTTCATAATATTATTAATTCTTATATGAATCAATGGCAAGCCAAGCACAGCAGGCTTTCACTCGGAAATCATCATGATGATCACGTCGTCGTCACCAAATTCACCGCACAATTATTCAAGGCAAATCCTTGTGACACGATCTTGTAGTGAATGAATTATTAACATCACTCACGTCACTTCAATAGTTTCATAAAGGTGAAAATTTGATTACTCTGATTTCAAAGTACATTGATTATTTTGGTACATATATTTTTTTGTATTGACTATATATGTAAATATCGTATCACTAATCGGAACATATTGAGCGGGCCTAACGATAAGTATCGACAACGTAGATCGGCAGCATTTTAATATTATCGATATTCACTACCGTCGTACACTCAAAACAATCCAAATAATGAGTTTATCAACTTTTCCAAAAAATTATGCAGGTATTTTTAATTAATTTAGAAAATACAAACTGAAAAATAATTTTTTAAATGATTCACAGGATTATATCCTTCAGCCTTAATTTCACTCGGATTTTGGCATGCATACAAAAGGTTTTATATATTTTTTCACAATATCACCCTCTCATATATATATTATATTATATATATATAATATTAATTACGTAATCGGAACTTGAAAATAATTTGCACGTGAGATATTTTTTTGCAAATTAATGTCTAACGCCGCAAAGACTCACTAGGGTGTTTTCCACCATTAATGAACTAACTGGCAAAATTGAGAATGCAATTGAATATTTAGAACATTCTTCTTCAAGTGTATTAAAAATTTCAGACGGATCAACGGCTCTACGTGGATCAACAGCTTTGTAAAATAGTCTAACAGAACATTCGACGTATTTTTCCGCATCTCTAAGAAGTTTACTTAATCCATACTCGATCATTTCTTTCAATTCCTGACGTCCAAAAACAGATTCTTCATTACTTATCGTTGCTCTGCACACAATAGCCGAAACCCTGTTCTCGTAATTCCAACGTCGAATGATTCGAATTTTGATACCACTGCCAACATAGCACCCCGTTTCTTCATATTCAAATGCAGCATTATGCTTATGGATCCAGGTAAACCATTCTATTTTAGCATTTCTAGGCAATCGTGGCACCACTAGATACTCAACGATAGCATTATTCGTAAGTTTTTCCCATTCGTGACGACAGTCTGCAATGTAGCTGACATCCGTGACATAGCAAATCCCCTGTAAACCAGAAGCCAAGTTAAGTAAAGTCTAACTAATTTAAATAATTATAATTTTCTCGGTATTTACGCACGATCTTTAACTTAACTATCAACAAGATTATAGAATATGGAAGCATTACCTGAACAACATCCCTCAGTTCAACTTTGTGATCTGTAGCTTTAATAATTCTATTGTTCAAAACGTTGGGTATTAGTTCACTAAATTACATCATCTGGGTACGATCCAATGATACATAATAATTCATATTCTTGCCTGTTCAAACTTCTTAGAGCTAGTTTACATTCCATCTTTGCATCCCCAGGGACAAGCGTCATACTACCAGGAACTAAACCGATTTGGCCAGCGACGTAAATAATGTCACCCACCTAAATAAATTGCAAGGCAAAAATATTTGAATAATTATTTACTAAGGATTTTGACTAAATTAAGAAAGCGAAATTTGAAAGAAGTTACATAAACTTATTATTACCCAAATAGCTTGACTGTATGGTCCAATGTTAGCAGGTGCCCAATGAGAAATGCCTGCATATGTTTTGCACACATTATTTATTAACTTTGAATTGGTATTAAATGGAAATTAGAGAAAATTAAACGGAAACAGAAACCTACCTTGAACATGCATGCACTGTCTCATACTTCCATCACTACCTGGTTGAACTGAATACGCAACAGCTTCCATCAAAATTGGGATATCTTTTGGTAGAGAAGCCTCAACGCAAACTGATTAAAAATCAAAATTATCATTAATAATGTTGTTGTTGTTGTTGTTATTATTACTTAGTACAATTAATCATTGTCAATTGCAATTGTGTTAAATACCTCGGACAGGTGGTTGAGACTCAAAGAATTCGTTGTATTCTGGAATATGAGTTGACCATGGCAAGTCTTTGTTTGTATGTACAAATATAATGCTGCGTATTGTATTACCTGAATTAAATTGAGCATAATCGTCCATGTCGGAAACATACATGCAAATACTAATAAGATCCGCCAAGCTCATTCCGCGATTTTCAATAATGTCTGTTTGAACAATAACAAAATTACCAACTTTAACTACTGGACAACGGCAAAACAATTTGTACATAAAATATCAGAGTCTGCATCATCTTACGTTTCAAAGACCTCAACGCATCCTTCATTGGTGCATTAGTTTCTGTGTTACGTCCTTGTATTCCCATGACCCATAACCATCCACCTGTATTACCAGTGACACGAAGGGTGTTCTCGGGAAATGGAAGAGTTTGTCTGACATGCTGACACAATGGTACAATGTGCGGCACAGGGATAGGAACGTCTCTTAAATCTCCGTTGTTGTGAGACTCTCCTTCTTTTAATAAATGTTTTTCGTCCTGATGAGTGTCTAATGATTTACAGCAAAGCCCATGAGGTTTATCCCCAGATTCTAAAGTGCAAAGCTCAACGTGTCCATCGCAGCAATCAGCATTGGTACATTCTATTAAATCCTTGAGATAATCCAAAGGTGATTTTACAGGTAGTCCTAATAGAAGTTAATGAGACACCGTTTTACATATTAAAAACATAAGATAAAGCCGAAGTTCCGACCTACCATTAAGGCGAAACTTTTGGTACATTTTTTTCAGATCAGAAACACGGTTTTCAGAATCGGGGGAAACACTCTCCCCTTCATCCTGCAAGTATGGAATAAAAACATTATAAAAACATTATTGACTAAAATCTTGTAAGGAAGCAAAAAATTACATTTTTGTTGACCAGATGAGCTTTTTTCAACTTCAAGTAGCCCACAGGAGCGAAGGCATCGTTTGAGTGAATAATTTTCTCATAGTCATCTCTGCAAATATGCGTTCGTCACGCAAATTTCAATTTTTTCCAACCGAAATCAGCACAGACAATATTAAGTATATGTTCTTACAACACAATTTTTTGCTTGAACAGAGGGCAGTCCAATGTGAAAGTTTCATATTCGCCACCTTCACCACAAACATTAATTCCATACTTTCCCTTCTGAAAGGTAAGATAATTTTTTGTGACATATGTGTTAACATGTGATACGCGTACGTGTACGCATTATACATGGAGTTTGTAAATATATACATAAAAGAACGCACAGATTCTAACAAATGCGTTTGCATTTCACTAATCGATTGTCCTAAGTGAACATCTGGGTCCAGACCCAATGAGGCCGTTTTAATTATAATTGCATTAACTCCACAATCAATCATTTCTTGGAGTAGTTCCACTTGATCTCTTCTCCACAAATATGCCAGACAAACACATCCTAGTCTTTTACATCTGTAAGAAGAGAGCAATATAAAAAATACAATATCTTCAATAGTTTACTTTTTATACGGCTCTAGTTAAGTCAGAAATTGTATAGCAAATTGTAACCTACACATTTTCTACGCGTATTCTTTGGTAGTCCGACAGAATAGCACCAACAGCAATCCCATCGTATTGAATTGATTTCTAAAAAACGAAATCATTCAGAGTCATTTAAGTACTATAATACCTCTCTCCCACTATGGTATTACGCCACGCCAGTATTATTACTACTACTAAAACCACCTTAACATCAGCCAGCAATTCAAACAAGTCTTCAACCTCATCTCCTGCAATTCGTAAACCCAAGGTAATAATAATTCAATGCTAATAAAAGTAATCAGTACCTGGGGTTGGGGAGTATTCTTTGTCCTGAACAACTGCATTACCAGCAATCACTCTTCGGAACAGTGGTAAGCCCAACGATTCAGAGTATAGATCTATTCCATCATGACCCACCGTTTGGTACTATAAAAAAGGGTTTTATCATTTACTTGTGTCATTTACTAATAATAATAATAATTATAAAAATACTTTGGACTTACCATGTAACTATCAATCTCATCTAGAAAAAAAACAAGTTTATTGTACATCTCTATTGACGCATTGATTTAATTTGCAAGTAACGCAGAGTTAGTTTCGACTATTTATTAGAATTTAATATCTTCCTCACCTTTGCCGTTGCACGCCGCCGGTTGTAAATTCGCAAGTGCTACAATTTCGTGACCAGCTACAAGTAAACATTTTTATTTTAGACAGTGAAATTAGAAAAAAATGACTTGGTCAAATTTAATGTCATGGGTGAATGTAAAGGGTGTGAATTACTTGCCTGCTACGCACTGCATCATGTTGAAACAACTGTCTTTACCACCACTAATTAAAGCTACGACCCTCATTTTGAATTTACAAGAGATAAATAATGGACGAGACACAAAATGTAATTTAAAAATCAACAACTTGGAGTATAATAATTAAATGACATAAATTATAAACCACAACGATGCTATCCGTAAAAAACTAAACTGAATTCCTAAGGAAAATTACTCCAAGAAAAACAAATTAAATTAAATATCTAATTAAATCAACACCAAAATATTAATTGATCAAACTTGTCTGAATTTCTAGTCTTATTTATACAAAACGGAAAAGATGAAGAAAATTCAACTGATAATAAAGTAAAAATGGTTAGATAACGAGAGTGCAAAACATAGTAAAAGTCACTCTCTTTCCTTCTGCATTCGACACCCATTCCTATAATAAAAACAAAAAGAGCCACAGATTACAGATGATGTTAATTTCAATTGCAAATGAGCTGAATATGAATGAATCAACTTTAGCAATACTTACTTCTGCTGCATGCGAAGATTAAAATATATGTAGTTGGCAAACTCCAGACAAGATTCAGATTCAGGTATAATACTTTTACACCAGCAGCAGCAGGGTATCCCGATAATACTATGTCAATCTCTCAATGAGAGAGAAGAACAATACCAAATGTAGTAGTTTAGTTGTGTGTGTTTTAGTCGTTTTAGTGATGAAAAAGGAAGCTGACTGAATAAATCTCCTGTGTTGTAGGTTGGTACTGCTAATTGGTAGTGATGTGATTCACAATTTCAATATGTGATGATGTGATGAATGAGAGGACGTTCCTCTACCTGCAAGATATTATATAGACATATTTAGCACACATTACATTTAACTTTTTCACCATCCTAAATTGATACGATATGAAGGTTGAGTCTGGTTGGGTTCAACATACCGACTACAAAATGCTGTGTAGACAGATTATATTACAAGATGATAGTGATGATGATGATAAATCAGATTTGATTCATTCCTATTGACTAGTAGTTATCCGCATGGATGGATGAGTGGAAATTGGCTCTTTAGTTGAGTACACTTGAAGTTCGACGAGATGTTGGTATTGAGTATTTCAATTAAATTGTGAAAGGTGTCCTGCAAATTCATAACAAATTTTCAACTTTACCACTTATGCACATTATGTGGACGTATAAGTTTCATTGAGGAGACGTATAAAAATGTTTCATTGTGGACAAAGAGTCTGATGGTTAGTCAATGTTAGGATTTTCTAAAAAATAATGTAACGTGACGCCACATCAGCCACATGAAAGCAGTTTACAGTGCAAATTAGATGATGGATTACCTTGCATGAGGATTCGTTAAATGTTCTTCCAGAATTTCTTACCAAACTTTCTTTCTTGGTCTCACCAGCCCACCGTCGCGGTGATGACTCATAGCGAACTGTGGGGTTCGGAAGGAAAGGTTAATTCCACCAATTAACTCACAAAGTTGACGGAAATATACAGTTGAATAAGTATCGACCATTGAAAGGTCCAAAGTCAACGTCGTTCCAATATCCAATCCCACTATGTCACAACTTGTGTTATATTTCACTGCGTTACTAATTCACTTTTGGTTATTATTTGTCACTAAAAATTTGTCAGCCGAATTGATGACAAGGCACACACACAAATGATAAAGGACCCGACGACAGCTCAGCAGAATTGTAGTAAATTGTGATAACTACAAAATAAGTAATCGAAAGATGTGATGATCTGTGATGTCGGATGAGGAGTGAGCTTCACCAATTAATTTACCCGTTCTTAACCACGGCTCGATTAATGTAAAGACACTGATGGTGACATACCTAGAATAGAAGAATACAAAATATAATATTGAATATGTGGCACAGCACATGTAGATAGTAGTAAATACAACAGAAACTGTTTTAAATGATGCAAGGTTCATACTTTCAACGTTTTATACCATCTACCATTCACCGATTACTAATTTTTATTGTCGACCACTTTCAAACCCCTGCTGAATAAAACTGGTGTGAATAATGGACACAAATAATTTGGGTTCAAGCGACAAAAATTATTTGAGGTTTGTCTTGTGGTCGTTCTTCCCACAAAACTCGTCTCACTCACTGAACTTTTCTTCTCATAGTCCTTCTCTCGCAGTCTCCCTCCTGCTTTCACCACTTTTCGTGCTCTCAAAATGCCAACTTCTGCCCTGCTTTCTTTTTGTCGGTACACAATAAAATTGCAACACACACCACAATCAGCAAAAGAACGCCTTATTTAATCAATATATGTACACACATGTCGAATTGTCGACTACAAACTTAATTGCCTGGAACGACATTCGATATATGTATTTGTAAATGTCATAGACAGGCCATGAATGATCGTCTGATCAATGATGATAGATACACGGGCAGGTAATATAATTACGAGGATAATGATGACAGGCTTTAGCATAATAACAATTATCTATAATGGCTTAGAAAACATTTCAAGAGTTAAGTAACATACCTGCTGCCACGTTATGCATATGTCGATTATTGCTGTTTGAAGATCCTCAAATCCATTGCACAGTTAATGGATTTGTGTGATGAGCATTGTTTGGCTCATACCAGACCGTGACCGTAGGTTGTTCTGTCGTCTCAATTAGCATGTTCCTCCTTTGCAAGGATTGGATACACACTCCGTGAGTTACTGATTGTATGTACTTACAAGGGAAACATGCTCTATCTTTCTCTGGAAGTGAAAGTGTGTTTGATCATCATCGCTGAAGGACGGTGTCAAAGTGATGAAATAATGGAAGGGAAAGTGTTGAACGAACACACATCTCACTCACTCTGTGGTGAAAAATTGTGTCAAAACTTTTATAATTGGACTGCTGTTCATTGTGACTTGTGTTCACATACAGCACTCGAACCAACGAATCCCCGACTGATGAGAATGAGACTACTTTGCTATTGATATGCCGAAAGCAACAGTATGACCGACCACCAAAGACCGAGTTGTAGGGATCTAGACCAAGACCAGACGTACATACACATGTATCAACTATGACGATGAGAGAACAAGTGCATTTTTGCTTGCGGAGGGCTTATCACCCTTCTTGTCACCTCTGCCATTAGCCATTCCTAGTTTCCTACAGGCTTGCATACTTATTACTTACATGCACCCTATAATCATTAGGTTGCCCAAGGCTGCTGCTCACCAACCTCTCCTTGGAGAAAGTTTACAGCTTTTACATATGTACTTATTTGAGTCATTTCCCAAGTTTTTTTCGCACGCTCCTGTCCACTGCTCCTTTCGTCACCCGTTCATGGAGGATTTTCTCCATGTAAATGCCACTCCTTATTTTATTCGTCATTAACACTGCTGACAAGTTTTCATACGAACGTAACCTTCGCATGAACCCCTTTCTTCATAGTTGTCATATAGGTTTTTTGTGTTCTCTTCTGATGGTAAACTCCATGTGTTTTTAGTTCAAGTTTACATTGCTACGTCCTTTATCCGAAACTCTAGAGTCAGTATTGGCGTTAATTTGGTAGCGAAGAGGGAAAGAGAGAGATGTGGATAGAATGTGGATCAGGAGAATGACATGGGACGGTATGGAACGCCGAGATCTTCTGAGTATATAAAATCCCCCGACTCTAATCCGAATCCTATAGAACCGGGACAACATGGATGGATTTTGTCGGTCTGACTACGAGGAACACCGCAGAAAACTATACCAAAATTTAAAAACGTTGGTTTTCGATGGGATAATATTCCTTTACATTAATAGCCCGAATGAACATAGGTGGGCTGTATCATTATCATGACAATTTCATTTAGGATACACGCGCAAGTTTGGAATTATGCATTGCAAGAAGTCTTTATAGTCGAGAAGTGTTTTCTCATTTATCCGGAAGGCTTTCCAATTCAATGATACCAGAAGGACACCCAGCTACGGTTTATTTTACCACAAAACCATGAACACTACTGTGTACACATGTATGAGAACTTTTACAGAGAGTAAGCACACCTCTTGTGTACTTTACTTTTGATTCGAAACGCATGAGATGGGAATGTCACCATCTGACATCGTAAAACGACATGACCCTGAAAAAGATGCTTCTCGTGGTTCAAATTCGAGGAAATAATAATCTTTTCTCCATCTGTTTCGGAAACTGATCTCATAGGTCGATTTACTAACTGGCACCTGCGGGGTTTCTGTTATCAAAGGACCAAAGAATATTTCACGGATAGATATGAAATGACATCCTGTTGAAATATCCATATAAATAAAATCTCACATATCATACTATCGCAAAATATATTGCGGAAATTCTGCTCTCCTCTCTGTCATTTGTACGAGCATACAATCGACTTTTGTACATATGTACATATGTACGTCCATAATTAAATACAATCATTCTCTTCTAAAACCATGGATGTATAGGAAAACCTATGCTGAGCTGATTGCATGCATGCATGAATTTGCCCCGTTGCACTAGATAAATTAGTATCTAATCTCAGCACTTCATTAGCATAATAATGCTGCACGAATGAAGTCACACTTATAAAAGCAAACAAATGAGTCCGACAAAAGCACAATCAATATTTCCAAAAATATCCTAATTATGAAATGATAACTTAAATGTCATTAGGGTTGTTAACATGCCCCTGGAACGTGACAAGGCAGTTGCTCATGATGCATATAAACTACACCTAACGCTTGGTCGACCTGATTAACTTGACTGCACTTACCCGATAGATAAATATAGTTACATACATACACACAGAGATTTACACCCGTACATCTGCTGGATGTCTATCTATACGTATTAGCATAACCACCTAGTAATACACATGCATAGGTTTAATAATACGGACCGCAAGGTCATTATTGTAGAAAGACAAACGATTGCATAGTGTTGCAGAGAAAAAATGTTTTTCCAATTAAACAAACTCGATTCTCTACTTCGCATTACGCTCAGCTATTGTGAAATCAAAAATGCTATAGAATGCGTACTCTGCTCCACTGTCTCCCATCACGTAGTCTTATCTTTATTTAGCACTCTAATTAAGTTCACTGAAAGTTACACGGAAAGTTGTCGAATCGGGATATTATAATGACTGAACTGAAAGAGTTAGAAACTCATTAGTTCAGAAATAAAGGCATTGCATTCTAAAACTGAAAAGTTAGGAATAATGAATGTGTGGTGACACAGTTACATGCATGTACAGTTTTTCAGATACACAATTTAATTTCAATGTATTGTGTGGTACACAGGAAGCATGATCTTTTGAGTGATATTACAAGAATAAGTTCAAAATTATATCCTAAAAATTACAACCTTATAAACTAAATTTGTTTGTCACAAGTCTTAATATGTAATATAAAATGATATATTTAAATACACGACGCACTAACTACAAAGTAATCAATCATTTTGTTAAAAAACAAGAGGATCAATGCATTTTCTCTTGGGAGCTGCAAGGATCTTTTTAATTACGCTCCAATCTTCCATAATATCTACGTCACTTAGCATGTACACGATATATGGACCGTTGACATTGCAGGGCTTTTTCTTCCTCTCCCCAAAAAGGTCTATAGATTTTTTATTCTTCTTTTTTAGTATTCCCTCATACCAGAAATCAGATGAGAAATCATTATGACGATCCTCTTCTAATCTACGCATATTATCTTCTAAATCTAATTTAATGTTATCATAAAGTAGCTGGGTGTCACTCTGCAATAAAAAAATCATGTAAATAATTTTTACCCGTAAAATCCAAATTTTTATGACTGAATATGATTAGATTAAATTGAGTAACTTACTTCTAAATTCTGAGGTGCAGCTAATTTCTCAGATTCGGATTTATGTTTAACATTACTAATCCGATACCTTCTCCGTTGGGACGCTATTTCTATTTTCACCATCATGTTTTTCTGAAGTTGCTCCAACGGTCTCAAATATTCCTGGGCCCTACCCGAGTGAACTTCTTCTAGTTTTGTATTGACAGCACGCATCTTTTCGTCATAGGACCTGTACAGCACAATAAACATACGATTAAATTACGTCGCTACATGAATGCAAAATAAGTCCTCATATCTTACTGTTCTCTGGTGTATAAAAACATCTTTTCTAGAATTTGAAGATCATCTTGGTCTTGCAATTTGTTTTTTGCTGCAGTTTCCTCATCAGTTTCTGGAAATAAATATCCGATTTAATACCATTAGACTCTTACGGTACAAAAACTCAAACTAGGATACAAATTTACAGAAATTAATACCTGAGGTATCTTCAGAGTCAGAGGAATCACTAGAGTCAGAACTGCTCGAGTCAGAGGAGGACTCTACAGTGGGGTCTGTCTCCATTGCTGTCGAACTGGCCGCCGCGTCGAGTAAATTATTTGGGAAAGAACAGTCGGCCGTCGTTGTCGTTGTGGCACTACTGTCTCCTGGCGTTGTCCCGCTATCTCCTCCCTTGGTTTCTTTTAATTTATTATTTTGATGATCCGTCGGTGAGGATTTGCTAAAATCTGTGGCTCCTCTCGCCAACTGTTGAAGGCCGCTGACGACTTCGTCAACTTCCATGGACGTTTCTGTCGGGGTTGTTAAAGGTTTACTGCTTCTCGTACTCCGCGTCGACTGTGACCTTGTGGACGCCATGTTGAGTTATATGTATATAATTACTACACTTGATTACAAATTACTATTAATTAATTGTCACTGTCGAGTGGTGAATTTATATTGATTATTATTATTTTAGAAGACAATTAATGTCACACTTTTAATTTAGTCAGTACTTTATATTTCACTCTCCTTGAAGTCATAATATTAAACATTATCTTCGTCACTTTCTCCTGAACTGAAATCAATGAACACAAGTAAATGAAATCAGTCCATCGGGCGGCGAACAATTTTATGTCCAGGCTCCTATCAAAAATCCAACCGACCATCAATAAGTAAATCGCCAAGGCCGAACATTATTAAATCATCACATTCACAACTCACCACAACAAATATCGATAAACAAAGTCACAATTCATTGGTCAACAACAGTCATCATCTGAAAGGGTATCATCATTAGAAAAAAAATTATCAAAAAAACTAGAAACTGTGCTCTTTAAATACTGAACAGTTTTGATTGATCACACACAATCACCGACAGATCAAAACATTTTCTTACATTAAAGTCAGAATCAAACAGCTGTCAGAGCGGAACTTACCAAAATTCCTTAGTCAGCAAATTGTCGGGAGGGGGGCGAAGACAAAAGGAAAAAATAGTAGATGGTCTCTTGTAACGTCTGCTGTCGTATTGCGGTGGGGTAGCAAGTAGCCAGATAGAAATAGCGTAAGTAAAAGAAGCTTTCCCTCACATTTCCTTTGCTCTTTTACGTGCCGACTGTGCAATAACAAACGACAGCGCATCATTCAGTGAGGTCAGAGTTCTCAATTTGCCCCCGCCCACCAATAACACGAACGCAATCAGCTGCACACCCAGCAAAGTGGATTATTTATTCGCATCGGTCTGATCAGTCATCACATTTATCAATCATTTTGTGACAGAGGAATTATTCACCATTTTTTAATCGAATCATCCTTTGATTTTGACCACTTTTTCTGGGAAAGCTACTCTCTACTGCTACTCTCTCGACCTCGTAAAAGAGCCAGATCGTGATAGACAAAGGTGAAAGGTAAGAAAGGATGAGTTTTATCCATGTTCTTCATCTTTAACCGGTTGTAGAAATTGTAAAAATTTATTTTAAAATTTGTATTTTTGTATGTGCAGACAGTCGAGTGCAATCTGTAATTTGCCATAGGGTGGTGGGCATGTTTTGAGAGGTTTAAGGTAACCTTCTTGAGTTTTGGATAAGTATTAACTATTCTATAATTCTCTCGTATAATTTCAAACTATTAATATACTAGCAGAACTAGCAAGCAATGAATTCCCAGTACGGGCATGGAGGACGAGGTGGTCCGTACAATAACCAGGCCGCATCCTCAATATCTCACTCTCGAGGTTCTAAACTGAAAATCAGTGCTCAAGATCTAATGTGTAAGAACAATTGTGGACATTATGGAAACGAAGTTCAAGAAGGCTATTGTTCCGTTTGCTACAAATTGTACAAGCAACAACAACAACTTCGCCAACAGCAATATGCCGAGTCTCCACGTGATAATGATTCATTTAATATATTTGGAAGGTCTGCTATCTCATCAGGATTTGCTACCATTCCAAAAGCTGCAAAATTGTAAGAATCTTGATTGTCTTCATGTTTCTCTCTGTAGTTTAATATCTAAAATAATTATAAATATAAACTGAAATGGATAAAAACCGGATTCTTTGTTTGCTTTAGATCATTTGACAGTCTTTCCTCGCCATTGTCTGGTTTTGCAAAGTTTGAAGAGAAAAAAAGGCATCAGGCTGGTCACAAATCAAAATCATTTCGTTCAGTATTTCGAAAAAGTCCGACCCCATCTCCGTCAAAGTCTCCAGATTTAAAGGCGACTAGCAGTAAAGAGCGGCCTAGTTCTGCATCCTCTACACCCAACCATTTGGGGTCCAGTTCACCTAAAATGTCTCCCCAGAGACCGCAAGACACGGAGAAGGAACAAATTCGAAATGAGATAAACACGTTTCTCCTTCAGTTTCCCAAGCAAATTGTTCACGATGTTGTCGTAAAGGTTAAACAATGTGAAGCAGAGTTGACACGGGCTTGCAGGACAAGCAACATGGCCGTTGAAGGTAACAATAAAAATACGAACATATTATGAGAAATAAAATAATGTCGGACTAGAGATCTTCTGTTGAATTGCAGAAGGCAAAATAATTGAGTTTAATTTTATAATCAATTTGTGTTCATATATCAAGAGATCTCAGACATTGCTCAAGACTTTTACCGGAATTTCAAAGGGAAAGTGGACATGGTTCCTTGTTATCAAAGTATGACGGCGGATGACAAAGAACTTTTAATGGACCTAATCGAAAAGTGAGTCATTGATCATTGCTGTCTACTTTTGGCTGTTAAAATTAGCCACGTAATATATTTTGTGTATATTTTCCATTAGGTACCTCACAATTAGTCTATATAAAGAGCTTTTTAGTCCAATAAATACCACGACGGATGACGAAGATAAGGATTTGCTGTTGCAAAATAGGTTAATGACCATTGAAAATAATACTTAATGACAATATTTTTATGACTATGTATATTTTTTAGAATTCGAAGTTTAAATTGGATCACCTGCAAACATTTAGATGTTATACTCAATGAGCGAGACCAGCAAGTTCGCGATTACGTCTTTCAGTCTATAAATGGTACATTACATATTTTCATTAACTTTAATTTGTGCCCTCCTATGGAGCTGTTTAAGCTATTATTTAATTTTTGGTTGTAATTATTAGCTATCATTGGAATGGATTCTGTGAAGCCACCGCAAGAAAAGTTGCTGTGTATAACGCAGTGTAGTCACCGCATATTGGAAGCGCTAGGGATGTCCAAACAAGCTCCAACTTCTGCTGATGACTTTCTTCCAACCCTCATTTATATTGTGATTAAAGCAAATCCTACCCGGCTGCAGAGTAATATCAACTTTATTACTCGGTTCTGCAATGCTTCTCGTTTAATGAGTGGTGAATCAGGCTACTTCTTTACAAATTTGGTTGGAACTTCATATTTCTATTTTACGTGTCTTTGACCTCGACTTTCGAAAGTAAATAATTCTATGTGTTGTTTTTGTTACAGTGTTGTGTTGTCTCCTTCATTCAAAACATGAAGGGAGAATCTCTATCAATGACAGAAGAAGAATTTGAAGACTATGTTAGTGGAAGAACTATCCCCTCTGAGAGTTGGGATAACTATTTTTCTGAATCTCTGCATTCAATGGAGGAAATGTCGAATGATTTAATTGAAATGAAATCCCGGCATGACGACTTTATACGAAATGTGGATGTCCTACGAAAAAATATGCAACAAAAACAGGTAGACAATGTATATAAACTGCGAGTTTAATAAAGTTTATCTAGATTAGAAACTTATTAATCCATCCATGCAGTTCGTGAGATTTAATGTTTGGATGTAATCTGGTTTAGGAATGGGTTTCGAAGCAAGTGAATGTGATTTTGAAGAGGACTCCATTAACGTTTAAGCTGAGAAAGGTCCCAACAAATATTGATGATGAAGACGTCTGCTCGAGCCAACCTTCTCTCCCGGCACCACTACAGCCTGTAGTAAGTTTATCGACTGTGTAAATTAACAAAGGATATTGCTTATGCTTAAATTAAAGATTGCAACAACAATTAAGAAAGACGGTTTTCCCGTTTCCTGTCCCTTGTATCAGTCTATCCCTAAATCTACTAGCCTTGCTTGCACTTTCTTCCTGCATGTACTTTCTCAATTTAAGCCCCGACTTCTAAAACTCTATCCGGTCCACAAACTCGTCTCGATTGCATATACATTGCCATGTATTATCATTTTCTACTCATTCTGAGTTTGCAGCTAGAGTGGATTACATAAGAATAGTTCACCCCCTCCTCCTCCTAAGTCTTTGATGCACTTTGTGCATATTCTATCCTACTTTATGGGTAGATTTGAGTGAGTTCACTTCACGAACAAACTTTCTTAATCATGGCTCATTTACCATGCTAATGATGATGTAGAAATGAATGCGATAGCATCATCCCAATTTTGTATACATGCATGCATTTCATATAATTCAACCATTTCAGGTTATAAGTAAATTGGTCAAAGATGTCAATTTGGAACCTAATAAGGAACCTCCACCCGTCACACCCACCTCCACCACCACAGAATTACGATCTTCCAGCGACCGGCCAAACAGTGAAGATAACTGTTCAAACTCCAATCAAGACATTACCGCGACTGAAATCCAATCAGCATCTCAAAAGAGTGAAATAGAAATCCCTGTGGCATTGGAACAAGAAGAGAGTCGTGATATAAGGGGGGCGGATCAAGTACTTTCTAGTCAAATGTCATTGACTGACGAATTTCTTTCTGCGGAAGAAAAGTCAGGGTCGGAAGAAGAGACTTTTTACAATGAAAAGAAAGTGGAAAGCGAGGCTGAAAAATCATCGGAATAGCCAATCAATCTTGTATCCCTAGCCATGTGCTTTGCCTCATTAAGTAATACTCTCGTTTTGGTTGTCTTCCTGACACTTTTGCATATGTAAAACCATTAGCCTCGTGCTTAATGTATTTTATTCCGTGCGGATTTTGTGCAATAGTATAAAAACCTTCAAAACAACTATTTTAGAATAATTTGATGACCAATAAAAACCTAAGTACATTGATTATTGAAAAACTATTCTTCTTTTCTGCATCATAAATCTGAAAGTTTTTTGCAATATCATGGAGAACTGGAGGATAAGTTTATTATAAGCTCGTACATATGTGCAAAATTATTCAAGTGTGATCACGAGATTTTACGTTCGACCAACTTTAATGCAGTTCACTCAATACAAAACAAGTCTGATTCAGACTGAATCATTCAGTTCCATTACAAATGTTTTTTATTTACTAATAAAGAGCAAAACGGAGTCGTAATTAAGTGGAGACAGCGTTCCGTTAATTTTTGAATCCTTCACACATGTGCATCTCCTTTCTAACTATCTTTTTTCCTGCACCACTGCAATGGGTCGATATCCAGCGAATATCTAAGCGATGTTTAATTTATGACATTTAGAATTGACACACCTTCAATTTTAATACCGATTTGTACTAAAATCTTTAATTTTTTACAACTTTTTTTAAGGGTTGACTTTACAAACTCTTTGCTTGCATTTGTACTACTAAATCTTGCGTATTAAGTTGTACACATCATGGCTAATGGAACATTTCATACACAGGAACAAATAAGAAGTAATTTTATATGCAACCAAGCCCCAAGTTCTAAAAAAACTGTACCGAAGACAGAGCTCGAGTGTGAACACTTTCAGCACCTTTGGCACCTCATCATCATCATAATCTCAAAATAGTTGCAACAGTCTCATCCCAACTTTATAACTGCAATGTGCTCCTTCTCTGAATCAGTATATTAAATTGGTATCGTTGTTGTCTTCTCATTTCAACAGAGGAGTGGTAAACTTGTAGACGTGCAAACTGTGTGAAACGTGTACACCGTTATTAACAACTGACGACCTTGTTACTCATTTGGTAACTTAAGAAGAATTACAAAATCGTTAAAACTTTGAGGGTAGGTCAAGTTTACAAATATGGGAATGACACCCATAAGACATAATGGGTTGAAACATGGCTGGAGTAAATTGCACACCAAGTTCTCAGGTTACACATTTTGAAACCCAAGTACGTCTCGAGTCGTCTCTCTCCCGAAGAGAATATCATTTCTCATGCATTTGTCTTCCGAATGTCATGCAGCATTGTTCTCCCCATAAATTGTTATTGCGACTAATAGCTCTGCCAGTTATTTAAGACTGCGTCCCCAGCCCCGTAACAAATCTTCCTTTAAAACAAACGAAGAAAAGAATCTTCCGGTTTCCTCCTAATTTTATGATTCTTCTTACTTCTTCCAGTCTTAACTCTCTCTCTGATATTAGCAGAAGCACACACACAGACTCAATTACACACACACATACATCTACGCACATGCATGCACACTATGCATTGCATAGTTTTAAGAAGCTTGTGCACGACATTTTGCTACAACAGGGATCAGACAGGCATGGACATGTGGTATCTGGAAGAAAGAGGCTCAATCTCGAAAAAACGCTTCCTCCAACTAAACGCTGGAGATGAGTCAAACATGATGAACAAGTTCAGGCCTAAAAGAAATAAAGTCAAAAAGTCAATAAGCAAATAGCAAAAGGTACGCACATAAATCTTCCCAAAGTCTGTGTTTCCTGAATGCATGGGCTCCCTTCCAGTTTCAGTTTCGCTTGACGCCTTCACTAATAAGCATTCATAATTTCCAAAGAGTAAATCTAAATCATAGTTATTTCTTCTTCTTCTGGGTCTGCAAGCATGTTGCAATCATTCAGCAGTTATTTTTTGATCCCGAACCATTTAATCTAAATTCTTTGTGTATAAAAACAGTGTGCAAATGCTGGATATATGTGTGTTTCATTTCTTTTGAATATAATTTAATGATGTACACAAGTAGTAAGAAATTCCTCGAGTGAGATTTTGTGTATCCGCAGATCTGTATATTTGGCTATGCAGCCGAGAAAGTTAATGTGCAAGATCTTGGCAAATACCTCTTTGCTCTCGTGTATGTGCATAAATAACATTAAACAAATCCAATGAACACAATGGGTGACTTTTACACGATTCCATTCAGTGCGGTTTGGGACGGAAGTGTCGTGACATAATGACTTTTGTCCTACAATGTAATTACAATATTGTACACATTCTGCTATACGTTTCAGATCAACACCGTGGTTTCAACATTAGGATTTGTTTGTGGCCGACGTGCACCTTTCTATCTTTAGTAGTGCAAATATAATATGTTCCCGTTATTATGGACGATAAGCTGAATAAAGGTTCTCGTGTTTAATAAATTCGTGAAAATTATTAAATCTTGACAAATAAATCTGTCTCAACTTCACCTTCAGCAGGGCTTCCCCACTTTGGTGCATATGCACTTTTACATGATCCGGAGGCTCTGTCGAGATCAGAACTTTTCAAGTCGCACAAGGAGCAGTTTGAAAAGTGGAGAGGTTAATTCTCGTCCTCGTCCTCGTCTGCAATCCCCCAAATGCATCAACACCAGAAGTTGTTAGGTAGAGTTCAAGTTGGTGCAGCAAATGCAAAAGAAAACATTATGATTTATTAGCATAACAATTTACTGAGCCAGAGGCTGCTACAGTTTACACCCAACCAAACAAACTTTCCTGCAGTGCCGAAGCGTAATCATAGCCATCCAAGAAATGGGAACGATGGTGTGTGTGTTGGTGCAGTGAAAGGTCCGTTGGGGTGGTTCGTAGTGGTGGATGTGTGTGATTTTGTATGCAAAAACCATTAAAATATTACACGACCAAGCGCAGCAAGTGCATTGTAGGGACGGGAGCGACATGAGAATAGGGCGACAGTTGGAGTTTGACTGGCCATTTGTCATTGCGTTTCATCTAGATTCATAGATTCACAGATTCATTTATTTCCTCACTGGAAGCATGGGCAAAGTCGCAAAGTGTACAAAATATTAAATATGTTCGTCCTGCAGACCTCTGCGATGTAGAGATGTAAAGAACTGACGGAAGGATATACCGATTAGTTGCATATAATCCCAGGAATGAGATCATCTTCAGATAAAGGAAGGGACAACTCATCGCACAAATTCCTAATCCCGGTCCCTTTGTCAAAAGAAGCAAGGGACAATTTGTGCATTCATTCATTCGTGAGCGTAATTTGATTCGTTACAATTTATTCAGCTGTGAGGAAGGGTACACAATTAAAATTGTAATTGGCCAGATACACACATACAAAAACTTAATAGCATAAACTGTAATATTGCAATCCTGCTCAAATTAGCTGTGTCTAAAGTTCAAACTTTAAACTAATATTCTTATTTGCCCCCGTAAAATCGAATGCATTGCACAGAAATACGTGACATATTTTATCCAGCATGTGGATTTTGATAAGTTTTCACCCCTTCCGTTGTGCAGCTTCAGTACGGAGTGAACTGAGTGAAGCTGTGAAACGACATAAATAAAGGGCAATCACGAGGGTTTAATTCCATTCATTTCTAAATATAATACGGCTGCTTCGATCATGCAACATTTATTTCCATGAATTCTGAGCAGTTTATGAAGTCGGGTTGACTTTCTAAACAAGGAAATCCATTCGGTTCATCTCATCACATCGTTGCATTGGTCTCTTCTCATCAGCAAAGCAATCCCAAATGTGTGGGGAGTCCCTCTTGTGTAATATAAACTGCCGACCAATGTATGCAACCCCTGAGGGGAACAACATACGAAACCCTGCAAGAAAAGGGCCTTTCAGTTTAAATGCACATTTTATGATTTCATGTCATCTCGTACTCTTTCTTCTTCACAAGTGTGTGGATCGATTGGCCTTTTTGTACGAGGATGAGATTAGCTCGAAAGTCAAATAATACGTATTCCTCGATATATGTATGTAGGGACATCCTTATGATGATCATGTCGTGTTTATGTTATTGAAACTTATCATTTACAGGGAAGGGACGAAACGTAAATGTGTAATGCAATCTCCCTGTGAGGAGATTCATTGTAAATATTATGGATCAGAGATCGCCCAACCGGCTCACCCTCGTGGTTTTATGCGTCCATTTCAATACATCTTTTATGCACTTGTTCCCTAATTCTAATTCTGATGCATTTTCTGTACTTATTTATTCTGCAATCCCCACGAAGATATAACGGCCGGGCTGGCAGTAGGGAGTCAAGATAATTTTTGGAGGCTTAACTTTAGTCATCATTCTGTGAAAGGCTGTGAACGGTCGTAGAGAAAACCAAGTCCTGCTGCTTCTGTAAATGCTCTTGACCAAATGTGGAAACATTAAAGACATTCATTGAGTGCAAACATAATGGCAACAGAGTTGTCACTTTTGGACTTTTAAATGTTCTGACATGAAGCAACATTTCATTCTAAAAGTAGGAGAGTAGTGGTGTGGGTATCAGTCTACATACATATTTACATACACACAAGTAGATAAGTGTCCGGCTTGGAGCAGTGAAAATTAATGAGGTGAACTATAACTAACTAAAAATATTCGAGTGTTGGTAATAATACTTACGACCCTCACAGCAACTCATCATCCGTGTTACTTCACTTTCTGCTTCGGTGTAAACGTAAGTTTGACAGGTGTACGCTCAAACGTTGAGACGAATGTCACAACTCTGCAAAACTGTGTACAAGAATTAAAGAATCGCCCTTTTCCCCTCTCGTTACCAGTGTGAGTTATGGTTATTTGTTCTAGATGAATTTTACTACAAACATTTCCAGAGTCCTGGAATAAGTATTGTTATTGTGTTATTTTATTCTTCTCCTCTCCTGAGAAAGTAAGAAGGACGTGTTGTCGTTTCGGGTAAATGAGCAGAAATGCTGTAAAAACTAATTGGTCGGACGTGTTCTTTCCTAGGTTTCACCAAACTGAAGAGTACGATTCTTTCCTATGCTAGCTTAAAAATAAGTTAAATTACAGTGAACATTGGATCGTGACCTAATTATTTCCCTGTGGACATTATAACAGTTTGTATCAATAGGAATTACTTTGTAAAAATATAAAAAAAAAATGGGCAGTGAAATCATAATAAACTTGAAAACGCGTCCACCAATTCCACCAAGATCTCGAATCCCCACCGGCCCAATCTCGATAAGAAAGCAACAGCAGCAGGAACTTTCTCCTCTCAATGGCTTGGGTTTCCGACGACTTAAGCCTTCTTCATTGCCCTCATATCTGGACAGAAGTGGTTCTCCATCCCAAATGTCGTCGGACATATCACTCAACACACACACAACAGCTCAAACAACGGCGAATAATAAAAATAAAACTGCAATTTATAAAAGAATTCACGGGCAGCAGCAACGAATTCAACAAGAGCAACAGCACCACTTTTGCCAGTCTTACCAAGTTCAGAATCCGCAGCAGCAGCAGCAGTCGTCACCCTCAATAATGGTCTCCAATCCGTCGAGTCTCAACAAAAGCCTTCAACTTCTTCCACCATCATCGTTGCTGTTGTCGTCGTCGTCATCGTCTCAATCTTTATCTCGGCCACGGATTTCTTCTTTGTCAGTAGCAGAATTGGCTACAAGATTTCTGGAAGAGAATGTCCGGAACTACTGCATCAAACCGCGGATATTTCCGGTATTTCCCTTCTTGTCATTTTATTACTTCTTCATGCAGTATAATTTTTCATGACATTTCATCAATTTCCTGGGGGAGTTGCAACCGATTCTTCCCCAGAACCGACGACTGGCTGAGTAAACTAGAGACGGAAATAAAGAACTGCATTATTCGGATCCGACTTTCTCTCTCTATTATTCTCCCTTTCGCACAAACACAGAATGACTGCAAGTACAAAAGCTTCCTTCCTTATTGACTTATGTAAAGAACGAGGAGCATGGTTACGTATAGACGCAATTTCTCACATGCAGACAAACCTACATGAATTTACCCGAACTAAATCTTTATCCTTTCAACATTGGATTAGCAGAAGGTTTCATAATTTTATATTTTGGGGAAACATAAGTAGTTGAGTACATACCGGAGTTTGACTGTCATCAGTGTGACACTGAAAATTGTACGACACGAGAAAGTCAGAAGTAGCTTTTGATTATATCCTTATTGCCTATAATTTATTCTTTGTTACATAATGTAATGTGCACATTTTGTTGATATGCGGCATCTGTTCACTCACTTTTTGACCGTAGGAATTTATATCTCCTTCAATTGGCTCTGTACGTCAATTCAAATGATTTTGATGGCAAGACCATATGCACCAATTGAATGCAGTTTGAGCTGAAGCAGTAAAAACCAACTAGAGTTTTATTATCATCGTTTTCATTGCCACATAGATTCTGCAGAGCTGCAACTTTCTTTAATACGTATGATGCTAAAGGGTACATTCATACAGCGAAGTGGCATTGGACGTCTACATATGAGAACGACTGACCATCGCAGTGTGTGCGTTCTGAATGACCATCTTAAGCCAGTTAATGCACTTTTCTTTTCTTATGGGTGCTAAAGTTCTATTCTACGGCTCCTTATTAGATTATGATCAGCTTACACAAGCCAACACGTACCCAAAGTCCCCACACCTCTCACAGAAATGGAGATCACTCATCTGTAGAAGACTTACCCACCAATATGCAATAGCCAGATATAACCAGATGCATGGATATTGCGACTAATTTAGCACTGACTATGCATCCAGCTGTTGGGTTTCTCGTAATAATTGCAAATTTTGGTTACGCAATTAGCCGCCGTCAAAGTAATTAGGAGGAGAAGAAAATTCACTAATTCCCACTCTCAACTCTCTCATCCCCCGTTGACACCCTTTAATTACAACATGTCCAGCATCCACAACCGGCTTTCCTGAGAGTCAGATTAGCAAAGCTTTCTTTGGTGAAAGCGACTGAAGAAAGCAAGTCACGCATCATGCGAGAGAAAGTTATCCAACTTTCTCTCTCAGATATTGCTCATCGTCGCCTCAGCCTTATTTCTCTAATGCTGGATTCTGTATTGTGCAATGATTTAGATGGAGAGCACGTCATTCCCTTGTGAAAGAGTGCCGACGCCGTTCGTCTTCACTTCAGAAGCTCGAATTCATCACCATCATCGAAGGAGCCAAGTGTTGGAAGTTGGAGGAGTTGACTTTGTGGACAAATTACTTCACAGTTCGGATGCATTGGCAACGACGACGACAACTGCCACGGCCACGGCTGTCTTTTCTCAAAACAGGTATGCGCACTGCATTTTGATCATCCGCATTCGAGACGAGGTGATGCTCCTTGCATTTCCAAATTGGAACTGGTGGAATGCATGCATGAGACTGCATCATCAAATATCAAACAATATGACACCCAAATATATTGAGAACTAGCGATCCACATGAACACGACTACTTTGGATCATGTATAAAAGTTTAAAAGTCGAAACATGTCGCATATTTAGAACAACTCGGGACAAGTAGCATAGGCGGCACCTGGACGTTGAAAGGGAAGATGTTGCACATAACCAGGCATCCAAAACTTTTGCACAAAAAAGTAAAACTGTCATAAAATTAATGGAGCTAATCCATTTCTTTCGTACATTGAAATCACACCACGATGATGACACGACCAAAATCATCACCTAGTTTCAAGCAGCCAAAGTTCTCAGCAATACCCACACTTCTCCTACAGCGAGTAAATATATACAGTATGTAACAAAAGTATAGCTACGATGACATATTTTTTATCTCGACACGATGCCGTAATATTTCAACTTTGAAACTCCGTACAAAAATGTCAAAACTATCTGCCGACAATTTCCTCGTCGCCGATTTTTAATGTCGCAGATAGGTCAAAGGTCAGGATTATTTTTCTAAAAAAATTTGAGGCGTCGAAAAAAAAACTTCGTGGATAATTTTTTTTGAACTTTGCAATATTTTTTACTCGATGCGGCATGCGTTCTGAAGAATAATGAGCTTTGGTCGGACCGTGTACGATTTTTTGGCGCCCACAGGAATTTTTCGCCCAGGACAGGTTGGAGGTCTAAAATCGCCGCCTTGGCGAAAATTAAAAAACTGAAATATACGTTTGCATATAGAGGGTCCGGATATGCAAACGTATATTTCAGTTTTTTAATTTTCGCCAAGGCGGCGATTTTAGACCTCCAACCTGTCCTGGGCGAAAAATTCCTGTGGGCGCCAAAAAAATCGTACACAGTCCGACCAAAGCTCATTATTCTTCAAAACGCATGCCGCATCCAGTAAAAAATATTGCAAAGTTCAAAAAAAATTACCCACGAAGTTTTTTTTTCGACGCCTCAAATTTTTTTAGAAAAATAATCCTGACCTTTGACCTATCTGCGACATTAAAAATCGGCGACGAGGAAATTGTCGGCAGATAGTTTTGACATTTTTGTACGGAGTTTCAAAGTTGAAATATTACGGCATCATGTCGAGATAAAAAATATGTCATCGTAGCTATACTTTTGTTACATACTGTAGGCAATGAACCGCAAATTCCGCCCACACGCCCTTTATTTCCCATCAATAAATTAAGTAAAGTGCTCATTTGGATTTCATAGCATGCATTACACCATATTAAAGCAAAAACCGGGGCTGGAAATCTCAAATCTTTAGTGTTCAATTTTTATGGTTCGTTTCGTGCCTATTTACATGACTGTTATGGGATACTTTTAACCATAAAGGTTGTAAAGTTGGTGGAGAGGGCACGCGTGAGAATTTTTTTGTGCGTGTGTACATTGTGTTTAGAAGTTCTTTTTTTAGGAATCAGCAATGTGCGTATGTATGCAGAAGAGAGTGCGTATTAATGAAGTGCATTTGTGCATGCATGTTGTGCGTAGGAATTATAATGGATGTCTGTGTCTAGCCAGAGGAATTTTGGCGTGTTTACAGCCCATTTTTCAACACTTTTATCTCTTGATTTAACTTCCCACTCGTTCATTCGTACACGAATTATTATGAGTTATCATTATTGCCATTGTTTAAACCGAAACGGCCCCGTAATTGAGTGACATTCTCGTCCATCCAGAAAACATTTTGTGACTACCTTTTTCGAATGCCAACCTGCTTACTCTTGGCCATGGAGGGCTTGCTCAGTGCTGAGGAATGGTTTGTAATGTATTTGAACATGTTATTTTTTCTAATACCGTTCAAAATAGAGGTAAAAAAGAGAAAGTTTTCCCGGCTCAGGTTTCACGGTGGCACGGAAATCATTATTGTGGTAAATGAGAAGTGACATGCAAATTGCTGTTTTTTATATTTTAATTCGAGTTCATTCCTTTTATTTTCAAAATTGCATGCCCACGTCAAAATACAGTACAAAGACCACCTACTGCTTTATGAGCAATTTGCCCTTCCCAAAAACCTATTTGCATATGTTGTCAAACTTTCACCTTTGGGTTTTGTTTTGTAATTTAGTGATTTCGGTTGGTGGTCTTGGGCTCAAATTACTCATTCAGTTCATAATAAAAGTTCTCTCGTGGGATGTTTTGCTTGATAATTTTGGAATCACAAAAAATTATTAGTTCTGCATCTTGGAAAGTCTTCCGTTATTGTGAGATGTGGTGGTTCTTCATTCGCCTTCCAATGCAATGGGGCTGCCCAGTGGTCCGACCGTTTGGATAAATGGCGACTTAATAGCAGGGCAATCGATGATTGCTGGTAGACTCCCCTCCTTGGCAATAAACATAAGTCGGCTGCACTTCTGATGGAAAAGTTGAACTTTTCTATTCCTCATCCCAAGAATAGCAATCCCCCAGTGAGGCCCCACAATTGAATATTAGGATTACTGCTATGAAACCAACACTCGGCTCAATAAGTTGCATGCAGTCTCACTTTTCTTTTATTTTCATAGCATCGTAGTGCAGTAGTCGCAGTTGAACATTGGTAAGTAGTGCAATGTCAATGTGAAAGCCAATCAAGTGCAGAATCAAACAGAGTGGACTATGTTGAAAGGTATTTCCCAAATTGATAGCAATTAATGGAGCAAACTCTATTAAATTTTCTCTCTTTATTGAGACTCATAAATCATCTGACTTGTGGAGGGGTAATTACTGTCCAAACCCCGACAGCGGTAGTGGTGACTTACTGTTTGTATGTAACAGCCACCCCAAAAGATTCCGATGCCAAGAAAGCGAAAGAAGTAAAAAGGGCGACCAAACCATCCAAATAAAGTGATAGTTAAACGGTTATTATTTTATATTATAATTTATTTTATATTTATATTATCATATTTTGCATTATTACTATTATTATTGCTATTATACAAAAAATCATAGTTTAAGAGCAGAAAAATGTTTAATTTGCATAACATAGTTCATAAAAAATAAAAAAAACATTTGATGGGTTTGAAAGTCTTGCACACATCTTATAAAATTAGTATCGGAGGTGGTCTCGAGAACCATCAACGGTCACGAAATACTCTTCAGGAGGATACCCAAATTCCTCAACTAGTCGATCAAAGTTTTTGAATGTTTTGTAGTGACGCTTGTCATCAGGAAAGTTTGGATCGTATCGGATTATCAGATCTTTTTTACAGATGGTGTATGGGAGTGTGGTCACTTGGTCGAGAGTAGCCCAAAGAGGTGGGCTGGACCGGTCCAGATCTTCATCTTCCACGAATTCGAACATCGGGACTCCATCGACGACATACTTATGCGCTTTCTTAATCAGATCGGATGGTGGGGTTGAGGTTTCCGTTATGATGTATCGCTCGACTCCATGGATTTTGTTGTATTTCTGTCCGTATGCCTGGATTTAAAGAATTAATATTTATTTAGACCGGTCTAACGTTGAGAGCAGTGTAATTAATAAATGATATATACCATAAGGAATCCTTCCCCAATTTCCTTTGTGTAGGTGGAGTCGCATAGGATCACCTTCTTCTCAATACAATAACATGGGTCGTTGCTATCAACCGTTCGGTTGAAAATTTCCTGGTTACTTCCCTTCGGGGAAAAGTTCGAAGTTCTAATAGAAAAATGACCTCTATCCCCGTTATACTTCCCAATATAATCTTCGAATTTATTCCCAACTTGAACCGATTCAATTGTTTTAATAGTCTCCCACAAATCAACACCCATGTTATCCGGATGAATTAGCGATGCTGCGTATATGATGTCCATAGGGGGCTTAGCTTCGTTAGATGTTCGGTTACTGTCTTTAATTACATCATGAAGAGGGTGTTCCGGATCCCTATATTCGGCATTCTTGTTGTCTGTAGTTTGCGAAACGTTACCTCTCATGACCAGTCCATAATAAGACGACAATACATTTCGTTTTCCATCAGCTTTTAGTACCCAGTAACCCTTTACTCGTGAACCTAGAAAAGCGAAATTGTTGAACTGGTTCAATTAAAAGTACAAATATCAAGCCGATTTTCTTACCTTTTATATGAATATCAAAATACACTTCCTTATGTTCTCGGTCCTCTTGCCTCCAATTTGCTGCAAGCTCAAGCTCCTCACGTCGTGGATCAAATGCTGCCATACCTGCTGATGGATTCTTCTCCACCTCCTTCAACCAATCGATTAACTCCTCACGACGTTCCAATTCCCGGAGATTCCATGAAAGCTAAAATGTAAACAAATTTATTGAACCGGTTCAAATGATTGTTATTTGCATTTATTCATACTGGACAAAGTACAGAATAAAACAATAACTAATTTACCCTTCCATATCGTCGGAGATGAAAATTTTGTGGGAGGTCCAAGTCCGCGGTCATATCGCTGGATGACTCAGGCTGAGGATCCGGGCTGGACCGGTCCAGAATATCATCACCATCGTCTTCTTCATCTTCTGACTCTGACTCATCTGAAGAGACAATTGGAAGCGCCTTCCTCTTCCGGCTGCAAACTGTAAACACGTTTTCGTCGTCACTGTCCGACAAGTCTACATATCTGAAAATGTATAAAGCAAAATGAAAATTATTCTACAATCAACATAGTTGAACGGTGTAAATGTACATGCTTACAAATTAACTTGACCGGTCAAGATTTAATAATAGTTTAAGTAATTATATGAAAGGAAGGGGTGGAAGAGAGGGGATTACTTACGTCTTGATGGACTTTGTTGAGTTGGCGTCCGACTCCATATTCGCTATTCACACAAATATTTCTGAGATCTGATTTTCGAGTAATAATTTTTATTTTCTGGAGCACTTTTCTTGTCGACTGGATCCTTCGGATAACAAACTCAGAATGATTGAACGTTTATCACTTGTCGGTACTCGACTAACTCCACAACAAAACAAGTCTGAACTTGTTTGCTCGAAACGGCGTCAGTCAAGCCGCATGAGTCAGTTCAGAGGTCTCATGTTTTGTGTTGGATAAAAAAAATCATTGAGTTTGAGCCCGCTCATTTTAAATTCAGAAGTTCTCTTCTTATTTCCTGACTGACGTTAAAATACTTAATTTTCTCTCTCCAACTAATTGAAAAAATAAAAATTAACGGTCAATTCGGTGTTAATATTTGCACCGGTGCAAGATGTCATTCCCATGGTGTGAACCATGGAACAATCATTTCGTCACCTCGTCCAACGACCTTCCATAAGACGTCAGATGAATTATATTAGTCACACCACTGCTAATCCAAACCTATGCACAATTCTGCATCCAGAAGTTATACATACCACATTTTACCTCTAACATCGTTTCATTCATCTCATTTCTTGGTAAAGATCAACAGAAAGGAGAAAAAAAGTGAATGATTGGGGTGGACTCTGGAAATTTTAGTTCGTTTATGGTGGCAATATTGACCTACGATTCACTTTTTGCTCTCGATCTTCTTCTCCTCCTGCTTCTGCTCTTGGTAGCCAGTGAACTAAACGTGGCAATAAAGTTACTTCATTTTCTGGAAGAACAGAGGGAAAAAAAGTTTATTTCCTGTGCAAGTTGTTCTGCGAAGTACACTTCTTGGAAGCAATTTCACACAGATTCAGATTTGAGCAAGTCACTGGCTTACTGAATCGGGTGAAGGTTTGGGATATACAATGCGTAGTTAGCCAAGCAGATACACGGCTTCCGGATGAGCTAAAGGAAAAACTGAATTTATACGGTCAACTTATTTTTGGCTCCGTTCTTCTCTCTCTCTCTGTGGATATGGGTACATATCTCGTATTTCTTTTTCGGGAGAAATTTTCCACTTCCTTCTACTCGTTCATTCTGCTCCTCCGGATACTGTAGGGTATCCTAATTTGATTTAGCCCTCGTTATTAATGACCCGCTTCCATCCAAGTTATGGTGAATTTTGCAAAATGTCAACAGTTAATGCTTACATGCATACGACGATCACCGCACAGTCACGAGAATTCCCCGTGATTTGGAATATGCTTTGAAAACAACGTGGATGACATTCCCATTCTTAATTGAATTATGAAGTCGTGTTTCTGGGTGGAACACTCGATCCTTGGTAAATCGACAAGTTCCATTAAGAAAACAAGGAACTGTGATTTGTGATGCTCCATTGACAGCCCGCATTGTGTTGTCATCTCACAAATTTTCCTGCTTTTTTTGGGGGAGGCTGATTTAGATTTTAGGAAATCGTCACGGCCGTTGCCTGTGCTCGGCTGCATGGCGCACCCCAACGACGGAGATTTCTCTGCATTACAATAACATTAACATCAACTTCCTCTCCGTGCCTGCTGCCGGGTTTACCAACGTAAAAATCTCTGAAGAATAAAGGAACAGAAAGGTGCGGTGCATTGTCATCCAGAGAAAGGAAAAGAAGTCGAGATGAATGTAGCGGCACATTTCATTTCGTTCTTGGAATGGTTTGCTACATATTCCTTAAATGTCTCCGGTTTAAATGACACTCCACCCTTCCCTTCCCAGCAATGCAGCTCACGATAATAATGCAGTGCAACCCACTCTCCCCGATGCACTTTTTGAAGGGAATTTAAGACGAAAAAATCGGGTTGGGTAGAAGGTGCCGGAAATGCAGTGGAATTAAGCAAGAAAAGCACAAAGAAAACATTGAGAGACAGAGAAAGAATTCTTCCCCAGAGTAAAGTTTACATAATGACAATTGAAATGGGTTAAAAATACAGTTTTAATTTAAACAGCAATTCCACAATTGTCTTGATGCCTTTTAATTCAGTCATTATTGCAGAGGGGATTTGTGGGTGGCTAGGTGTGCATTGTGCAGTGGGAGAAGGAGAAAGCAAACAATAGTGAAATATATAATTGCACCCCTGCAATTTTACTGCGCGATGTGGACAAAATAAATGAACACAGGTGCAAGATGAACGGCTTTAGTATTAAACACACATTTTAATTTACTCGTAAACTTTCTCCATTTCTACATTAATCCAAAGATTTCCTATTAAGTAATGCATCATAGTAATATTCAGAGATTTGGAGTTATGCAATTTGTACTATAGTTCTAGCTCCACCTCTAAAGTTGGTGTGCATTAATGTGTAGCAAGTTGGCAACGATTTCCCCATTATCATTGCAACAAGCCCGAATTGAGAGAAAACGAAGACATACTTTCTTCTACCTTTCTTGAAATCTGTACCTTCTTCAAATTAGATTTTAATCATTGTCCATATTTGAGCTTATAAAACTTAATATGGTTTACAACTTATTTTCATACAATCATGTTTCATGTATTTCTGTAAAAATTGTTGAGGACACCTCAGGTTTCGAGAATAAGACCCTGCTCGATTTTGAGATGCAAAGGGGAAATGCTTGAACATGATGCTGAAAGAAATGAGCAACTGTGGTGCAAGGAGAAGAGGAGGAGAGAGTGACAATGCGAACTATGGACCCCAACTCGAATGCATCATCTGGGTGTTGAATGGAAGGGTTGGAGTTCTCGTCCTGAGTATTCGCACTCCAGCGACTTTTGACTTCCAAAATGTCATGAAAAATTATGACTTCATTCATTCCGTGTCAAGAGCTGAGCACTACTTCACCACCATTTTTTACGCACTTCACAAAGGGGTAGACAGGTGGTGGTGAGAAATTGCAATGATCATGGTATCATATAGTGATCTGTATTCGCTGGAGAAATTGAAGTCCTTTCCCATGTTCTTGGGGGGAAGGTGTGAGCTATGGAACAATTATTTCGTCACCCCTTCCAACGACCTCCCACAAGACGTGAGACTGATGAATATTGTAAGTCACACTACTGCTAATCCAAACCTGGGGTTCTTCGTGTCCTGTGTAATTAAATTGAGAATATGACAATTGGTTCGGATCTGTTGGTTTTCTCGTTTAATTTTATCAGACAACGGCGAATAAGGTATCAAAATATCTTGCTCCCCGTATCCCACAGGAATTTATTAATAAGATAAGTAAAAGTAAATAAGTGACGACGGTCCTCCGTCCCCCTCACGACTCATTTCCATAATTCTGCTTAAAATTCTATGGAATGCTCTTGAAATATTTCCAACTCATCAGGCGAACCATGCACTCAAAAACAAAACAACCACTCAACTCAACGTGTGCGATATTGAAAATTTCTCCTGTGAGACTCTTATTCCTCTCCTGCATTCATTTTAGGAATTTTAATTGACTGGACTTGATTTGCATATTAACTTTTTAATTAGGTGCGAGCAAGGGCAAGAGCAAAGTGACGATTCAGAGCTCCCCTCGTCCTCCTCCTTTATGTTGACACATTCATCGTATCAGTTTTTGGTAGTTGACTTAAATTGACACTTAACAAATTAAGTGTTTCTAATTTTATTTAGCATAATGCACAAATGCAGATCCTCTCACCCTGCTTAATACTCACTCCTCAGTTGTGGGTAGATTGAGATTTTGAAGATTATTCCTGGACAATTGACAATTCTTAAAACCTTAACTGTATTTTACTTTCTAAGAGAATGTCATGATTTTGAGAACAATTTTTCACATCTCGTTCAATGTCAGTCTCATTTCCAGAATTGTACAATTCGTAGTAGGAGGCTGAATGCCACACTTTTGCTCCAAACATCGTCTCATCCATCTCATTCCTTTCCTTCATAAAGATCAACAGAGAGGAGAGAAAAAGTAAAGGATTGGATTGGACTCTGGAAATTTAAGTTGGTTTTGGGGTGGAGATATTGGCCTGCTCTCGGTGGGAGCAAAGTAAATAAAGCACTTAGAATAGCTGAGCTGACATAACATAACACAACAGAAAAGCAAATCAAGTGTTCTCCTCTCCTTCTCCGCCTGTGCTGGCTGCCTAAAATCTCATGAGGATTGTCTCAAAATCTAGAAATCCACCAGCACTAACCGCAGTAACAACACATTTCATTCATCCAACCCTTTGAACATCCCTCTCCACTTTGGAGAAATTTTATTTTCTTGCTGTATCAGCCATCAACATCCATCCCACCTCCAAAGTAGCTCAAGTAGCTTAAGACTAATCGCCCAAGTCAACGCTGAGGGTCCCCTCACTAAACTAAACTACGTTGGTTGTTGGCAGAGGGGCTGTCACTGTCAATAGTCGAACCGTTGATTGTTGCCTCGGTCGCCTTCCGCACTTATTTGACGATGAGACAAGAACGGAAGCTAACAACTCGAGTACTACAAATTTCGGAGGTGGATGTTGCCTTCAGCTCTTCAACTCCCAAATGTGACCCCATCGATTGATTGATTTCTCTGGGAAAGATATAACACTGCAAGTAAACATAGAGAGCACAGAACACTACCGGTCTCGCTAACCTTCACCCAGCTCAGGTTGTGTATGTAGAGTCTCGACGTACGTCCTAACGCTAAACGGAGTGGGAGGGACCTTAATTAGATCACCAATTTTTCCCAAAGACTTCCGAAACTCCAGATGTGCTCCAGGTTCAGTTGCACGCATTATTTGCTCGATCAAGGCTACGAGTCTCCAGAGGGTTTTTTTTTCCTCAAGACAATTTCGGGAGAGAGAAAAGATGTTACAAACGGGAACTTTTTTGACATCAGACTATACATGAGTTCACAAAGATGCACGTTAAGAATGCAGAATGCAAAGATACCGCGTATCTGTGTGAACTCTCGTTTCAAAGACACAATCGAGGCATATCAAGGACGTAAACTCGATAAGACATTATTATTCCTGCGACAAGAAACTGTTCATTCAGATGGAGAAACTACGAACTTGTGTTCACACTTTTTTCACATACTTCCCGACTTGGCTGGCATGTGGCCAATATCATCAATGTAATTATCACAGGGAACAAAAATACTACGGCGAGCGACGGGATTGAAAGAAAACGAGCATTATTAGTATGCCCACTAGTTAGTCAGAGGACACACTCTCTTCTCAGCCACCGTTCTTCCAGACCGAAATTCTCAGTAAATCAACCACAACCATTTTCACTATCAATGCGCTGGGTCAAATTCCCTTAACCAACTGGGTATCCACAAAGTTGGTAAAAGTTTTCCAATATTTGTGGTGCCTCGCTTTCGTCCCATCCTGATTCTGATCAGGATCGAGATCTATTAGCGGACTGACACTGACTTGTAATTTATTTTAGGGAGCCGTGCCCTCAAGCAGCGGTCGCTTCTGGAATGAAAGTCTGATTCTGGCCTAGATTTTTTTCCAAATTTTATCCATGTATAAATCTCTGCAGCCATTTAACGAAAAATTTAAGCGACCATTTTTATCGGGTCCTAGTTTTCATCGCGACGTTCGCATGAGCACACACGTACATAATCTCCCGTTGATAAATATCAGTGAGAGTGTGTGTGGTGGGTGAAAGCTATTTGTAAGGGACAAAATCTGATACTAATCAATGAATAGTTCTTTCCCTCCACCAGCCACCCTCTCATCCAATCATAAAAATAACACCACACTACACACCCACAACCCAGAGCAATCTTCGCCTAGTGCAGCTTGCACTAATAAGTGGGGAGATAAGCTAAATTACTCATCATCGAGGCAATAATCAAGATACACCAGCAACAAGGGAAGATTACCACGCTGCAGTTGGTCAGTCAGTGCGAGGAGG